CGACAAATACTAAAATAATAAAAATTATACAGGGAAAACCCGAATACACATCAAATCATTCATTTTTTAACTCATTGTGGACAAATTTTGGGTGTACCTACTGCTGCTTCTTGGGTAGCTTGATTGGCAAAATATTTTGTTATTTTTTTAAAAATAACTCACGAATATTTTAAAATCAAAAAGATTAAACAATATACTTTTATAATAATAGACTGACTCAGAACAGCATTAATAAATAACGGAATGAAAAACTGTTGGCTGATAAGATCTGAACAATAACGTATTATTTGAACGTTAATATCGACAAATGATTTATAATGATAATTGCGTAATCATCGATTAAAACACATAGAACATTTTATTTTTTACGTCATTAATATTGTCGACTATTCACGCCGTTGACTCAATAATGTGATTCTTCCCTACTTGGTGTTTATACCTATACTTGTTTCACGCTAATACACGCGTACTGTTTACAAGAATCGGTACCTTTATCTAGTTTTATAAATATTATATCTAATGTCTAAATACATACGTGTATATATATATTATCTTTGCGAACCGGAAGTATAAAATATTACACATTTTTTTATTACCGCTATATCGTTTTTGATTGATTCGACCGTGATGTAAAACAATATATAATATAGGTACAACTTACGGTTTCGACGCTTTAGAAATCGGCGGATATGGATAAATACCTATACGTATACGATCGCAATATATTATAGTTTTTTATTACATTATATATTGTCGAAAGTCGTTAAATCGAGAATTTATTACAATAATCATAAATAATGTACACGCAAACAAATTATAACTACACTGGCGTATACCTTTTTTAAAATAACCATTAATTGTATAAAATATAATAAAATGTTTAGACTTTGAAACTATCCCGACCTATATGACGAGTAACAGTGTAACTATATTCAAGCCGATTTAATATTACATTTTAATGTTAACACAAACTTATATAGGTATACAGTGAGTAGCAACTTAAATAAGATAAGCCAAATTTTAGAGGTTTCAAAAGTTCTCAAAATATTTCAGATCCATGTGAGTTTTTGCTGACCCCCCAATACCACCAACTTTTTTTTACCGATTTGCATACTATTTACCTAAAGTAATTAAATATAATATATCTAAACAAATTATTCTATAAAGTATTGTAGTGTCAATTTCAGAATTATTAATTTTATTAATTTGTTAGTTAATAATTATAATAATAATAGCCAAGTTATCTGTAGTATATATTTAAAAACATCTATAGTAAATATTTTTAAATTGAGTTATTCGATATATTTAAAATATATTCAATAGGACCAGTTAGGTTTGTTTGTAATTTTCAAATTGTAAAATAACTTGAACAAACATTCTTCGAAAATTAATAAATTATAGATTACCCTGTAGCATTGGAATAGAATATTAACATCTTACAGGTGGTCTTATACTTGCCAATAACAATTATTTGATTTGCTCCCAAATTTTAAAATTTCTTTCATAAATAATTATAATATATTTTATATTGTGTGTATACTACTGTATAACGACAATGATCTTTAATTATTTGTAATTTAATAATTGTAGGTTTACTATTATTTAATAAATGTTTGTGTACAAATGTACAGTTTTATTCAAATTAATTAAGCACTTTGTAATGTTTTAACGTCCGTTCGACTATTTTAGTTAGGGGTTTTTCGACTATTATAAATCTACTCCTCAATTTTTCGCCCTATTGTTTTTCCGTTTTTCCCAGACCGGGGACGTTATTATAACCTTATATGCACGTTTGGCATATTTTTGACATTATTATCAGCAGTATCCGTAAACCATTGAAATGAAATTGTTCAAAACTTTAAACTGTTTATAAATTTAGTCTTATATTTCCACTTATCCACACACCAATTTTATTTGTATAAATATGAATATAATTAAATACATTTAATATTGTCAATAAAAATAATAAACAAAATCCACATTATACATATCCTGCCACGAATATTGTAAAGAGTAATGAAGATAGTAGAATTTTAGACAATAACCTATTTTGGTTATAAATAATTTCTATAAACAAAACATTTCTATTATACTGTTTAACTGTTTGTAACGATCTAATATCTTCTAATCCTAGCCATAAACAAAATACATATCGTCACAATATTATTGAGAATAAATAAAAATAGACAATAATATACCGGTTATAGCGTTAAATCCGAATACGTGATATACTGAAACCAAGTAATTACTAATTATAACAAAAAATTGTTGAATTATAATTGTAAAATATCATACATTTCTGGGATCGCAATACAATACCTTTTTGACCCCGGTAATTTTCATGTATTTTTCAACCAATTAAGACTCACAGTTTACGTCACTGGACCTATATTTAAATTACTATCAAAATTGCACGAGATAGGTCTGTATTTCAATGGTAATTTTTGAAGTATATAAGTATAGCCAGTATAAGTAATGTGTCTTATAGCTAGAAGAAAATGTTCGGGTAGTTCTTGTAAGAGACTATAAAACTAACAGAAATACGAGTTTGGTCTGTGCGCCAGATATACAAGAGAAGAAAGTTTTAATATGTTCTATCTTTAAAAATAAACGTTAGACAATATTATTATTGTGGTGCGTACAGGGCTATATTTAGTGTTTTGATGCTTTCGGACTACGAGTCTAACAATTTCAATGCCCCACCCTTTAACTTTTTTCACATTATCTAGTAAAAAAAAAAATGTTTAACTGTGCTAGAAATTAATTCTATTATTTTTACAGCAACACATTTGTAAGTATTAAAACATCGCTTAATAGATAAAATGGCAATTACTTACTTTATGCTCTACCATAGAAGTTGTTAAACAAGGCAGCGTTCCGTAATGATATTTTTTAAATAAAATTAGTTTTTAAAAATACAAACATATTATTGATAATTATTACTCGGTCGTTTTTGTAAACAAGAGGAGATTGTTCTCCGTAATTTGACATTATTTTGCCAACATTATTTTTGATCACCTGTTAATATTATTGGGGTGACATATTATTTTATAAATTATAAAAACACAACCACCAGTCAACACATTCTCGTGACGAACAGATATCATAACTTTTTGACTATAAAGATTTAGTTTTTTCGCTTTTCTATGGCATTTGGATTATTTGATTGAATTTTTTACATTATATCTTCTAACTTTTTCTGTGATAATTGCTTTATATTGATTATTTTTGTAATATTTAACTTTTACGAGAAAAATTAAATCATTATAGATTTGGTGTAAAGAATATATTGGCTGTAAAATAATGTTTATTATAGATTCTAATCGGAGTGAGGAATGTATTGGTTTTACACTTATGTTAATTTATTTTATTTTTTTTATGTGAACACTTTTTCTATCAGAAATCTTACTCCGATTATCAAGTATAGCACCTTTTCTAAAAGGAAATCGGAGTGGAGAGGTACTTAAAAGTGGTCATTTTTCGATTTTCCAAGAAATTTCCCAGCAAATATGATCAAAAAATCATGAAAAAATCCGGACAAAATGTTGGAAAAATGGGAAAATCGGTACAACATTAAACAAATATTATTACAAATATAATGTCTATTTGATTACTTTACATAATATAAAATATAATATATTGTTAACAAAGCATCACTATCAAATGAACTCCCCTCAGAAACGTTTTTTCGTTAGCAATGGTTTATCGTTACTTACAGATATACATTAAAGTACTTATAAATTATAAAAGTGGCTATACCCGTCCCCATTATCCTTAGACAGCTTTTTTTTTTTATACTGTGTACAAAATTTCAACCAGAAATCTTGTTCCAACGTATCAAGTGTAGTACATTTTCTGAAAGAAAATTTTGTCTAGTTGGTACCTTAGTGTGGTCATTTTTTGATTTTCCAAAAGGTTTTCAAATAATTTGGAAAAAGGTAAAATGAAAACTAACAAATTTACGGTGTTGCGATTTCATTACGTTTACGATTTATGTTTTATACAAGAAATATTGCTTCAACAAAAAAATGTCAAGAAATCATTTTTGTTACATTTTAAATCTAGTTGGTGGGCAAAAATACCATTTTTTTGATTTTTTGTGTTGTGTTTATAATAATTGAGCAAAATCGAAAAAAAAAACATAGAAAGAACAGGAAAAGTTTACAGAAATCATAATTTTTTAGTTCCAACTTTGTTTTTTTTTTTTTGTAATTTAGTTTAAAATATTCTTAGAGACTTTAAATTTTGATAGAAATTTTATATTTGTTTTTCTAGACTTGGTAAAATTTACAAAATATTAGATGAAATATAAAATGTATTTACCTAATCAAATTCACTAAAATGTATTCAATTTTTAACCAACAAAAAAAATAAACAAGTACCTACCACTATAAATTATTATGTTTTAGATATTGAATGTTGGTGATTCCATTTTAAATATCTAAAAATTAATAATAAAAAGTTGGCAAGTAAGGTGATGTGGCTGACTAAACGTTTTCTATAGTTATAATAATTACAAATTCTATTCTCTATATTGTGTTGAAATATAAAAAAAAATTGCTATATAATGTACATAGTTTGTTTTAACTACTCGTATAGATAATAATTATGAAACAGTTGTCTATCAGTATTGGATATTATAATTATTGTTAGATTAATATTTAATATATTTTTAAAACATTCGGTAAAATTGCTGTCAGTTATAATAACTCGTTCGACAGATATGGTAGAGAAGTTGAATATCAACATTAAGCTAATGGTCAACCGGTGGTTACACAATGTCAGGTACAACCGGGTGACATCTTCGATTGCTACGACTAATCGCAAAAACTGGTCCCGTTCTAAACTGACCACCCCGCCATGACGTAACCACAACACAATGTGATATTCTTGTTACGGAGAAAGTGTCATGTGGATGATTATTGGCTATTATCAAAGTTTGCAGAGGGGAGTGCAAATCAAAAAACAATACCGGTTAGGTTATCACGGCAGAATTATAAAAACCCAAGCGAGCTGTTGTTTAGCATCAGTTGTATCAGTGCAAATCAACCGATACATACCTACCATCACAACAAAAATAAATATTCATCATGAAATTCTTTAAGGTAAGACATTTTATACAAGTAATTTTTTTTTCCAAATAATACATTTCGACGAAAAAAAATATTCGTTTAAATTGTAAACGGTTTTTCTGTTGTGATTTTTTACCGTAAACATTTCTAACATTTTGTTTGTTAAAAATCGTAAATTTATAAATATTTTTATTTCATTCAAAATTTTAATTAACACTATCATTTAATATTTATTTACAGGCTTGTGTTGTCGGTTTGGCTTTAATAGCTCACTGTGTTGCCGCTGAAGATACAAAAACCGACAATAAACAAAACACCAAGAGAAGTTTAGGATATTCTGGTCTGTCTGGATACTCTGGATCTTCGTATGGACTTTCTGGATCTTCATACGGTCTTTCTGGATCTTCGTATGGTCTTAGTGGATACGGCACTGGTCTTCCGTCATACTCTCCTGGCATAGGTCTTGCCTCCCCCGTTAGTCATGGATACGCTGCTCCCGCTAGTTTTGGATACTCCGCCCCAGTAGGTCTTGGATACGGTTCTTCATACGGTCTTGGATATTCCACTCCTACTATTGGTCTTGGATACGGTTCTTCGGCTGGTCTAGGATACGCTGCCTCATCTGGTTATGGTATCGCCGCTCCAGCCAGCTACGGGTATGGTATCCCAACCGCTGCCGCTGTACCAACCAGAGTTAGCTCATCCAACCAAGTTGTGTCTGTATCCGTACCACAGCCGTACGCCGTTCCAGTAACCCGTCACGTACCCGTACCAGTCGCACAACCCGTACCAGTTTCCGTGCCCAGAGCCGTCCCCGTTAGTGTACCTCACCCAGTTCCAGTAACAGTCAACAGACCATACCCAGTTGATGTACCAAGGGCCGTTCCGGTTAGCGTACCTCATCCAGTACCAGTTCCTGTCAGCAGACCAGTACCATACTCAGTACCACAACCATACCCAGTTGAAATCCAACAACCCGTGCCATACTCCGTCCCAACCCCAGTCGTTGCTCCAGCTCCTGCCCCAGCTATCGCTATCCCTGCACCAGCCTCCTATGCCATCGCTGCCCCAGCTGTAAGCTTTTCCGCACCAGCACCAGCCTCGTACGCCATTGCCGCTCCAGCCCCAGCCGTGAGCTTTGCCGCCTCTGCACCGGCTTACGCTTCGTCCTATGAATCATATGCCGCACCAGCAGCTTTGAGTGCTTCACCTTACTCAGCACCAGCATACTCATCATACAGCTCCGCCATCCCGTCTTACTCTTCATCAGCATACAGTGCACTTCCATCTTACTCGTCAGCTTCATATAACGCAGCTCCGTCTTACTCGTCGGGTTCATATAGCGCAGCTCCGTCTTACTCGTCAGCTTCATACAGTGCTGCTGCTCCATCTTACTCGTCGGCTTCGTACAGCGCTGCTAGCCCATCCTACTCATCGGCTTCATACAGCGCCGCTAGCCCATCTTACTCATCGAGTTCATTGGGTTCATCCGACTACTCCAATGTCGCATCCAGTGGATACAGCTCATCTTCCAGCATCGGTTCTACTTATGGACCACCAGCAGCAAGCTATTCTAGCAGCAGTGGATACAAAAAGTATTAAATACATTAATTGTGCCAGCTAGAAAGTAATGACTGTATTGTTTAGGTTTTCGTAATTATTATTTTTTATACTATCCTTGTTAATTTTTTGTACTTTCGCAACTTTTCATATTAATTGTTATATAATTAGTTTAGATATCGTTTGTGTAATATTTTAAGTCTCATTCATTCTGTAATTTTTTAATAAAAATTAACATAATGAATTTAAATATCTTGCCAATTATTAATACGTATACCTATTTATACTTGCATGAGTAAACACTAGTTTCATAGTTGGATTATAAACGGATATATTATAATTATTGTTAGACATTATAATACGTATAAATATGTATTGTATACAATTATACCAGATGTTTCTCATAACTACGTCAGGCAATATTTTCACTGCACATCTTAAATAACGTACATATAAGTGAATAGTACATATTTTTCCAAAAGAAATAATTAATTTATACTAAAAAATAACTAAACAATAAACTATAATTAATAACTTAAATAATTAAAAAGCACTTTTAGGTTTCCATTTGAGTAATGAAAATTGGTACCTACTCGAAAAACATAAAATATTTAAAATAACAAAAAAAATAGTTGATACTGGAAAAACGAAAATGGGAAGGATACATAAAGGTATTTAATATATATCTATATGTAATGATAAACCATCAGGGTGGTACTTTAGGGAATTCAATTTTTGGTTTTCCCGGATATTTTTATGCATATTTACGATGGGTATACCTTAATGGGACACTGTATATCCTAACATTTTTGTATTTGGGGAGTATGATAATCCTAGCACAATCGTATTGTATAGGGTGTATAATGTCCCTCGGTATGAAATTCCTGTAACACTGGCACTGAAATTAGTACTTAATAATATTGTTTTAACAATATATAAATCAATTATTTTAGTACAATAATTATATATGCATTAAACATATTCTTTAATGATATTTGTTTAATATTGTACCTATTTTCCCGTTCTCCCGGTTTTCCCATGTTTTTTCTCGGTGTTTCTCATTTATTAGGAAAAATTCTGCAAAAATCAAAAATTGACTTCTTTAAAGTACCACCCCAGTCAAATTTTTTTCTGAAAAAGTGCTATCATTGTAATTTAGAACAAAATTGTTGATTGTAAAGTTTTTCACGGGAAAAAAAAATTATAATAATCATAATTATAAAACTATAAGAACCTTCGAATTTAAACAGACTATAGTACTTTACTCTATAGTATAAAACCTATTATATATATACCACTTATTAACCGTGCAATACTTATGACTTTATCTTATCTTTATTGTTTATTATTAACATATACCTGCTACTTTTGCTTAAACTTAGGCATTAAGCTAAATAAAATCAAAGTTACAAAATATAAATTTAAATACACGGTATATTATTATTGCGTATTCAGTATAGGCCATTGGGTGCCTCCGGATTTTTAGAAAATAATTAAGGGTGCCGTGAGTCAAAAAAGGTTGGGAACCTCTGAACTAAAGAGTAAAAAAAATATATATATCATGTTACATTAGTATTTATTTAGCTAAACATAATGAATATACAAAAAACATAATACTTACATAATTACTTTTCTGTTTGTATGATTAACTTCTTATGGCAGAAACTTTTAAATATTTCAATATTCATACATATTTAATATTTCTTACATTTATATGAGTGAAAAATTCTTTCTGCTATAATAATTTGTTTTAACAGCCACGTATACTGTTATATATACATTAATCAAATAAGGTTTAAAATGGGAATTTGTAGTGTATTTAATCGTGCTCCTATTAAACTATGGATCCACGACTGCACATAGAATTGCCTATATTTCACTTCGTGTTATATATTTGTTAACATTTTACCAAACTTTTTGGCTAACCTTGTATTAATTATACCGAATTTTATATTTTAACACTTATCATTAATATGTAATAAATATGTTACAGTAAATGACTTTTTCTTGGTATATAACGTTATTTGCCGGTTATTTACGTGGTTCGGAGCGAAGTTTAGTTACAAATGTTTTGAAAATGCGTAATATTTACGATTTTCATCAAAATTTGATTTTAAATTATTAAAAAAAAAAAAAAAAAATAGTACATTACACTCATTTTTTTTTTTTTTTATCATTAAGTAAGACTTATATTGAACTTCTTGTCATATTCTCAAGTATTTCTGTTCAGTCTAACAATTTTGTTCACAGAGTATCTATCAAATAAAAATTACGTAAAAAACTTGCAAAATTAAAATGTCTACCTAACCTACACACAGCTTAAAAATGGATAAAATATTTTGAAAATTTGACAACGTCTGGGTAAATTAAGTATATATTTTCTGTCCAAATTTCAAGTCTCTAAAAATATTTTAAACTGAATTACAACATTGAAAATAATAAAAACATAATTTTCGTAAATTTTCCTATTCATTCAACTTTTTTTTGGTTTTACTCAATTGCTAAAAAAACTCCACGGAAAATCAAAAAAACTTCTTTGATAATCACCAACTAGATTAAAAATGCAACAACAACGATTTTTTTCGTGTTTTGATTTGAGCAAGATTTCTGGTAGAAAACAAATAGTAAAAATTTAATGTAAATAGTAACGGCTTAAGTTATTATTTGTCAGTTTTCATTTTAAGTTTTTCCCAATTATTAATCAAAAAATGAAGAAGGTTATTATTAATATTTATTATTAGTACTAACTAGATAAAAATTTTTTTCAGAAAAGTTACATCGGTTTATTGGAGCAAGTTTTCGAGGTGAAATTTTGTTCACAGTAAAAAAAAAATTTACAACACCATTGTAAAAGGATAGCTTCGCTCAGAATCTTAATTAACACATGTATACAAATGCGTAATGGATGATACTTGGTTTTACTTCTCACTTAAAATAATGAGACTAAAATAGTACAATGATTTATTGTAGAATGTTTCTTAAAATATTGTTAGAAAGATAAACTAACGTAGAAATAACATTGTAATCAAAGATCATCCATGTTGATACTACTGGTAGATAAGAAACTAAAACTTAATTAGTATTGTGTATTGTTGCTATTTAACACTAAACACCGATTTAAGTGTAATAATATATTAACAAATAATTGGTATAATTGTATGAATCCGTTAAGTTACCTACATTAATGTGGAATACCGGAGTCCACAACAAGAAACCGTGGCAATGATTCGTATAGTGAGAAGCTCGGTCATTTTATTATTTACGGTTTTATTGGGTAAAAACCACGGTATTACGGAATGCAATAATTTAAAAGATTATAATTTGTTCGTGTAGCTTACGACAATAATTATTAATTTTTATACTATTTTCGTGACGCGTGAGTTCTTTGAACCTATATTCGTTTTTAGTGTTTGGGATACATAGTTTCGGGAAGAATATATACTTTTTGGATTCCATCCAATAAAATACGTGCATGTACATAAATAATAATGATAAAACAAATTTAAATAATTTAAAGGAAATCATATATTATTAATACATTCAGATATGAAATATTTAATAATTTAATAAATTAAAATAAATTATTAATTATAATATGTTGGATACAAATTTTAATAAGTTACAGTATAATTTGTTTTTTTGTAATACACGTCCAAGTACCTATTTATAGGATACGAAATAATAATTTATAACTTTATTAGTTGTTTAGCTGCTGTGATTTTAAATTAGCACTCAACAAACTTAAATGGTTTTAAAGTAAAATTATTTAACCATGCAAGTTAATTCTTATCTAATGACCTTAGCATAGGTACACACAATTGTTTGTACAGTTATAAATATAAGTATAGTATTAGTCTCTGTATAAATACTGTAACTGCATTATTGCAGATATTGGTTTCGCAAAATTGAGCTAATATCAAAATAAATCATTGGGACTATGATAATTTGTTTTATTATTATTATTGTTGTTGTTAATCAGATATTGTCTTTCGTTTGGGTTAAACTTTAAACATTTGCTCGAATAATATTTTTTGTCTGAGCAAGCAGTTAAAAATAGTTTTACTGTAATATAAAAATAATAACTAGAATAAAAAAATAGTAGGTATTAAAAAAAAAAAAAAAAACGATAATGTAGAAAAATCATAAACGAGTGATGTGTTTATGCATCTATCGTTTGATACTGATTGGAATACGATGGCGGTGCATATTTGTTACGGTTTTTTTCCGACTCTTCTCTGAGTTGGTTGAGCACAGGCGATTCCTTGGAGTTTTGAAACGGTGGACTGGCCACGAATTGCGTATAAAGTTTTCCTGGTGGGTCAGTGTCTTCGCTATAGTTTTGGTAATAAGTCAGCGAGGGAGGCACCGGTTGTGAGTATAGAGGTGGTGGTGGTTGCGGATACGATGGCGGTGGTGGTGGTGGTTGTGGGTAAGATGGCGGTGGTGGTGATGGTTGTGGGTACGATGGCGGTGGTGGTGGTGGTGGTGGCGTCGGTCGCTGGTATAATGGAGGAGACGGTGGTGCTGGCCGTAGGTACAATGGCGGTGACGGCGGTGTTGGTGGGGACGGCGGGGCTAGTGGTGACGGAGGTGATGGAGGTGCCGGATAAGACGGTGGTGATGGAGGTGCCGGATACGATGGTGGTGACGGAGGTGACGGAGGTGACGGTGGTGACGGAGGATCCGGCTTTGAGTTCTTTGCAGGTGACTGCGGTGATAGTACCGGTGAATTCGGTGGGTAGGGCGTCCAAGAGGTGTATCTGAATAATTATACAAATTTATTGATAAATACGCGTAAAAATATTACTAAAATTAAACTAAAAATTCAAACGTATCTGGGAGGCGAGCGGTTGAATTAACCTTAAAGTTATTAAAGAAATACATTCTCTCCTAAATATAACGTTGTAAATCATATTTTAGCGAATGACTGTTATAACGAAAAAAAAATATTTTGATACAATACATCAAAATATGTAAGCTCTGAGACTACAATCGTACAATCTATTTATCTCTACAACATAATATGTATACCTCCATAAAGGCGCCATTTAAGTTTTCCCCCGGGAAGGACTTAACCAGAGGTACCGAGTACAAGGGAGGAATGGGACCACCGCCCCATGGATTATTTTATGTTTAAAATAAAATACAATATAATAAATTTACCTCCAAAAATAAATACAATTTTTTGGTTAAATATTTTTATCTTATCATTGATCAATAATCAATTGCCAATCATTTTAAATTGAAGACAGCGCAATATTTTATAGTATACATTAAATTTAACGTATTTGGGCTCTCGTTACTTAAATGGGGTTTTATACTGGCCAGAGAGGGTTTAGCCCCCTTTAGCCACCCCCAAATTGCACCTATATGCTCCCAGTGGTAAAAATAATATAACCAGCACATGATTTCTAAAATGTGTATATTTTGGCGTCTCGACAAGTTGTTTCGACTCGTTGAACGACTAAAAAAAAAAAATTACAGCACACACATATAGTACAGCTCGGAAATGTTGATCGATCACACGCATTGTGAAACCACAAAAAAATTATTTTTAAAAATACCTGTGATTACATATGAAAAACGTTCGATCATCTGTACTTATTCCCATGCAACTTTTGTCACCCAAGAACCGGTCACATTTACAGTAGCCCGAATCAGACATTTTCAATCAGCAATCACATGTGCAATAAGTTTAGACTAGCAACCAAGATAGAGTAATTGAAAAAAGTTTTAAGCAAAAAGGTGTTTGTCCATTGTACTGCATCGTGAACAATATAAAGCCGAGAAAGTACTTTTCTGTCTACTCAGAATTTCACAGAATGAAAAAGTAAGGAGGAACGAAATGTTTCTATGGAGGCAAACATACAGAATATAAATATGGAGTACGCTTAGGGAGAGGATAATGATAAATTGGGAATTTAAAAAGGAATAATGTTATACAAGAAGTAACGACGATAATAGAAGAAAGAATTTATGAAAATTCGGGGAGGAGAACGCCATGGACGCTTAACCTTACAGTTTATAAACCGAGTGATGGAAGAGATACGGGAATAAGGATAATGTAAAGGATTCTAAAGAACGGTAAGCGACATGGAAAACTTGAGAAAAACCGATAATTTAACCAATCTAAGGATTGGGGAAAAAATGAATGATTTATTTTTGTAATACTTGAAATAGACACGGACGTCAACGGCGACCATGACGGTCATAAGTCTCACCTGATTGGTACGGGCGTCGGTAATAGTACGGGACCCACGGGTATGGCGTACAGGGTGGTGACGTAAACTGGACCGGATCTGAGAACGCCCACGGATACCGGTGCAACGACCACGGCTACCGGAATCGACATGCGGTAACCTCCATGCAAAATTGTTACAGTCTTCGGGAACGGTATCAGTGTCCGTTCGTCATACAGGTAGAACGGCTGCTGCAACGGGACCTGCACCGCCGGCGTGGCTTCCTGCAACCGAAAAAATATCAACCAACAATTAAAATAACGTCAGTTATACTTCAACTATTGTAGTCGTTTTTGCAGAAGTTTGAATTTTTGTTTAAAATTGAATGGTTATTGTTAAATATTCCAAATACAATGATCGATGTTACATCACTATAATTTAAAACTTTAAACTTCAGATTATTTTACAACGACACGCCTATTTAATTTAAATATTCCGATGGGAAAATTTCGAGCTATAACTTGTATTCAATTTTCTCATGCACAAATTATTTTAAATAGGTACTTATATACTTCTATACATATATGTATATATATGATGTATTTAAAGTACAGTTAATAATTCAATGCACAATTGTACAAGTCGTACATGTAGTATTCTCAAGTCAGATAATTTGGAACAAAAATCATTTCCATACAGGGCGGCTGGAATTTATTATTTTTATTAGTGAATTACACTTCTGAATATTTTACACTATCGATAGTTTGGGCGAACTAGAGGATATTTCATTTGAATATTTTTTTCCACGGCCAAATACTTTTTTCGGAAAAACTATCAAATATTTCGATATTTTAAACTATTTGAATAGTTTCTCCCATAAACGAATAATATATATTATTATTGAATGCGATCAACTATCGAATAGTTTGATAGTAACTATTTGGTTGTATTGATCGCTATTTTTTTATAAAATCACGTGTTAACAAAAACTATCAAACTAACCAATTTCATTCAAATTCGAGTTCAAACTCGAATGATTAATATAACATGTATGAACTCGAAAAATGTTGAGTACACCACAGAATCCAATTAACTATACTCAATAGTATGTTCGTGATTTATACAGGCACCGCTTTTCATACTTTTTGTATGATAGTATATTATACGAGTATAATATTAAACCTAGTAAGCATGACCGTTCTGAAATAATTATAATTAACTAATAAGAGATTAAATTATTGCACATCACATTCATGATTACATAAATTATTAATTTTTTTTTGGTGAATTTAAACACACAGTTGAAAATATCGTAATTAATATGCAGACATGCATTACGTAAAATATATATATATATATTAGTTTTGGATTGACAACATAATAATATTAGATTGGTAGTCTAATATTGCGTCGCGCGGGCAATAACGCAAACTGCATATAGTGCACAAATGAAAATTAGTAAAATTTTTTTGAAAACAGATCGGTTATTGTTCGAATAATTAGACTAATTCCATGAGACGGTCTTTGTTTAAAACTGTCTACATTGACAAAAGAAACGCATTTACCGCGGTCTGTTATTAGTAAAGTTGTAAAGTAAAAGTTGTTTATAACCTATTTATACATTATTGAGTTAACTCGGTTATTTAAAAATTGTAGTTCAGTATATTTCAGTTCATAACGCTACTTGTTAACTATTTGTTTACGCTTAATGAATTTAATTTCATTAATATATATTTTCAAATTGTGTGTACGTATTTATGTTTTTCTTCTTTTCAACTATTTTTTATATGGATCATATTATAATATTCTTTATATATTAATAAAATAACAATCACATAATAAACAATTTTAAAAAAACGGAATTTGTTTGAGAATAACATATTTTCTAAGTTATTATGTGTTACTGCTAAACGATTTCGAACACAAAATAAAACCTATGGTTAAAATATGTTGATAAATTTAACATCAATTATATCTATGCATTTAGTTTAACGGTTTTTTTTTTTATATATATAATAATGTAAAATTCATAAATCAATGAAAAAATAAATAAATTGAAATAACTACATATTACTTTATAGGTAATTAAAGGTAAACCGTATTTAAAATTAAATAAATAATATAACAAGTTATTTAGAGTTACTATAACTTCCCATAAAAATGTGCTTACGCCTAAAATGTAGTAAATTTAACAAAAATATCTCTATATTTATTTTGAATTTGTCTACATAATCTTACTACGTATTTCTAGATATCAAATTACTTTAACTTACTATAATCGTAGACATCTATATTCAATTCACATTGCTTAGTTTTCAAGTTTTATTATATATACATGATGCGCCTATATTTTTGTTTATTAATAATATTATTTCTATAATCATCAATTAGTTAACTCTATTATAAAATATAGATGGGGTCTTTAAAAGAACATCCTTAGAGTTTTAAATAAAACTACCACAAATTAACAAAAGTTATACTAATACTTAGACGAATTATACTTAATAATATATAATAATAATTTTTATTGTGTCCTAAAATATATTAACCACGAGCTAAATATAATTAGGTAGAAATATAATAGATACCAATACAAATTATAAATTAATTTGTACAAATTAATATAATGTATTCATAAATAAATAATTTATGTGTACAAATTATTTATTTATATATTTATTTACGATTATTAACCATTTGATAATATTGTTTTTACTTTATTATTTTATTAAATATTATGAAGTAAATGAAAAGGATATTATTTGTATTATACTAATAATTAGAAGATCAGAGTATATTATAATTATACTCACAAACGATTTCGTTGAAGATTTACACATAACAATTGGTTCAGTTTTTGAAACGCTGTCTATCTGTGGTCGATAAATTACTCGCAATTCCGAGGATGGCACTTGGATCACCGGAACTAGTACAAAGTCGGCCACGTTTATTGGTTTTTCAGTGAATACTGCGAGTGGTCTTAGAAATTCGGCATCGTAAATACTTTGATAATTATTATCATTCGACGAAGGCGGTCCATAAGATTTCGGTGGATCCGTACCCCAGCAAACCTCCACAGAGATCACGAGCGTAACCACCGTCCGAAAAACCATTTCCTTTAAAAATAATTTATTCCACAACATATTTAATTTTAAACAATATACACCTATTATTATTGAAACACATTCATTTATTGTGTACATAATATATACATTTATCGTCGTGTTAAAGTTTATGTTATAAACCGTGCTAAAGACGACGAAGGTAAAAAAATGATCACTTACTTTTCGATTAACTGTCATGTTGCGGCTTTGAATCACTGTATCATGAAAACGTTGCGCGTCGTCGGAGCCTGAAAACCGAATGGTAGTATTTCGTACCCGGTTACTGCCTATAAAGATACACGAACTTCAATGACATTTAATAGTCGCGTAATAGGAGTAAAGTAAATACGTGTTTAGTGTGCGTAAATTGTGCGAAAGTAAAAGTTTCCCCCCAGAAAAAAAAAACAAAAACAAAGTGCGACAAAAGAGGCACAAACAAAACAATATTAGTTAGGTAATCGCGCTTTCGTCGACCTTGCACGTATTCATATGCATTCTCAAAGAATAGGACTATGGCATTTTTAAAAAAAAAAAAAAAAAAAGTGATAATTCTGAGGTATGTACCTCGACTGCACAGAAAGCGTCTTAAGTTATTTTCCGGCGACACAACAGGCGACATTATATATATATATAACCATGACGAAATCTTTAAAAATTATAAACGATCTGCACCACTTTTTTTCATTAGTCGACTTTTAAATTTTCAGTTAACAAAAAAAAAATACAAATACAATTTTATCTGTCGTGAAACGTTAAATTGAATTATCATTTAGTGCAATTATTAGAAACGTTTACGTTTATTGTGTATTGTATGCATAAGAAAGACGATTTAGAAAAATAATAATCAGTCTTGTTATACATTTTATACCTACCCAATACAGTTAATACTTTATTTAACAAATAAAGTTAAACTAAATCAAATAAATTATTATATTAAATTGGTTAATAAGTTACGATAATATTTTAAAATAAAAATACGTTAATACGTTATTATGTCACCTACCTATTTTTATTTTAGATTCGGATCGTTGGTTTTACAATAATGTTTTTTTTTTTTATTCTGTAAACAACTTTTCTACCAGAAATCTTACTTCGATGTATCACGTATTTTTTTAGGAAATTCTATCTATTTGGTACTTTTTAGATACTATTAGGTTATTTTTTAATTTTCTAAGCGGTTTTCATAATAATTAGGCAAAATTAACGAAAATAATGCATTCAATAATTTCAATTTTGCTTTTTTGTTGTAATTCAGTCAAAATATATATTTACCTTTTATAGACGTGTTAAAATTTTCAAAACATATGCACTATTTTTGAGCTTATACAGAAATGCCTGACAATTTAAGGATTATAGAGGTTCATTATAAGTCGTAAGACTTTACAAAATCATAAATATCGCTTCCTTTCAAAACATGTAGGTATAACCGAACTTTGCTCCGAAATGTTTTTCGTTAGAAATAGTTTATCGTTGTGTATAGGTATAAATTAAATTCCTCTCTATATCATAACTTCACAACTTCTCATTTACAAAAGTGACCCACCCATTTTGTGAAATATGCAGGGATGAACTGAAGATTAAGGGGGTGCGAAACCCCCCCCCTTTGGCAATATTAGAATTTCAGTCGGTAATCGTCACTTAGTAAATTTGTTTAACCAAAATATATTAGTATTCAAACATATTTTAACTTGATATTTCTGGGTGGCTATGTATAATGTCGAGGCAGCTTAACGAGAGTCGGTACAAGATAACTAAACATATCTCTAGGTACCTATCTCTTATTTTTCATTTTTAGTAACGTTCCGTTTCAAGGTATCAATAATAATTCTAATAGGAATTGTATTACTCTATAGTTGTTGAGCAACGCTGAAGCACCGCAGAAATTAACGGGGAACAAATAATTATTAATTAAACAAATGCTATTTATATATATATATACAAAAAAAATACGGACACATGATGGATGATCCATTGTTGTAAGTGAGAATTTGGCAAGGCAGGATATAGAGGGGAGTTTAATGTAGATCTGAATAAAACGTTTAACTTTTTGCTAACGAAAGAGCGAGTTTGCTTACACATGTTTTATAATTTTAATATTTACGATTTTCGTTAAAATTTGATATTAAAATTCTTACACAAATAATTCTCCATTCCACTCATTTTTTTTTTTTTTTTGACCACAAGTACGATCTAAATGACACCAAACAAAAAAAAACTACATTAAAAAACTCGTAAAATTAAAAGGCCTAAAAAAAGCATAAATATTTTGAAAATTTTATCACGCCTAGAAAATACCAATATAAGTTTCCTGTCTAAATTTCAAGTCTATAGGAATATTTTAAAATGAGTAACAATAAAAAGTCGTCCTAGGATAATGGAGACAGGGGCAGCCACTGTTAAAGATAATTTAATGTATACCTGTAAGCAACGATAAACCATTGCTTACGAAAAAACGTTTCTGAGGGGAGTTCAGTTGATAGTGATGTTAACAATATATATGTCATTTTCTAGTAAATAATTAATTAGGCTTTATATATTTTCTTTAATAATATTTGTTTAATGTTGTACCGATTGTCAAAATTGGTAAAAATTCAATACATTGTAAAAATAATAATAATAATAAACACCATTGTAAAACCAATACATTCCTCATTCGCTCAGAATATAAACATTGAAGCAATTATTGTGATAGTTTTTAAATTTTGCGTATGGTTTTATAACAATTAGTTACTATTATAGTTAACAAAAATTAAACATTTTAAATTCTAGTCAGCAAATTTAAAGACTTCATCCACACCCCTCCCCCCCTTAAGACTTTTTTTTAAGAACGTCCCTGGTAATATGTCCATCTTTTTAAATATCATAGGTATTAAAATTAAAATAATTTATTTTTTAAAGGATTTTGAGTCGGTTTTAAAAAATTTCTCCAGATTTTTCCACTAATCTACTGCCGAATTTACATTTAAGGGGAAGGACCTCGACCATTTACGGATGAATATTTCGCTTTTGACCGAAAAGTGATATAAAATATAAGTATTGAATTTGACGGATTTTAGTTTTAAAAACGGATATTGATTGATTAACGAGTTCACTAGGTTATGACGAAAGCGACTTTAAATATCTATTTTGACATCAATATCGGTGAACAAAAGTATGGTATCCCTTTCTCAATTTATATTCTTCATCATAACAATATTATTTTTGGATTATTAAAAATCGTTTCCTTCAAAACCTAGTAAACTCGTTAAATCAATTCAAATTCGTTTGTACAGTTAAAATCCGTCAAATTAATTACCCATATCCCAAATATAGTTAAATCTAGTTTAATGGTCTAAATACTAAATTTTTCAATGACTGCAAACCCCCTAAAAACAGGTTTTTGATTCAACGTTATGCTCAGAGAATTATATTAATTAATCAACCAATAATATAATAAAATCATATAATTAGACCTTATTTTAAGGATTTTTTTAGAATTTCGCACGGCTGATGCATCTAAGGTACCCACATAGGAATAAAATTCCTATTCGATTCAGTTTATACGAGTGATCAATTTATAAATTCTTCAGACATTAAATTTTGATCAGGTACGCACGAGTATACAAGTACGCAAAGATAAATAAATTAATAACGTTAAACAAATCATGCAAAAAAATCTGGTCGTACAAACGTATATAATATATTAGGTACGTATATGTATGTTTATGTAAATGAATGCAATTTAAAACACATTAAATAATAAAATACGAACGTCTTCTTCATTTTACGTTTATATATTATAATGAACACAGTACAATGATACACGCGGTATACCTATATGATGAGTATAAGTATAAAAATATCAAAACGTAAAATAATACGTATACATGCTTACAAACGAAATAAAAATGTAAAATAAATAATGATACTTGAGGTAAAACTGAGTTACAAGGAAAAATATAAAATGTTAAACATAGTTATATACTTTTGGTCTAAGCCATTTTATCTAATGGGTAATGATTAGCCTTATTATATTTTTTTATAATTGAATATTGCAGAGGATATTATTGAGTGTAGGATTTATGCAGTGTCGTTGACTGCGAAGGTCTTCGACACCGATATTTGCCCACACTATTATTAGTTTAATACTATTATCCAATGTAATATTATATTAAATCAAAATAATATTAATATGTTGTTTAACTGTTTTTTTCATGCACTCAACAGTTAGTTACATGCGTAGGACTAGGTGGTGTATACATTTCGGTCTTCCCATATATCTTTAGAATGACCGAAAATTATAAAAAAAAAATAAAATAAACACCGGCCATTATAATATCATGTCAATGTCAAGTTGAAGGGCGCTCATCTTATATTTGTACGATGTTACATAGTAACAGAAATGTTCAAATATAATAATATTATGATCGATTAAGGTGAAAGTTTTTAACCTTGAATTATCTAAAACTTTTGCAAATCATACTTGTTTGGTTTAATGACCTCTCCTATATATATATATATATATAAATAGGCCTACATCATCCTATTAAAATTCACAAATACTCCAAAAACCAGTTTCTTTGGTGTCTAACATGAGTACGAATATACACGATGGTAAATATTTGGTAAAATGGCGAATAGTTAATAAAACGGGAATTAAATTCACCATGTAGAATATAAATTCCAAAAATGTTACACAGAGTAAAATTTGCATTTTTAACACTGTTTAGTTTCAACACATATGTATTTGTATTACTTACCTATACGGTTTACTCTATTGAATTAATTTGATATACGTTTATTTCATACATTCATTATCTATTCATATAAAACCTAATGTATTATACAATTTATTCATAACATACAAAAAAATGTAACTAGATAGGCACCAAATTATTTAGGTAAGTCGGTATTACTGTATAAGTACTTATTGAACTTAATATATGACAATTCTATTATAATGCGCTTTAAAAATGCATTGTTGTTAATATTATAACATTGTATTTGTTACAAAACAGAAGTTAATTAAGAAATAGTTTATAATTTATAACAATAATTTTTTCTATATTTTGTAAAACATTGATTATAAGCACTTATATAAAATTAAGAATGGTAATGTGTTTAATTTAAAAATCAAGTACGAGCAAATTAATTTAAAAAACATATTTTGCCGTTTAAAACTGTATATCATACTTTATTAGATGGGTTATTTTGAATTATTCCATATTATTTCCATTATTCCCAACTAAATCATTGTTTAACCATTTTGAAAGTGTATTTCCGTATAGCTGATTTTAAAACTATACACCCCATATATTTGTAAATTCAATGAGTATTAATAACCATTCTCTATAATTAAGTATGTAAGTACCTAATACTTTCCCGTGTATGAATTAATTAATTTATTTGACCTATGTGAAATCTACTGCATTTGTCGAACTCATAATTTGAAATAAATTATTTGGCGTCAATAAATAAGTAAAGCGAAATAAAATTAGAATCGGCCACCTTCATGTGGGCTATAAATCTATAATTTATTTACTTAAGTAAAACTAAAAATAATAAGTCAATATTTTAATAAACATTAACTTATTAAGTAAACTAATATGTATGCATACTAATGTATGCAGTTAAATAAATAAAAAATTACCTGGATTAATTTTATATTCGTCTGCAAAAATGTGCTCACTAGTCACCAGAGCCGGAACCAAAATGAAATTAAATTTGAATTCAAACAATCCTTAGTTTGGCAGGTCACTTGCTCGTTGTATCTGACGCTAGAATGTACCCCCACCATAATTTTTAAATGTCAGTACCTATAGAAATAAAATTATTACACACATACAGAAATGACAAATACAAATAATGATAGCGATGTGTGTATATAATTTATCCTTTCCATTCCTAATGTAAGTAATCGTATTTTTTTTTTCAAATCAAATTTTATTAATTGTTGTATTTAATGTAATTAATAATGTTGTATATTACGAAAATATCGATTCAAATTATACTGTTAGTGTATTACATTAACATAAATTCTAAAATTTTGTTTTGAATTGGTAGGTAGATATCTGGCGTATAATATATACCGGTATACCAAGTACAAAAAATACTATATAGTATATTAATTTATTGTATTAAATGTGTTTTTTTATTTAAATGTATTTAAATTTAGCATTTTTATTATTAAGAGACACGTTCTAAGATAATAGGGACGGGTGTAGCCACTGTTATAGGCAATTTAATACATCTGTTAGTAACGATTAACCATTGCTAATGTGAAAACTATTCTGAGCGGAGTTCAATTGATAGCGATGTTTTGTCAACAATATATAGGTCATATTATGGTAAAACAATTAAATAGGTATTATAATATACTATTATTCATAATATTTGTTTGATGAACCGATATTCCCGGTTTTTCTACGTTTTTCTCGGTTTTCCCATCTTTTTTTCCTGGTTTTTCACATTTATTGAGAAAACTTCTAAGAAAATCAAAAAATGACCTCCTTAAAGTACCTCCCCCCCAGATTTCTTTTCAGAAATTGAGATACACGTAAATATCAAAGCAAGTCCTCTGGTAGAAGTTGTCCACAGAAAAAAAAAATAAACATCTCTATAAAAGCTCCTTCGCTCTACTTAGAATCTAAAATGATAGGTGATTCATTTAACAACACTTCGCAAAGTATTGACTTTTTTAAAACAATTTTGTTTGACGATTTAAGCAAACAGCACTAAATGTTCCGTTATCATTATTTTTTAACGCTCTTCTTTTTAGAGGTAAAACGGTTAAAGGAAAGTAAAAGAACACTATTCAAACACTCCGTACTGTACCGTTACACAAATTATACTCCACTAATCTCCCCCTATTCCCTACCCGAAATTCAACGTGGAGTGTCTCGTTAACGAGTTGACGGTAATTGACTGATACCTACTACATCAATTTATGTAGTTTTTAATATAGATTATTATTAGAAAAACCGAAGTTGGTATCGATCCAGGATACTCTTTTAATGCACTTTGTATACCCTATGATTCATTTCAATTTTTAAAATTATAAGAGTAGACAGTAGGTACACACAGGAGACTTGTACAAATTTTTTATTTTTTTTGGTCACCAGTTGCTTCTGTTTTTAAAAGCGCACACCCGATGAGCAACTATTCTTGCGAGAAAATTCCTCTTCACGTATTATTGTAGTGTATTTGACAAATGCACGTTGTTCCTATATTCTCCGACCCTCAGAAAAGAACATGTATAATATTCCACATTTGTTGTTTAGAAATTTTATATTTTTAAATTATTTTTGTCTGGTGTTGACGTCACTATTAATTATTTAACTTGTTTTCGGAAAACACATAATTGGGTGATTCCAGTCGGGACGTTCTTAAAAAAATCATTGGAAATGAGAGGGGTGAAGTTTTTAAATTTACAGACAAGAATTTAAAATATTTAATTTTTGTTAGCAAGAATAGTAACTAACTGTTATAAAATCATGTACAAAATGTATTAACTATCACAATAATTGCGTCAATTAGCGAACGAGGAATGTATTGGTTTTACAATGATGTTTATTATTATTGTTATTATTTTTTACAATTTATACAATTTCTACCAATCTTGCTTCAATTTTCAATAATAGCACCTTTTCTGAAAGGAAATTTTATCATAGCAGTTTTCATAATAATTGCGAAAATCGGAAGATATACGAAAATAATGCTTTTATCATTAGATTCTGAATTTAGCGAATGTATTGGTTTTACAATAATGTTTATTTTTAATTTCTTTTTTTTATGTGAACACTTTTTCTACCAGAAAGCTTACATCGATTATCAAGTATACCATCTTCTTTAAATCTTTAAAAAGATCATTTTTTGCAATTCTCATTAATATTCGATATAATAAGAAAACATGGTTCTTTAGGTTAAAAAATATTAAAAGATTAAAAATAAGGCTATTAGCAGCCGTTTTTATTTATTTTTTGTTATTATTAAGTTTTTATTATTTTATAAATCTTTTTTAAACAATCACTATTATCTTGGAAACGCACATTATTATAACCATTTTAGCATAATATGGCATATATATTGTTGACAATGCAACACTATCAACTGAACTGCGCTCAGAATCGCTTTTTTGTTAACAATGATTTATTATTGTTTATATTAAGTTCCCGTCTGTATTCTACCTTCCCTACTTTCCACCCCTCCCATGACCCATCTTCGGTTTGTCCCTAATTCCAGTTGACATATGGTGTTGTTTCCATGGTTTCATATGGTATTGTATGTATTCGGTATTATTAGAGATAGCTGAATGTTAGGATGTAGTATAAATGTGTGATAATAATTATAATTTATATCGTTGTTCGTTAATGGTCATCAGTTCGTCCGTTCATACTATTTAATCATTGTTCAAATCTCTATTTGATATTACAATTTAGTGATAGTGTGATACCGTGCTTTAGCTAATTTATCTAAACACTTTAATAAATAATTCAAATAATCGAAAAAATAAATTTAACACAAAACTTAATGGGGCCGAAAATAAAACTTGAAAAAAGTATTAAAAAATTACAGGAAATCATCGATTTAAATTTATCTAAAAGTAAAACTTAATTATCTAGTACCTATCTATTTCAATTACGACTCCTTCGCATTCATACCAACTATTTACAGTCGACCACTCTCGACCTAAATTTCCACTTAACCTAAATCCCCCACATCATCCTCACATGCACCCGTCGACCTTGTATCATTCTCAATCAAATCGAAATACTTCTTTTTTGATCTTCCTCTCCCGCTCTTTCTTTCTACATTTATTTTCATTAAAATTGTGTATCTACAATTTTTTGATTCATCTCTTCTCATGACATGTCCAAACAATCTCGGTCTATTTTCTTTCATTTTGTCTGTCATCGAAGCCACCTTTATAGCAGATATTTTAGTAATAGACTCGGAAATTATTGCACTAAAAACTATTAAAATTGATTGCGTTATTGCTGCAAAAAATATCTAAAATTGCATTATGGCTATAAAAACAATAGGTACCTAAAATTGCAATAATTTATTTTTACCAATTTATTAAAAAAAAGAAAATATTAATAGTTTTATTGAGTTATTTTTTTATTAACATTTCGGGAAAATAATAACTCATGTGTCGTCTTATCAAATGGTATTTTCACCACAACCACAACAATCGACAAAGCCCGAAATAACCATCAATATACATTGAAGACAATAAAATAAAAATATATTTGTTTAATTTTTTTTATCAAACAAAAATTTAATTCAAATATAAATATCTGTAGTCCTTATTACTACAAGTAATATAAAAAAAAAAAACAAAATTTGTTTATCTTTATTATCGCAGGAGATATTACAATGCGTATATCTTAGTAAGACACTCTGTATATATAAAAAGAAAATCTGATACACAACACCCAGATCTCATCCCTGTATCAAGAGATTTGACATTTTGATGTTATGATAAAAGGATGGGATGAAAAAGGTTTTTTAAAGAAGACAAACAGAAAATTGTCCTTAAAATACGAAATTTGGTTATTTCTGAATTACCTTAGTAAAAGCGTTTAAAAAACAGTTTTTATTAAATTGATTGTCACGGAAAAGAAAAATATCTCCCAAAAAGTTTCACACATTGTTATTAATGCGATAACTGCCGCGCACTTTTCACATACATTGCACTGGAGGCCATGAGAAATAGAGGGGTCTAAGAAAACTTTGTTTTCGTTCACTCTTTTAAGGAAATTATTTCTGCAAGTACCTATGTAAACATTTTCCAAATATTTTCATAAGTTTTAGATCACATTTAGGGGTTGCGAGCAACCCTTTTATGAAAAAAGTGATGCTGTTTTTATTTTTTCAAAACATAAATAATAATTTTATCGACAAGTTCATTATTTTTTTTTTTGTAAAACACCATTATTGACAAATTTTTAGATTAAAGAAACAAATATTTTCAATAATTATTATTAAAAACAGACCCTTAATACTACCTCTAAATATTTTTTGTAAAGGTTTAAACTATTCCTGAGGGTTTATCATATTCCTCGTAAATTTATTATAAAAGCCATATATAATTGCCAAATAATTTTTAATTTGCTAAGTAAAAATTAATTTATAAAGTTGAAAAAAAACTAAGATAAATTAAAAATAATAAATGTATTAATTTATTTATTTGCGACTACAATATAGAATCTAAGGATACATAGTCCCCCTCAGAAAAAAATGTATCACATACTTATAGAAATTATACATATAGTCGTGTCATTGTGTCTATGAGTTTTAATACGACTGCTAGTATTACTGGCAAGAAGAATGGTGCTTGTATTAAATTACAAGAATAAAACTGTCCCATACTCCGTTCTATATAAGAACGTACCGTTTGGCGCATCCAAACGTATCATGGAACGTATCCTGCCCCCTTGGCTGAGTCTATTCGGTCTACGATTGGTTGCCGTTAGTCGGCTACGCGAGTTTTGACCGATTAGGTATCGTCCGCCGCCCGATACGTTCTTATTTGAAACGGAGTATAGGATAATAGGAACAGGGTCAGCCCGACCCATACCGGACCGGACCATAATATAATTATTGCGGGTTGGGTATGGGTGGAACCGTAATATTTTTATTGGACCGTGTCGGTCAAAAATAAAACCACTAATTTAATTGTTAACACAGTATGATCGGTGTTCACAAAAATAATCTAATTTTATAAATAATTTTTTTTTACACCACTACTCGCTCACGGATAGTAGTCAATAGTCATTTTCAATGTTAGATATAAAGTTATAAAAAATAATAACTTTATTTGTATTATAAAATACAAGTAGAATACTAATAGGCGTTAGATAAGTAAATGTTCCCAAACTGGTAATGTAGGCATTTCACAAATCATAATAATACAGAATATATACATATATTTATATTTATATTACTATACAAAAAAACAACCTTAAAAATAGGTTTAAGACTATTTTTAAATTTTAATAAAACTTTACACATTTTTCTTTGTAATATATTTATTGTATTTTTGAAAATTATTGTTTACTATATTAATACTGAAAAGTAAAAAAGTTGATATATCAATATTTTTTTTTTAAGACATACACGGCCATTTTTTTCATTAAATATGGTCAAGACTTTAAATTACAGTAGTCAAACTAGAATTTAACAAAACAAAATTATATTAAAAAATTATGAGTCAGGCCAAACCAAGATCGTGAAAAAAATCACAAACGGGTCTGGTCGAATAAGATTAAAAAAAAAAAAATTACAAACGGGATTAGTCGGGTTGGACTTCTAAAAAAAAATTATTGACGGGCCTGGACACATGGGCGTCCCCAGACATTTTTCTAGGGGGGAGGGGCAAAATTAATTTAAAAAATAAATGAAAATTTTTTATACATTTTATTTATAGTAGGTATATTATTATATTTTGTCATTATTACAATTAAAACATTACAATTAGATATTATTATAATACATTAGTCTTTTTCATTAAATATAAATTTCAATCTCCGTGGACATTCTCTACCAAATTGTGTCAGTGCATTTTCAATAAATTTTTCTNACCATGTCTTAACACGCCTTAATGTACTAAAAGAATGTTCTGCTGTACAGCTTGTATTGCTGTACAGATTTTACCTTTTCGAGATTTGTATATTTTATTGCTGCTAGAACGCGATGACAGTCGTTTCGATCGAAAGTTGCGTTGAAACTGATGGGAGTACCCGCGCGGGTAATAATAATGATGTATAATAATAATGATAGCAGATAGGTATATTGTCAAGTAAGCGATAAGATAATATACGCGATATAACAGCTAACAGCAAATAATTTATTGCCGTGTTAGCACCAAAATATACGATAAGATAAAATAATCCGATTATTAATGATAGTTTTTATGGATAGCCGTGCGCTGACATATAGCAACATAGGTAGACCTATTTTTAGAAGCTGATTTCTCATTGGGAATTTTACCAATTGCTATATATATATATATATAACATTCCAAGGGAGGGCAAGTGCCCCGTCTTGCCCCCCCTGGGGATGCCCATGCCTGGACAGTGACAGTTTTTAAGTTTAAGGCCGGATCGGGCCAGAAAAAACGGCCCGTGCTAATCTCTAAGGGGCAGCCACAGTTATAGGTGAGAAGTTCGGATGATAGTAGAAGGGAAATTTAATGTATATCATAAGCAATGATAAACCATTGCTAACGAAAAAACGATTCTGAGCGAAGTTTGATTGATAATGTTATATTATTGTAAAATATGTATTATGTATTTTCATTAATAATATTTGTTTTATATTGCACCCATTTTCCCGTTTTTTTATCAATTAACTGAGAAAATCAAAAGATGACTTCCCTAAAGTACCTCCCCTAAAGATTACCTTTAACAAAAATTGCTATCATTGTAAATTGGAGTGAAATTGCTGGTAGAAATGTAGTCCACAGAAAAAAATAAAATAAAATAAATATCATTATAAAACCAATACATTTTTTGCTCCACTTAGAATCTAAAATGGAAAAAAAACTACTCTTTTTTGTGTCGGCATTGAGCTTATTCCTGGAGCAGTATTTGATTATCTTATTGGACCTAGAACTGGATCAAATTATAAATCATTCCAGAAATTAAGTGATACTTGGGATACATTAGATTGTAATAATTATCATAGTGCTAAACAAGATGAAGCGATTTCAGCCATTCTTCTTCAAGTAAGAAAAAATGTAATTATTTTTATCTAACAGTTATCTTCATTTCAACTCCATAGTGACTATAAAGAATAATTTTAATATTAATTAATCTCAGTTTATTACTAAATTGTCTCAACTTTATTTATTATTGATATTGATTATTATTACTTCCTATAAATTTTATTCAACTTTTTAAATTATATTTTTTTATTTTAATTGGTAAAATTTATTGTTTTACTTAATTTTTAAATAACATTTAGATCAATCATTAATTTAAAGTTTAACATTATACATGTTCTATATTATTTACTGTTAGGAGTACTTGAGTACACATGACAACTTTACTGGTTAAACGTGATCTAGTCTCTTATCACTCTATGCTCTGATAGATAAGTTACCATTACATTTACCATTATCAGGTATCAATACAACAATAGGAACCTATAAACAATAATAATCGGAGCAAGATTTAAGGTTGAAAAGTTGTTCAAATTATATAAATTTTAATATTTTAATGTACCTATTTATTTGTATACCTACCTAATTAATTTGTATTGTAAAAAAGAGTTTCCATTTAATTGTTCCTCCACAAAAATGTGCCATTTCTTTCGACTAGGAAAAAAATTAAAATCATGGCTTTTGATACGCAGAAAAATGTCAAAATATCGAAAAACGCACGAAAAAAATTTTCTTTATGTGTCTATACTGTTTAAGAATCCGTGGTCAGACTTTTGATTTTCGCATTTTCCAACCGATTCCTTATACATATGTAGTCTATGGTGGTATTACCCGGCTACAGCTTCAAAATTGATACTGAATAGTGGAAACTATATAAAATATATTTATTATAAGACTATGTAAAACGATGATACTGTGGTACAGGCCAATATTTTTGAGAATAGTTAGTCACTTTGCATAGAAGTATAGAATTTATAATTTAGAATGTTGTCAACTCCATTGTAGTGAACTTGCCTTATCATTTATCTTACAACTGGAACATTCTCCATGAAATTATCAGAAAATATTTCCGCCGAGCGCCAACTGTGTTTCGGGCAAAAATAAAACAACCGAACGTTCAACATATTTCAGCCGAAATTATCTAATATAAATCTTAAATAAAATAAAGATCTTAATTCGTGGCCGAAACGTCCTAAAGTCTACTGATTATCAACTTTATTCAACTTGTAAATTTCTTGTCATTGTTTTTAATCAGAAAAGGTTGAATTAAAAAACTATGAAGTTTGAAAGTCGATATTTTGAACAAAAATTTGAAAGAACGTGCAAATTTTGAACTATAATTTCGACACAATTTTTAACAAACAAAAAATAATTAAACAAAATTTTGAATATTTACTATGATAAAAATATTATAATGTATAATTTAAATAGGTTTTAAATTATTTTTATAATATATTAAGTATTTATTATTTTAATATTGAATATATTAAATACATTTTAATACTAAGTATTGTAATGAAGTACAAAATCAATACTTAAGTAAATAACTATCTGAATTTTTACCAGTTTTTTTCTGATTTTCTATTTTATTATAAAAACGGCTTTTAAAATCATAAAATGGCCTCCTTAAAGTACCACCCAAGAAAAATTATCTTTCAGAAAAAGTCCTACCTACATTTGAAAATTGGAGTAAAATTTCTAATGGAAAAGTTGTTCAAAGAAAAAAATAAATCATTGTAAAACCAATAGATCCCTTCCTTAACTTAAAATCTAAAATGTCATACATTCTAGTTATAGTAAACCACATGTATCACATCAGTGTCAAACTCAGGATTGAAAATTGAAATAGACAATTACATAAGACATAACAAGTTGCAACCTAATGGTTCAGTCCAACTCAATTCTCATAAATAAAATTGATAGCTGTTTTGTAGAAATTATTAAATTTAAAATTTTAAACAGCAATTCACAATATAAATAAGAAATTATAGGTAATATTTTTCATTTTAAACTATTAGATATAAACGAAATTTCTTTACTATTTATTTATTTCTTATCACTCGTTATCGTTTTTTGGAAGCTTGACCTTATCTCTTTATTTAGTTTATTACCACGATTGATATATGATATACCTTATATCTTAAACCATATTTATTACGGTCTGCTGTATTATTTTCGAATAAAATACTATCGACTCAAATATTTTACAGTTTAAAATAAATACTATTTGGCTGATTTATTTTCGTGATTTTTACGCACTCCCGGCCCAACGTTATTATTACAGATTAGATAAAACCTAAATAATATTATTTTAATCATAGATAAATAAATCGCTTCCTAAGTTATTGATAAGAAGACCTGTTGTATAAATATATATATATTATATCATATTTATGGCCGTGACTGACAACAGAAGTAATTATTTCCCACTATATTTTTACTACTACACTTCTCTGTCAAATTAATTTTTTTTAATGATGTTATAATTTATATTATTATTACTTATATAAAATTTAATAACACATTTTTATATTAGGTACTTGGAGATTATTATAACTCTTTTACTATTATTCAATGATAATTAATATATAACTTAAAAATGAGAAAATACCAACAGTTGCTGTTGATTTTTGTATCTTTTGTTAGTGTCTTTTCACTGTTGCTGTACAGGTATGAATATATGAAACTTTTAAATGTCTTAGAAGTACTTAACTTTTTTGGATATACAGCTGATAATTTAACAAATTGTATTTTACTAGAAGATAAATTTTATACAGATTTAGAAAATGATAATTATCTTGCAAAAACACCAGTTTCTTGGATTAAACATGATCAACACTATGCATACTCTGCATTCTGGTCTACTCATCAACAATCTATTTATTTGCTACTTTTGGGGCCAAGGTCAGCTTTTTCTGGTTATGAATGTCGTGTTTGGTTTAAAATAGCTGATTTTTATACATCCAGACCAGGAAAATTTTCTTACAACATTATACTTAATGATCACGATTCTAATTTCCATCAGTTCAATATCCGTTGTAAACCAGACAATATTCCATTTGACACAGAACCATATGGAATTTTGATAGGAAAAGAAAATTCATTAAAACTATTTATACCAATTGAAGTTCAAAAAGAATCTCACCACAAAGACGATTTAATTGTTTGTATTGCACCAGATTATTCTGGTGTTCATGATACTCATCTTATAGAATTTATTGCTTATCATACATTGTTGGGTGTTCGTCATTTTGTAGCATATGACATTGGTATACATTACCAAGTTCTACAATTTTTACGTTCAATTGCTGGTCATAAAGAAATGTATAAAACATTTTCTACGCTATCTTGGCAATTCCCAACATTAGATTTACAAATGGAAAAGTCAATTTTACAAAAAGATTGCATACAAAGAACAAGAGGTCATGCTAAACATAGTATTTTATTATCATGGGATCAGTACTTGGTGTTAAATAAAAATTATCAACTTAATTCTTTAAATGATAATGTTTATACATTTGAAATGAAGAAATGTTGTAATAATCGTCTACTAAAAAAAAATTGGCCTATGGCTATGAAAAAAACAATTTGTGAAAAAACTAATGAGACCATAAATTTGATCACCGATGAACCAGTAATTGATAATCCAACACCTACCACTTTTGGATCAATACATAAGTTGGAAGAAATATGTGAGAAAATTAGTGGTAAAGATGACAAAAATATGGCTAGGTATTTAATTAACTTTGTAAATAGTAAACTGTTGATCTTATGGAAGTTACAATTGAAACATTCTATTAATCATGTAACAAATAATATGGCAATTAATCTTTAAAAACTAAAAATGATTGATGAATTTATTTTGAAAATTACAATAAAAATTAATTATATTATGTATGTAAATATTAAAAAAAAATTTTTTTTATATAAAATCAAATAAATATTACTATTTTTAATAACTGAAATAATGTGTTTTTTAAAACCTTCAAAGACATAAACAAAATTATGAAAACACATTACTGTAAATTAATAATAATTTAAAAAAAAAAAACCAAATTAAACTAATATACTTCAACCAATACGTTGGAAAATCACAGTGTTTAACAATCCAGCTTCTAACAATGTTTGATCATTGTTGTCTAATGTTTTTGGTGGATATGATGACTGCAGTTTGAATGGTCTAGAAGTAAAGTAAGCTCTAGCACTGATATTTAATTAAGTTAAGGAAATCCTGTTAAGTAAATTAAAACTAATTTTGAAAAAAAATAAAAATGTTGTTATAATTAAAAACCATACACTAATTAGGATATGCAATTAGAGGCTAAATTTTACATTTTCATTACTATAATGTTTTGACATGCTAAATTTGCCCTCTAAATATTTGTGATTATTTTATTCGTACTAACTTATTTACTAAGCAACATATACCTTATGAAATTAATCACTTGGAGTTCTGTGTAGATTTAATTTGTTTTATTGGCTATAATAAAAATGGGCAGATTTCATTGTTAGCCAATGAAAATATTTGTACTATTTTGTATTAGTTATCTGCAAGTGTAACACTGCAATAATAATTTGTATTAAACCTAAGTCTCTGCTACGCTAAACAGTACACCAGCATAAATGACAGTCACTTAAAATATAGGGATATTGTAAAAACAGCCATTAATAACATAATTTTGAAATACAAGTAAAAAATACCAGTAGAATCAAATATTACTTTACCTATTTTGCATTGTAGAAATATTAGTTGTAAACAAATTCTTAACACTATTAAAAAAATGAAATTTATAAACAAAAATAATAGGCTACACAATTTAAACCCCTGGCTTCATTTGGGAGGGGCCTATAGGGGATATTAGGCAAAAAAACACACCTGGCGCAACATCATACAATTTAACTCAACTTCAATCACTTCATTCACTATTAAAACAACTTAAATTCCTGAGTATGATTCCATTTAGAGGAAAATGCTAGAAGGCTTTAGAAAGTTTTCTACAATGTTTGAAAAAATACTAATTGTATTAAAAGGATACGCAATAATGTAGCGACGAATATCTCCAATAGTATGACTTTGATTAAATGTAGCTATGAGTCTAGTTCCATCTACTAATCTGATCTGCAATGAAGTGGTAGGAGCATCAGGTATTAGAGGAACTTCAGCACGAGCAGCAGCTTCATTGACAACACCATCATCCGAAGAAGCTTCTTTTGAACTCTCATCACCAACAACTTCTGGTGCAGGACTATATATGTAAAATTAATATTTTAATTAATGTACAAAAGCAATGCTTCTCAGAAAAATTAATATGAGACACAGTTATTTTACTTATAAAAATAAAATAACAAAGTGTAAATAATTTTTACTTGAAAATGGGTTCTAATATCTACATATAAACCTAACATAAAAAAGTATGACTTTCTGAAAATGAACCTCCTGTTAAATTTCCGAACATTTTTATTTTGTCCAGCAATTTTATACAAAGAGTACTTACTTGTCAAATAAAAATTATATAAAAAAACTTGCAAAATTAAAACATCCATATGTAAATAGTTCAAAAATGACTTGTTTTGAAAATTTGACCACGTATAGAAAACCAAATATAAGTTTTTATCAAAATTTTTAACCAAATAATAAATCCATACATTTTTCTCTTCTGTTTTTTTTTTTCATTTTCACTCAATTATTTCAATAAAAAAGGTATCTTGTTTTTCTATTGTAACAATACTTTTCATAGAAAACATTAAGTGTACAAATTAAAAACAATGCAATCGGTAACGCCAGAGTGTACTGTAAATATTTGCTGTTTTACCCAAATTTTATTTCCGGTTTTTCTCAATTATTTTGAAAACCCCTTGGAAAATCAAAAATTGAGCTCTCTAATGCAGTGGTTTTCAACCTTTATTGTGTGACAACACCTAATTTAGACCCATAAAAATGACGACACATTTAAAAAAATTAATGAAATTAAAATGATACACAGAATGCTAACAAGTCACAATACGGTAAATACGATCGAGGACATGGTTATTTACGTACCTACACGTAATGCCAATTTCCTAGTTTTTCTTATCTTTGGGTCTAACCATAACATAACAATAATGTCATATATGTATGCTTTGAATACATAAAGTAAAAAACTATAAAGTATTAACAATCATAAATGAACAATTTTTTTTTTCGCTACGCTCCAAATCTAAAATTAAACTGAACATACCTTCCCAATAAATTACCAGAACCTCCAAAAATCTTCTTCTTTGGTTTAGATGGTACATATTCTTCATATCTATGATCTTCAACACTAACATTGAGTTCATCATCACTAGAAACATTTACTTCTTTCAAAAGTAATGGAGGAATATCTTCTCTAAAAAATAAATACATTATAATTAACCACAATGGTATTCAGTCTAATTTTATTATTAGGACGATTAAATAAAAAAAATTTAAAAAAAAATGAATGTATTAAATTAAAATATTGTGAAACATTACTACAGTATTTATAGATTACTAACCCTCTAGCAACTGTAAGTAAAAATTCTCTATTTTCTGGCTGATCAATACTATGCAATTCACCATCATTAATAGTGAATCCTTCTTTCCACACTTTTAACACAACTTCTTGATTAGATGAACGCTTTGTAGTAACATTGCGTGAAGGGATCACTAAAATCGAAATATTAAACTTAATCTAAAATTGTAAATGGGAGTTAAATTAGTTTATTTTACTTACCTTCGGTGTCATCTGCAGTCTGTCCTAATGTATATCCTGTACCAAAGAAATGTGAAGCTCCACTTTCTTGACCAGAACTACCACTAGTGCTTGGTGCTGAATTAATAGCATACCTAGATAAATTTATTTGTTATTTCTATAAAATGTATAATGTAAAGGTAATTTAAATTTATAAAGTATTATCTACTTCTGAGCAGTTTGAAACATGTCTGTAATAACATCTGCATTGTTGCGTGGGGGCCCAATGACTTGTTGGCCACTTGTAATTGATCCACCAGCATAGAACCTCTGACCTTCTTCATCATCACTATCTTTGTCTTCAGCTTCAGCATTCCTCAAAGAACCGAATGTCATAATTCTAAAAATAAATTAAATATTAAAATAGTATTTTCTTAATTGATTTCAACATTTATTTACTAAAAAACGTACCTAGGTCGATTACTAGATTTTGACTGCCATTTTTTTGGTTTTGCCGCTGGATTATAGCTTGATGCACTTGCTATTGATACATCCCTATTTGATGCAGCTGCTGGACTCGGAATTGACGGGCCTGCAGTGGCTGCATTATCACTTACTGTTTCCTCACCAGCTACATCATAATAATTCATTACCGCAATCTAAAAATTAAATGATGAAACAATTATTTAAAAATTATTATTAATAATTATTTTATTCTTACATCCATATTCCAAGCAGCCGACTCTAAATAAAATTTAGCTCTTTCTTGATCTACATCAGTAAAGCCAATAAATTCCTTTATCTTGGCATTTTGCTCTGCTTCACTCATTGTTAGTTATGTATGCAACTTTAAACGATTAAAGGATAATTTTATTTTTACTATATAAAATAAAAGGAATTTAATGCAAGATTATAATGAACAGTACAATAATAATTTTTAACTTTCAAGTGAATACTCAATAGTCAAAACTACCAACTCGTTTATCTTTTGCCCACAAAAAGCGCTTGTAATCAATTTTTTTTTTTGTTTTCAATTTTATTTCATGACGTAACCTAAAATATATGTACAGTGTAGTTAGTCTAATAAAAAATTCAATAGTCATGATTTATTTAGTTATTTTTTGTTATAATAAACCACAGTATTAAACTTAAATCATTTAAAATATATGATTCAAGTGTTTAAAGTAGATATTTATTTAGATATGATAAATATATGGAATTATTGGAATTGAATTAGTATTTAAAACTAAATTTAATGTTTTTTTTTTTCATTTTTACCTACACTGAGTACAACTAATACATTTAACTCAGTGCTTTATTATCACCACGGTCTTAAAAGATCCATGATTATCACAATATCTCAACGAACAGAATTATTATTGTTATTTGTTCTACTCTCTGATACATATTAATACTATATATCAAATATACCAACGAGCGTCATAACTCATTTATGACTATAGTATTTGTATAAAGTAATAAAATAATAGTTGTGATTCATAATTTTGTGTTGTTTGTAACAATTTTAGTTTTATTCGTATTTTTTTAAAAGATATATTTTACATTTTAAAATTTATCGGGTTAGGTAATCTTCAAATATGGCTGACGCATTTGACAAACTTCGTATGATGGAAGACGAAATGAACAAGTATTTTTAAGGGAATATTAAGTTTTTTGAATTTTGTTTTTTACATAATTTTCTTTTTCTTTAAGATTTGAAGAAGAAATTGGGATACCTAATTATGTTGATGGAACATCTTGTACTCAAACATATAGCCAAATGAACCACCATTTAGTAAATCCTAATGGGTATCCGATTGAAAATGATTCTACAAATTCATACATGGAGAGTACATTACCACTAAATTCTGGTAAATTCAAATTGAATTAATATGTTATATAGTTGTTTATACTACCTAGATAAAACAATTTTATTTTATATTTTATGAAAATTAGTTAAATTATTGAATTATTAAAAATATCTATTCTAGTACCTATTGAACAATTTAGGACTATCACATAATTTTAAGGAGAACGCATATCTTGTATGTCTTGTATTTGCTTACCTAGATGCTACCTACTTATCAAATAAAAAATTTGATTAAAAAATTTACATAAGCTGACATACTTTTACTTTCTTTTTTTTTAATAACAATCACTATTTATAATTTATTTATTTCTCTTAGTCTGAATACAAAATTTATATTATAATATTGAACAATAAAATAATTATTTCAAAATTAATTTTTAGGGTGTATATAATATATGTATATTTTTAGTTAATACTTAGGGTTATTGTTAAATTTGTTAATCTGTATATCATATTAGCTTAAAATTCATTTGTAGACTTCAGATTTTTCTTCTGTATTCAATTTTCTTTATTTGTTTAGATAAATTTTCAATTATGGGACAGCAAAACACTATGACATCTCAAGGATATAATAATATGCGGCCAGGATTTTCTAATAATCAAATTCAGTCTCAACGGAGATTTAATGTAAAAGTAGATAAAACAATTGGACCAGTAATTCTCAGGTATGATATTGAGTTTAAAATATAAATAAATACAGTAATTCTAATCAAATTATCGCTGATAGTAAGTTAATTAATTTTGTAAATTCTCTTTTAGGTAGTTTTAGTCTTTAAATCAGTGGTTCCCAAACTTGTTTTTTTACTGTACAAAAAAAAATTCCCAAAGAGGCCCCCTTCAAAGACCAAATTACATAGAGGTATGCAGTGATAAATTAATTTAATGTGTATATTTATTAGTGATAAAGCAAAAGAAGATATTACCTTAATAAGATAGATGGTGTTTTCCTAAAAATTTGGTTCAGTTTAGTCTAGTTTGGTTTAATTTTTTTATTGAATATTAATTTTACTTCCTCATTTGTGGTTACTACTATCATTTATTCTTCTAATTTTATAGAATTTTCAGTTTTTGTTTATGAAGTGGGGTCTAAAACCCAGTTGAAGATGTTTATTTTAAAATTCCAATTGAAAAAAAAAATCACATCCAAAAAACAACCACCGCTTACTTTTATAATTCATTCCCTCCCAATTTAACTTGTAACTTCCATTGTTCCTCTTGGAGTTTTACAAATTACTATAGGTGAAGTTCAGTGGAAATCTATAGACAACATAGCACTTGAGAATTAAAATGGATGCCTATTTACCCCTTTTCCTTTATCACTTTAAGTGTTGAATATTATAAATTATTCGACTCCATAAACCTACCAAAATATGAATCATCTTTGTATAATTTTTTTGTATGCAAAATAGCAAAACAATTAAGCATATTTATTAATAATATCATAATTTGATTTCAGACTTTACTATTTCTTTCTATTACTAACTATTTTTGTTAATATTAAATATTTATTTATTTTATTTTTATTCATTTTACCAAAATTATAAAACTGAGTACCTAAAATATTGATAAACAATTTCTTATTCCAATGTATTGCCCCTTATAAAGGTCAGTTATTCAAAGATTAAGAAAAAATATGAATATTCTCTTCAATCATTTTAAAAGTTGAGTAATATAAGTAAATTAAGTAAAGAATTATTTTATATTTAATTACAACAAAGTAACATAATTTTAAACAAATTACAATATCAGTTAACTAGACTAAAATAATAATAATAAATATTGAATAATAGAATTGTATTTAAATGTATACATACTATGTTGAATTATTTATTGTATTGTATTTTTCAGTGGAGCTCCTAAACTTTACACTTCCAAACCTGAACCTCCTCAATTACCTGTTAGTGATCCTATTATTAAACCTGAAGATGTACTAAAAATGACAACCAGCATTAATCCATTAAAAAAAGAATCAAAAAAGTCACAACCTACAATATTGCCTGGTAAAGAAATGGCAGAGGCTGTTAAAGCAACATCTAAAACAGTTGTTGTATCAGCTGGCGGTAATGCTGTTGCTGCAGCTGAATGTGCAGCCTCAATTCCAAATCAATCTGCCAAGAGTAAAGGGAAAAAAAATAAAAAATTTATACGGACATCTGGTGGACAAGTATGGGAAGATCAAACACTGTCTGAATGGGATGAAGGTAAAATCTCTATAATATTATATTTTACTATTATTATATAAATGTTATATAAATATTGTTTTTAGATGATTTTAGATTATTTTGTGGAGACTTGGGTAATGATGTTACAGATGAATTATTAGCTCGTACATTCAGCCGCTATCCTTCATTTCAAAAAGCACGCGTAGTTCGTGATCGCCGAACTATGAAAACTCGAGGCTTCGGGTTTGTTTCATTCAAAGATCCAGCTGATTTTATTAGAGCTACAAAAGAGCTTAATGGTATTTTTGAATTTGTTATTATTTATTTGTACAATGCTTATATTCCAATTAATTATTAGGACGTTATGTGGGCAGTAGACCAATTAAACTACGAAAAAGTATGTGGAAAAATAGAAGTTTAGAAGTAACTAAAAAGAAAGAAAAAGAAAAGGCTGCACTTATTAACTTACTTACTGGTCAATCTTCATGAGAAAATAAATGTATTATTTTTCTAAACCTAATTTTTAAATAATGTATAATTTTTCTGTAAAATTAACCCATTATTTTAATTTATAATTCTTAAATTTGCAACTTGAAAATTTTATTTGAATTTAAGTTATTTTAAACCAATTTAAATTTAAAAAATAAAATATATTTTCAAATATCATAGAAACCTTCAAATTCCTAAAACCTTTATAGTTCAAAGAATTGTCAATGAGATGAACAATGTAAACAAATACAAAAAGAAATATAAAATATTTATATGTTTAAAAACCATTTACAATTTTATACAATTTTATGTTTTTACTGATAATTGTTAAAGTTAATATTTATTTATTTGAATAAGTTTTACCTAATTTAACAAGAAGGAAATATTAAAATGAGAATCATATATTCAATAAATTGTAGCATTAATATTTACTAACAAGTCTATTAAGAAAAATTAAGTTTATTATGGGTTTTTGTCATATGATCTACTGGTGTAACAAGACAATTTAACAAATTTAATCTTTTTTTTTTATATTCTACTACTTCTAAACTAAAAATACAAAATTAATTGTATAATCCAAAAATTTGTCTGAAAATGAAAGAAGAAATCAAATTAAGCTTTTATACTTTTATTAAGATTTAAAAAAAAAATTGTGTTAACTATTATTTTACTTCATTCATTTTTAAACAATTTTAAAGTTTATTAAAATTCAAATTTATTTCTTGCTAATTTTACTAAAAATTAGGTAATTATAATTGACCAGTGATAAATGATTGACATTTATCAGAAGTACACATAGACCTTATACCATAGACATAGGTATAATATTATATATCTATGCCATAAACTAATGCATCGTTTCTCAACCTTTTTAGTGTCACGACCCCCAAAATAGGTATAAAATATAGTCAATCACTTCGCGATCACCCCCCCCTCCATCTAGGTTAGGTAAAAATTTAAACAGTAAAAATATCCTATCATTAACCAAACAAAATATAACATTTTAAATACCATATTTAGTAGTTTAAACTTATCAAGTTTGTATCGGGTCGTTAGGAATTTCCATTAGTGGAGTAGTGCCCGTTTTATTGATGAGATATCTACATTTAACCGACTGGTTATTATTGTTATTTTTAATATTATTTTTGTGTGTTATGAAACGATTAATTTATCAATGACAGTCGATAAATTTAATAATCGATACATTTAAAAAACGTGTTATCTGAAGCTGTAAAAATAGTAAATTATATTAAAAGTCAACCGCTGCAGTGCAGATTATTTTCCACACTATGTGAAGAAATGGGCTCCAAGCGCAAGTCACTGCTTTTCTATACCAAAGTTAGGTGATTGTCACGAGGAAAAGTTTTAACGCGGATTTTTGAGTTGCAAAATGAATTAAAAATATTTTTAAAGATCGAAATAACACATTTTAAACTTTTTTCCAAGATAATGAAACATTACTATTTTTGGCTTATTTGAGTGATATATTTTCATATTTGAATGCCTTGAATATAAGCTTACAAGGCCGTGAAAAGAACATTCTAATAATGTCAGATAAAGTTAATGCTTTTATCAAAAAACTTGGTATTTGGATCATTCGTCTTGAAAAACGAAATTTTGATGCATTTGATTTAACATCAAATTACATTGAAAAAAATGTAAACTTAAAAAGTCCTATTCTTGATCGTGTTTTGGATACCATGAAAACACATTTAAGAGAATTAAAAATTCAATTACTCGAATATTTCTCATGTAACGACAATGACTTCTCAAATAGATGGGTTCTTAATCCATTTGACGAAAATATTGTTGCAGTTGCCAAATTACCAGTTGATACTCACAACCAACTGATAGAATTATCAGCTGATAAGACATTACAGCTACAATTTGCATCTCAAGATTTAAATAAGTTTTGGATTGCNACAGAGGCATTGAAAATTTTGATTCCGTTCGCTACTTCTTATTTATGCAAAAAAGGATTCTCATCCATGGTGGCAATAAAAACTAAGTATAGAAATTGTTTGTTATCACTAGAAAATAACTTACTTTTATGTGTTTCAGATGTTGAACCACAAATTTAACTTTTAAATTTAAAACAAATTCAAAGATCACACTAATTATTTATTTTTATATTTATTAATTTTTTATGTATATCCTTATCGGGATAATTTTATTATTATTATTTTAATTTTTTCAATAAAAAGTCTTAAATATTTAAATAAAAAGGTACATTTTGTAAATCAGCGTTTTATTATTTTTGACCTGCGCGACCCCGAGTCAAGGTGTTCGCGACCCCCTGGTTGAGAAACGCTGAACTAATGTTTATGATACTCATTGAACTATAAATGAGCTATATACAAGTAAATGGAGTTCAAATGATGATACTAGACAAGCTGCTATGTACGTTTATATGGGATGAGTATAATAAAAGAACAAAAGAAAAAAGACAGACCTACTTTTCAACACGGGTAAACCACTGTTAATGAGAAGTTGTAAAAGTAGTATATAGAGGAATTTAATTTATGTCTGTAGGTAACGATTGATTATTGCTAATGATTAATGAAAAACGTTTCAGAGTAAAGCTCAGTTATATATTTTAAGTATGTAATATTTACAATTTTCATCAAAATTTTATATTTAAATTATAAATAAAAATAGACAAACATACTTTGCACGTTTTTTCCTAATTATTATTAAAACTACTTGAAAGATCAATAATTACACTTTACTTTAACAAACTCCAAATTTTTCAAAGGGAAATGTTAAATTTTGAAATGCACAAAAGTAAAATAAATTATGCTTTTATGTATTTTGATTAATAGTTTTCCATAGGACTGCTCATGTTCTGTATTATGGAATATTGGGGTGTATTTAGCATGGGTTTTTATGTTTTATATGCACATACTCTACTAGTTTCTTATTCAGAATGCAGTAATAATTACACAAGCTCTACAAGCTTGTGTGTCTTAATCTTTTATTAATAAAGATGACTAATTGATGCCTAATGATCTTAATTTGTGGTACTTATACTAAAAATATTTGATATTGTTAAAATTTACTCAACCTCAGAAAGTTTTTGTATAGATGTATTATTATATCCACACACACAACACTGGAGTAATATTTTCTGTATAGATATTGTGTAAATTAGATAGATTTAATTTGTTTAGTTAAAAAATACATATAACTTATGTAATAATACATTTTTCAATATAAATAATTGCATTATGAATTATATTTCCAAACAGTATAAAATTAATTAATAACTATAAATAAATTTGTAATTTTTATTTTATAAGATTTAATTTAGGTTAATTTTGAAATGAATGATTTATTAAAAGAAGTACCATTCCATGTATTTCTTAAATTAGGAAAAATAAAATTTATGACAAATACTTATTGGTAATATAGGATTTACAGTATACTCATATTTGAACCTTTTCTTCTGTTGTCCAGGTGGCTCTGAAAAATATCAAGATATTTTTACCCTTAAAAATATTAAAAATGGCTCAAAAAACCAAAAGGTAAGGATACAAAATTACTAAATCAAAAAATTAAGATTTATAATAAGATGTTGGGAAAAAAAAAACTATTTTAGTTACAGCCAATATCCAAGTAAGACCATTAATGACCATTGATACATACATTTTATCAATATCTAGTTTATGTCGCAGATGCTCGGCTGTTTTGGTAACACATCTAACTATAGGATTGTAATACATATAAAAGATAAATCTACATGATGTAATATCTAATATAAAATGAATACATAATTTAATTGGAATATTAATTGATAATGCACAATAAGTGGAAATTGTAGTTGACTAATTTCTGAATAATAATTTAAATAGAATTTATTATTGTATAATTATAATTACCTTAATTATAGTTCCAAATTGAGGTCTTCTGAGCAAATTGTAAACAGTAACCAAGAGTTGTTTACAGATACCATGAAGTTCAGGATTTCCATCACAAAAAATATCAATGCCTAACTCAAGTCCTGTACCAAAGTCACATTCATCACAAGCTATATTAGCATAATTTATAATAGTCTGTAATTTATCCCTTTTGTCAAATTTTTTACTTTCATTTGCTTCACGGTAAGATTTTAAAATTCTTTGTAAAGTTCCTAAATAAATAATAATGTAAGATAATAACAATAATACAATTTCTAAACAACATACTTTCAGATTCTGATAAAGGTCGATAACCAACATCAGTCTTTTTATCATATGGAACAACAACTCCAAATCGGTGAAATGTTTTTGCCACTGGTTTTACTTTTCGACCTTTTAAAATGTTTAAAAGTCCTCGAGTTTCTACTGAAATCAATTTTTTACTAATTGAAAGTGCAACATCTTCTTTGAATTTATCAAAATACTTTCTAAAAAAAACATTTAAAATAAAAGTACTTGAATAATAAGAATTAAATTTTATTTTAATCTAAAAATTTACCGTAGTACAGAAAAAACACTTAGACCTAATGATTCAATTATACAGTTTTTTTCTGGATCATTAGAAACAATATAAACTGGATCTTCTAATGGTTGATCTCTATAGTAACCAATATGAAATTGAGAATTAGTACTTGCTATAATTGTCTGGAAAAAAAATAAACATTATTATAAAGTAATAGATATATTTAAACCTAACTTTCTAAAAAGTTATTGAAACATTTACCTGAACATCATATATATAAAAATATAGATAACTATTTAGACTTATATGAGTCAAATTTTATTTTATTACCAGAAAATAAACACTAAATAAATAGATTGTTTTAGATGTACGATTATGGGTTTAAATAACGCATAAATATATATAGGATAAATGCACATTCTTAAACAATGCATTATCTTTGGACCATACACGCCCATATGAATTTACTTTTTAGCGAGTAGTATAAATCATCATCAGGGCTTGGAACTTTATGCACTTAAAATCCACAAAAAAGGGATCAAAAACATCAAAAGAGCCTTGATAAGGAACTTAAAAAAAACAAACAAATTATAGTATTAATTAAAATATGTTTTAAAAAGTTCCTCCACTAAGAGCTCTAACTTTTAAAATACAATTTTCAAATACTACAAAAATGATAAACATAAGTTTGAAAAAAAAATTGTAGTTATAAAATACTGTGTGTTTTTATAGTGTTAAAAAATTGCATCTTATAGTTATGGTGGACGGTGGTGGAAATTTTAAACCCCTCTGAACCCAGTGATTTTCGCTTTTTATATATATTATTTTAGAACTTTAGATATTTTTATGCTTTTTTCTGTGGATTTTAAATGCATAGTCTCGAGCTCTGATTATCATCATTATTCATTGTAAGTTAATTTTTAAAATAGCCTCAATTATTTTTCCAGAGTTTACATAATAAAGTTGTGTTACTTAATTGGTCTGCTCTAAGCACTCATGAAAGAACATTTATTTAAAGCAAATTATTATAGATTGGTATCATAAAGTAATTAAATTTTGAGAATTATTAGTATTGAATTTTCATAGTCAATACAATAATATTAAATAATAAATTTTAACGCATCATACAATATTTAACAAAAATCTTCTTTGGAGACAATAAACTTCACTAAGAATATTTAAAAAGGAACTATTTATTCATAACAAACGAGATATATTTTTGAATAACATTAAATTTTGGTCATAATAAAGTTCACTTACTTGAAACTCTGGAGGATCATAGTAATAACGCCAATGTAAAAAACCTTTTTCTAAATATTTAGGATCAAATGCATTCATATGTCCAGCTAACACGTCATAAGGTCCAACTAATTTCAATCCAACTGGTAAAAATGCATCTAGATAAAAAAAATTATTATTATTTTTAATAATAATTTATTGCTAAATACAGAGTGTAAAAAACCTTCTGGATGGGCAGGACATAGTTTTTTACAAAAAGTCCATAACTCGTAAAATTCTTTTGGCATTTCACCAACGAGAAATAATTTAGAAATCTGTGCATTCCAAGAAACAACATCGGTAGCAGAAAGAACTGTAACTTCATTTAGTTCAGTATCATCTGGATCTGATAGTTCTTCATTTACATCTAACAAAATATTTAAAACAATTTATAAAAAAAGATAGGTAAGATATTGGGGACAGATGCAGCCACAGGTATAGGTGAGAAGTTAGGAAGTTAGGATATAGATGGGAATTTAATGTATATTTGTAAGCAATGATTAACCATTATTTACGAAAAAACAATTCTGAGCGAAGTTCACTTGATAGTGATGCTTTGTCAACAATTTATATGTGATTTTATAATAAAATAATTAAAAAAGCTTTATATATTTTCTATAATAAAATTAGTTTAATGTTGTACTGATTTTCCCAGTTTTCCTAAGTTTTTCCATGTTTTTCACAATAACTGGGAAAACTATTGAGAAAATCAAAAAATTACCTCTCTAAAGTAACGAAACGTCTTTCTAGATACATTGCTATCATTAAAAGTTGGAGCAAAATTGCTAATAGAAAAGTTGTTCACAGAAAAAAAAAATTGTAAGATTATATTTATTATATTTTATACATTTTTCTGTTTTTCGCATTTGATGAAATAATCCTTGAAGTACCTCCCCACACCAATACAAATAAAGGAAATTACATGACGACAAATTAAAAAATTAAATTTAGAACTTCATAATTTGTCTTCAGTGATATTACTGAATCTCATATCACGTAGTTATGTGCGATTAACTTGATTCTAATAATGGGCACCAAGCTATTTAATAAAATACCTACTGATATTGGATATTTTTCATTTACACAATTTTAAAATATAATTTACTTTGGTTATTAGACTTTAATGATACATTATAGAAGTGGTTAATTTGTTAGTTAATTGTTAATATAAATTATGTGATTTGTATTTCTTATTCTTAAAAATAGCTTCACATAATTTTAAATTATCGTGTGCTTAGTTTTCCTTTTTTTATCGCTCTATTTATTTGTATTATTTAAATAATGTATCTTTATGATTAGTTTTATTTTTTTTTGTTGTTGTTGTTAAATAAATAGCTTAACTGCTTTAAGTATAAGAACTCCTGAGCTCCCACATAAGTTCTCTTAGTGGAGCCCACTATTCAATACTTGTATTTCAAAATAAATAAAATATATAGATAAAATTAAAATTGTAATAATTAATCTCAATTTATTTTGCAAATAAAATATAGTATTTTCATTTCAAATTGAAATTATAAAATTCAAGAAATAAGGGACATGAAAGTTGGACAAGGTGGATGATACAAAATACGAGACAAAAATGTTATTTAGGAAATTTGGTTGGGATAATTCAAATACAGAATATGTTATAAAAAAATAGTTATTTTTAAAATTACCGGAAATTTGAGATTCACCAATGAATGTAAATTGTGGTGCTTGAAAGCTAGAAGGTACATGTGGTGAACTAATAGTCTCACCATCTAATCGCCGAGGTGTAAACAATGTTGGAGTGCATGGAACAATACTATCATCACCACTGCAATCTTCTAAAGTAGTATTTGTCTAAAACAAGTATTTGTAATACAACTTTTAATATTTTAAAAATTTAGTAATTAAATAAAATTAATTTTAAAAACATAAATAATAAAAAAAATAAATAGTTCAAATAGCTTATAAAAAGAAAAAGAATTAAAACCCCTTAATTTATCATTTTCAAGTAATACCAAGATAAATTGTTTTTGAAATTCCATTGTTGTAATTTTTTATACTTACTAATAATAATTGTTGCTGTTGTTGAGTACGCAATCTTGCTGATGGTATAACATACTCAGTCGAATTGTGTTGCTCATTTATAAAATTATTACCACCTGTCTCATTAGCAACATTATTAACAGTAGTATTTGATTGTTCAGGCACTTCCATATCTTTTGTTTACATAAAAAAAAAATTTTTAAAACTATTTATACACAAATCATTATTCACTATTAATATCAAATTAGGAAATGCAAAAATTGTTTTGAAGTAAATTATTCGTATATGACACTTATTTATGAGTAAATGTTAAAAAAAACTACTATATAATATAATATACCTACACATTGCACATACTTGAGTATTCAAAAGAATTGTATAGTAATAACAAGTAATACTATTGTTTAAACCTATTTTTAAATTCATTGTCAAGGCATCAACTATTGGAGTTTACTACAATATTAACCGCGTATATTTCCCGAGTTATCATGTAAAAAAAAGTTAAACTTGAACTATTACTGAATACAAGTTGTTTCTACCAAATATATTATTGTTATGTTGCAGGAAAAATATTATCAAGTTATTGAATACAACATGAATAGATAAAATTGTAAAATGTATGATTTTTAGGAATTAATTTTTTTTTATATTTCCCCTATGGGAGAGGATTAGAATACTCCCGTGGTACTATTATCTGTCGTATGAGGCGATAAATGTGATTGTGCCAGGTTGATAATCTATGAAAAATTCTTTCAAACAGTCTGAGGTGTTCTAAACAAGACTTTGGCTGATTGTTCCATCTTGAATGTGCGCAAGAACAAAATGTAGAGGAGTTACCATGGTATATGATATAGCTTTAATAAGAGAAAATATGGTATAAGTTAACAATAGGTTTAAAGAATGGTAAGTAGAAGGAAAGGGACTAAGAATAAGTAGAAGTGAACTAAGTATGAGTTTGGAAGAACAGGACAAGACAGCTAACGAAAATAAGCGATTATAAGCAAGGTTGAGAGTTTTAAGTACCTAGGATCTTTTCTTCAAAAGAACGGTGGCTTTCATGAAGTTGTAAAATCTTATGTGGTTGAATAAAGTGGGAAAAACTGTCAGGAAATTATGTAACAAGGGATTTCCAATAAGACTTAAAGTTAAGTTCTACAAAAATGAAGCAAGACTATGTTGTATGGTTCATAGTGTTGGGCGTTAAACAGAAACATAGAACAGAGAATAAGTGTAGCAGAAATAAGAATACTTAGGATGAAAGAAATGACGAAAGAAAATAGGATAAGGAGCAAGTACATAAGAGGTGGCTTAGGTATGACTTTGATAAGACAAAATGAGAGAAAATAGAGTGAGATGGTTTGGAGATGTCACAGAGAGAGAGGAATCTGAAACAATAAAAATTGTAATGAAAATAAACATAAAAAGAAAGCTATGGAGAAAAAGGGTTGGATACGGTTGAGAATAAGAGGACAGCTAGTGTGTGCGAGGTGCGGGATCTGATCAAGTGAAAGTTTAGAACGAGAGTGGCCAATCACAATTGGTTGGGATGAAGGCAAAAGAAAAGAAGAACCAAAATTAATATTTATTATATATTTATTCATAGTTTATTGTATGAATAATTTAGTACTTTAGATTTTGAATGGAGTAAAGGAGATATTCATTAAATTAGAACACTTTTCGTCAACAAAAGTATAACCGGATTGCCAGTTACATATTATAGTGCATACAACTATTACATACCATGACTACCTTGATTTTCAATATGTGAATCATTTCTGTGATTAACACTGGATGATTCACCATTATTAAATTTTACTTTTCCTTTGGAATCCCTTTTTCTAGTTGTTTTCTTAGTATCTATTTTAATATCATCCTATAACCACATAACATATTTTAAAATATAATAAAAATATTAATTTATCTCATATCTTACTTTAGTTGGCGGATGTTTGTATTTATCTAGATGTTCTTTACTTTTTTGAAAGCATTTTCTACCATATTTACATGGTGTTCGACTATCTTTTTGATATGCAAAAAACTGTTCCATTTTGTATATAACTTTAAAGTATTACTAAATTATTGGCTTAATGAATATTAAATTAGTTTACCTTATATTCAGGAATCGTCGTGTTTATACTTAAAGGTAAAAACAAAGTTCAACTAAATTAAATTTTAAAGGATAATTGCATTTTATAAACAAAAATTATTACGTACTAAATACTGATAGCTGTTATCTACTCAACCTACACGTGATAAAATTAGATTAATGAGCTTCAGTGCCGTCTTAACGGATTTTTTTGTAACTATATACGTACTTACTATGACTCTACAACTTAAGATTACTGAGTTATATCTAGTTTACCATTCAGCTACAAATAATTAAGTATGAGTATCAGAGATAAATATGAGATGAGTACTAAAAGAAAAGATGTTCAATATTTTAAAATTGTTTTCAAAAAAAACTGAACCATTAGCTGATGCTAATACAGAAATTCTTCCTGATAACCCATTTCCTTTACTTACCACAAATTCTATGAATACTCTTATTACATGTGAAAAAATATAAATTCCAGCTATCTACTTATTATTAATTATTGGTAACATAACCAGATTACCTATTACTACATCATCTGCAAAACGCTTTTTCTCTGCATTACGTGACTTAAATACATATATCTAACATCTGTTACTAAAATATCAAATCATCTCTACACAAATAGGTACATCTAATTTGTATGACCTCTCTTCTGATCACAGTCCAGTCTGTCTTGTAGTTTAGTAATCGGTAAAAAAATACCAATAACCAATATTGGTTTTTTAATTACAAAAAAGTATGTGAAAAATAGTATTTTCAAAAAATTAAAACTTTTCAAAATAATGAGTAGTTACAATATATCTTTCATTCTTTTCATTCATTGAAAATACCTATGAAGTCCTTTCCATACTTCCATGCTATTATTTGAGTGAACTAAATTTAATCTGTCAAAAGTCACTAAAGTGGCAAAGTGTTCTGGTGTTATAATAAAAATAAAAATATTTTATAATTGTTCTCGTCATTCCATAGAACCTTGGGTTTATTATTGTAATTTATAAAACTACTGGTTGATATTTCTGCTGCTGAGATTATCATGTTCGTTAATGTTTTAACTGTGTTTTCGAAATATTTGATTGGTCGTTACGTTGAATTTTGGTGATTTCATTTTCTACAATACCTATCGCTAAAGGTTTAAGTTCAGTTAGGTTCCCCTCTAACGGGAACTACCTTGACATGGTGGCCGGTAGGTGGCTGACGACCGAACGGTCGTGCTAAGCGGTCCCACAAAAAGTCATGGTCTTATTTATTGAACCAATAATTGTACTACCTTTTTATTTGCAGCATCGGTTCTTACACCATGTGCCCCTTTTGGTATTTTGGACTTACAGTTATGTTTGCCCAAAAATAACCGAAAATTTGTTTTGCGAAACCACGTCGAGTAGGTTACAGAGAAAAAAACAAATGCATTTTGTTTCAAAAAATAAAATTTAGTGTACCTACCTAATGAAGTTTATTTTTTTAAAAATTTTAAAACAAATTTTGACGATAATTGTTAAAATATTACAGTCTTTTAAAACACATAACTAAACTCGTTCAAAATCGTTTTTTTGTTATCATTGGTTACAGGTATTAATTAACTTTATGTATCCCACCTTCCCAACTAGCCACCTATAACAGTGGCCACACCCATCCCTAGTATCTCCTCTTTTTTTTTTTTAATACACATTACGTATGTACCTATACAAATAATATTTATTGATTGATTTATTGTTTGATTATTTAATAATTATTTTTAATTTATAAAACTTTGATAATTGATTAAGACCCGAGGATTGTCAATAACGCATTTATTCGTCAGCTAACTACTCGTTGAATAAATTGATTTGACGAATTAAGACTCGTCGACAACCAATGTAGAGAGGCGTGTGTACATTAGCAATTATTCTAAATAATACCATCTATTATATTAATATTATAATTAGTGATCGAATAATATTCGATAGTTTGAATAAACTATACCTACATTTTTTACATATTTGTTGAGAAAACTCCTGAGAAAATCGAAAAATGTTTACTCTAAAATAGGTACCTCCACAACATCTTTGTAAAACCAAGAGCTTCTTCACTCCACTCAAAATCTAAAATGGAATATCAATCAAAAATAAATTTTATGGAATAAACGAGTTAATTTCTCAACAAAAACAATTATCCGAAGTCGCATGCCAAAAATTCGATAGCAAATTGGTTTTATATTTTATTACTAAAAATAAATTGCACAAGCCAGAATATTTAACAATTTATTAAAAATATTTTGAAAGCTTTACATCTTTATCTGGATATACTTAACACTATAAAGTTATGACGTTTAGAATTTTACAAGTTTACAAGGTTTAAAAGTGTTCACAATTTATTTAGTATTAGATAAAAAAAAAAATATCTATGACACTATTATTTATTCCCAAAATAATAAAATGTATTTTTCGAAATACTATAATTAAAATAAGAATATATTTATTAGATACTAAAAGAATCCGATGGTCCAAAGAATAAATGCTTCAGTAAAAGTGTACAGTCATAAACTAAGTTTAATGGGGAAATTAATTTAATGGCTACAATCTAATTTATTGTACTAAATTCTTCAATGATTTTAAAGGTAGATCAAATGAATTTCAACTTTTAGATAGAAACCCAATAAAAAAAACTCTCAAAATCTAATTACAGAGTGTATTTTTCCCATAATACATGTTTTTGTAAAAAATAATTGGCTATCCCAGCAATTCTACTCCCCCCTCCTAAAGTATCAAATCTCCCCTCATGCTCAAGACAATAAAAATGTATTGGAAAACAAATTGTTTTATCTAAAATAAGACTAAAAAATGTTAAATAGGTATTTTGTGAAATATGGAACATCAAACATTGCACGTGAAGAAGGTGATTAATTGATTGGATTGCCTAACCCACAGGGATGTGCTTTATCAAGCATATCTACTCTTCAAAGGATTAACACCTCCATACTCACACTTATGTGTTTGATTAATTCTGTGATCAGCAACCTTATGGTCTTTTGATATCACTGCATAGGGAATTATAGAATGGCAAATCTTTGCTAAACATTGCTCGGTAACCCTGTAATTATTTAACTTAAAGTAGTGGAATGTAGAGTAAGTTTTTTGACGTTAGAACACTTCAGCACACTAGGGCTAGAAAGCCTCAAAAACTTAACAGTACTCAACAACTCTATGGTCATAAAGCTTTTAGTGATCCTGAACCACGTGGCTGAGAGTCATATTAGTAAAGCTAATTACTAAAGGTTTCAGGAGGAAGTTTTATGATTACTGCCACATGCATTCAAGGAATCACTCACTATGCATGTATGATACATCACCCATTTATACAAAAAAATTTCGATAAAATTACAAGTTTTGAAACTGTTGTAATTGTAATTGATGCAAGTTTTAAACTTTTTGTATTTATTTTATTATTATACTTACATCGCACAAAATAAATCATTCTTAATGAAACCAATGATGAGATACTAAATTATCTGACTTGTATACATGCAATTTCAGAATGAGTTAACATTAATTAATTTGTTGAATTCTATAAAAAAAAAACAAATTATAATTTAGTACTTGGACCATAAGACCTGAGCTAATGATTTCAATAAAATCTACCATGCTGTTTATTTAGTTAAACAACATATTCTAGCATACTTAAATTAAGAATAGTTTATTTTATTTGGGTAACTTTAATATAAATTAATACATTCCATATTTCAACTTTTCTTCATTGAGCAATAGTAATTATATTCTTATATTTTAATTGATAATAGTTGTACAAAATATATGTATTATTAAGAAATTAAAATGTTGTTAAAGATATTCAAATAAATTTATATCCATATCAAATTAGAAAAATTTGATTTAAATACTTCAAATCTATTGCTATTGGCGAAAAAATAATTAAAGAATAATCTTTTATAAGTTGCTAAATAAAAGTACTTTAAATTTCAATACATCAAGAGAAAAAAATGTTTTATACAAAAAAATATTTTAAAGTTTGAATACATTATTACACTATGACTTTAGAATGTTTGCAGCTTCAATTAATTGAATTTCTTCTAAAATATATATAAGATTTTCAGGTTTGGGATTTTCTGCATCTTCAACCCAAACTTCCAGTAAATATGTTGCTTGATCTAATGGAGTTGTTTTTATTGTTTTCACAAAATCAATCTACACAAAACAGATTAATATTAAAAAATAGTTTGATGGACAATATATGCCCCTTATATAACTAAAAACTACCGATATGAACTTACATAACAGTTATAAACTTAAATTTTATATTAAAAACAAACCAAAAACAAATATCAGAATGTATTAGAAATCTTAAAAGAAGGGATGTTATAAATAATATAGTAAAGGCAAAAAAAATTAACAACTTGAATAAGAATAAACGAATAATCAAATAAATCACTCTCAGATATTTATATGATTTAGTATGTAACCTCATCTGGCTGGTAACCAAGTTTTTCCGCAAGCACATTCCATTTTTCTCCTATTGCAGCTGCAACCTGATCAATAATTTCTTTAGAAATCTTATTTTTATCTTCCATTTCTACATTGTTATCATTATCATTCTCGTCTTGAATTCCTTCAGAAATATCAACTTCTTCTGATTCAATAACAGATTCTTTTTTAAGTTCTTTATTTGGTGATATACGTTTATCAGAACCTTGATTGATTGACTAAAATTAAAAGAAAACATTTTTAAATTTTAAATAAACAAATAATGATATTTCATAAATTAAATTTGATTGTCAAGAAGGATAATCTAGAAGGGGAATTTTCTTAGAATACATTAGAGAAAATAAAATATACATCAATTACACATATGTGCATATTATGACAACATATTCATACATTTATTATATAAATAATATGTATATTTTAAATTAAGTTAAATTGTTTACATTTTTTGTATACAACATTAAATGTTGTGCAATTTGAAAACAGATGACTATGATAAATAAACTAAATTATAAATTATTTCATTTGTCTAATTTAATATTGACACAATACATACAAACATTCTGATAACTACTAATATTTGACTTAAAATATAGAAATTTATTAAAAAAGTAAAAATAATACTTACCGATTTGTCTTTACTCATTGTTTTTTTAATCATATTTTCTAAATATTCAGATAGCTTATGAATAGGATTGTTACTTTGAGCAAAGAAATGGGGACTTTTTCGTGCTAAAAGTCTTAGAGCACGCCAACCAAAATTTCCATCATTTACTTTTCTAAAATAAATTAAGTATATATTAATATACTTTTATTTTTAGTAATATTGATATTTAAAAAAGAAATGTTATATTAATAGTAACTGGATTAAAATTAATTAAGAATACAAATTATATAATTTATAGTATTCAATAATCATTTCTATATAATCTTTGACAATTTTAAATTTACAAATTGTTGAACATTTTTTATAATGGTAGATATAGCTTTTCATAAAATCTTAAACTAGCTATTAGATAGCAACAATAATATGTTTAGGAGTTTATTTTAGAAAATATTAGATTTTTAGATCTTAGTTTTTTTTTTTTTTTTTATAGTATAATTTGAATAATATGAATGCATTGTAAATAATGTTCTGATTTTGAGAACATCACAGAGAAGCCTCTTTGTAGAACTACTATTTAGTAGAGAAGTAAGTCATAATGCTTAAAAATCTGTAAATTAAGACACGTGTATCAGGATTTTTGAAAATGTCACCCATAAAGAGATAAAATAGGGATGAAAAACTATCCATAATTAAAAAAAAAAATTGTATAACTTTTTGGGGTTTTAACTTAGAGCAATAGTTCTTACACATTTAGATAGAGATCAATGAGGACTACAAACTTGTATCATAATATTTAACTCCCTGAAACCACTCTTGAATGAAAAAAATCTTCCTTCAAAAACTAAAACCCAAACTATTATCTTAACAAAGCATATGGTCAATGGTTCTATTCTATTATAATTGCTGGGATTAGAAAATTTAACCTCTTAACAAAAGAAAAGGGGTACAAAGTGAAAAGTATTGTAAAGTTAAACTCTATACTTACTATGATAAATAATTATGAGATGTGTTTGAAAAGGACAAAATGCTTTGTGAGTAAAATAAACTGTACAGACATGCAAATTAAACACAACAAAGTTGCAGGTTATACAGCTAGTGTATAATAATAAATAATAATAGAATTCTGTACTGTAACCAATTTAAGAAGATGAAAAACAGTATAGGTAACCTTAAGGTTAAAGGTGCAAACAAAACCAAAAAAAAAGTTTTGGTATTTTTTCTGAACTTAACTATAAATATAATACAAATATAATACATTATAGAATTTAAAATTTTAATAAAATATAAATATTCATTTAGTTTTAAAAGATGTTTTTTAGCTTTTAAGACACGCATTTTTTTTTTTTAATGATTTCCTAAACATTTTTAAGTAGTGCAGTATCAGGGATTTACTATATCAAATCTAATTTAAAAAACAAATTACATACAATTTAAGTATTTTTCAATGATAATATAAAACAAATTTTTAATTACTTGTATTGATTTTCTATACACAATTCTGGATTCAGTTGTTCAAATGCTTCTTGGAAAAATGAATCAAATGATGGTAAAAAATCTCTTTCAGGTCCTTTACATGCTTCTAAATTATCTGGTTTGAAATTCCACAACTTTGTTAATTCTGGACTGAAAATAAAAATAGAAATTATGTTATAGGTATTTTAACATTTTAGCATAAAATTAAAAAAAAAAGGTCATAACAATAAAATATACAACTTTCATTAGTTATTATATAGCTTAAAAATAATTATAACATTTTATTAAGAAATATTAAAATAATATTACTAATTACTAAGAAATAGATTTATATGTAATTAATATTTACAAAAAAGCTCTTAAAATGTTATAAAAGCTCTAAAAAATCACTTTAAAAATATTTAAGAGAGCAATTAAGTTAAAGGGATTTGAAAGGTTACCCATCTATTGTTTCTAACTTATTAAAAATATTGTTTAACACTAAAAAAAACAATTATTACAAAGTAATTTTCTTCTAGTATATTTATATGCATTATAAACAAAAAATGATTTGTGTTAATCATTAGTCAGTATTTGATAATTTTAATTAATAGGATTAGAACCATAGGAATGCAGACTTTAAAACCCCTTTGCCACTTTTGCTTTTTTGAATATTTTTAAATGCATTTTTGACGATTTAAGAACTTTCTTGTAGTTTTTAATTAAGTACATATAAATCCATTTCCTACTAATTACTAGTCAAGAAATCATTTAGTCAGAAGTGATTATGGTTTAAAATAGTTGAAGGTAAATTACCAAGTATAAAGCATTAATAATTAAATGTGTTTATTCACATAAGTTAAACTTAATTGAGCCTGGAAAAAGTTTAGATAATATTCACCTTACCATAGATAACAACAAAATGTACAGACATGGTTAACTCGTAACATATACTAAAAGGATGTAGAATATAATAAGTTCTTGGACTATCGAGCAAGCTATATTGACAGGTTTAAAAAAGACTCGAGAAACAAACAACCAGAGAAGGAGAAAAGTTGATAAGTCATAAATTAAGAAAAAAGAAATAAGTGGCATAATCTTCTAACAATATAGGTTTAAAGCATAGCAGCAAAAAGCATGGGGCACAGTCAAAAGTTTAATAGCGATTCATTGGTAGGATGGTCAAACGTAACATCAGATCAAATAGCACACCATCTAATGTTAAATAGCAAAAAAGAAAAGCAGTCACAATGAACTACAAAAGTTAAAAAAATAAGCGAAACACTACATGAGAATTGGAAAATTTCATAAACCTTTTGATGAAGAATTCAGAACAGCTCCAGATAGTATGAAAAACAGAAAGGCTGCTGACGTCAAATAAATACGATATTCCAGCTAAAAAGCTTTATTGTTATAAGACAACACAAAAAATAAACCAAAAACATAGTTCTATTAAAACCAGATAAATGCAAATAAAAACCTAAAAGCTATCATATAATATCATTACCATTCATACTAACTTTTCAATACAATATTCCTGAAACGTTTTATAAAATATGTGGATGAGAAACTGATTAAGAACAGGTGGTTTTTTGACTTGGGGGATCTTGCACATGACTAGTACTTAACCTGACAGTCAATTAAGAATGGCTTTAAAAATAAAAAATACAAGATTGTACTGGTATTATTGTATGTCTGGCACAAGAAAAAAATAAAGCTACTTATTGTTAGTGGGTCAATCGTTTTACGTAAGCTCTTCTTTAAATTTCGATAAGTTGATCACTACTGCTATTAAAGTTAAGCTGTGTACTTCCAACACACTTTTTTACTTATGGCAAGTCATCTATAAATTTACTATTGACACAACCCCCTTACATCTACTACCTTTTAGACCACAACTAATAAAGATTGAACATCTACACATATATTCTATGCTTAATATCACATATTGTAATTGTTTGACATTTTGTGTAAAATATATTCATAATTAAATAGTAATTGCATTAAATTACTTATTAGTAGCATTGACTTTAATCTCATCAAATTCTAAATAACTCTATTTTTCTTTTTTTAAAAACAAATCTAACCTATTGCATTTAATAATTAAATCATAGATTCATAAATATAAATAAAAGATTTTTATCCAATAACCAAAAGTGAAAAAAGTAAACAAATTATTAATAACTCATATTACATAAAATAAATTTGATAAGAACGTACTCTCCGAGAAAAACTTTGTTATTAACAGTCATGTTTTTTATAACATCTCCCAAATTTCTCCGAAGTCTTCGTTTAGGTGCTGGCATATCACTTTCATCATTTGATGGTAATCTTTTGGTTATTTCTGGACAACCATCATTTTTCCATTTATTCCATTGATTCTCTCTCTAGTATAAATAAAATTATTAAACGGATTTTATGTAACCATTAAAATTTTAAAAATATAAAATATATTTTAACTTTTCACACATACCTGTAAAATATTTTTTACTATTTCAGAAAATTTTACACCATCAGGTGGCGTATTATAAATTAGTTCATAGATAGTATTAATTGACTTTTTAATCCATTCTTGTTGGTCTGGTTTTGTTTTTAAATTATCACTTAAGGTCAAAATATAATTTTTTTTAATATAAACATAGATTTAAATTATATTTTAATACTTACGGTTTAAATTTAACAGGCGCGTCCAAATATTGAAAGAGTAATAAAAATTGTACAAGAATATAGCGTCTAAAATTTACATCACTTAATTGCAATTCTAACAATTTATGATTTGTCAAATATTTTGGGAAATAATGCATATATTGTTCAACATTTGCACTGTCCATTCTATTAACATGTTCTAACTTATGACTTTGAAAAGTTGAGAGAATGAAATCTGTATGCTTAAGTATAAATTATTAACTTAATATGTAAGTAAAAACAATTAAATATGCAGGTAAAAACCAAAAGTTAATAGCCAAGATTTAAATTAAATTTTAAAAATAAATGAAATTATATTACTGTATTCAAATAATTTTAACTAATACATTTTAAACTTACAGAAATAAATAATTTCCAATTTTCTGCTTTGTAACATTGGTTAGGATTCCTAAAGTAATCTTGTAATGACCAAAATTTTAAATAAAGGTTTTTATCAACATTCACTCTATAAACATAAGAAAAAATATATAGATCACAAAATTATATAATATTTATCTTTTATTTTAGAGTCTCATACCCTTTTATCATTTACATATTATTATTTTATACTTCTATAGTATTTAAGGCTTGATTAAAAATTATTAGGGAAACATTACACTACAATAAAACACTTTAAAAAGAGCCAATACAGTTGATGGGTACACATCACTTATGTAGGTGGAAAGTTTAGTAGTTCCAATAGTACTTTGGTGCCTAATTAGTAGTATAAAACTGATTTAGGTGCCAAAATGAACATTAAAAATTATACAAAAATCTATTATATATATTTAGTTAGTTTTAAAATAATATTTAAATTCGCAGATTTGGATTTAAGAAAAATTATTTTTAAGACATTTGTCAAATCTTCTCGTGTTTAGTTTGACACTGAAATCAAATTAATATTACCAAAGATACCTAAAATAGTATTGGAAGTACCCAACCACATTTTTGTTATGGTGTCTGTTAGATACACATATATATTTATCTGTTTGATAGACAGATAAATTCATGTTTAGCATCCACTTAAAAGCTCATGAAAAAAAACTACATCAGTCTTAAAATGAGATAAAATTATCTTTGTAGTTGAAAATATAAATTTTATAACTGTTTAACTACATGTACATTTTAAGTTTCTAAATATGATTTTTTTAAAGATATTAATTATAATATAAATATTTTATACTTTTCAATCGGGACATCAGATTTTGCTTCATCTTCAGCCACTGCAGAATCTTGAATATCATCAATTTGATCAACATTATTTTCATTTAAATACTCAGTTACATTCTCTAAATTGAATTCACTTACAATATTGAGACCTAAAATATTACCAATATAGACAAATTATTTGATTAGTAAATAACATTTAAAAAGTTATAAATTTAATAAACAGAATTATCTAACCTGACCGTTCAGAAAAAGGAAAAAATTTGGCTAAAAATAATAAAATACGACCACAAAAAACTGTATTGCGTGATCTTGATAAGCGGCGTAAAAGATCTAAAATAAATTAACAGTATAATAAAATTATGTTTTATTCACAAAATAAGTTAGATGTGTTTAATACAATCCTTAATATTAAGCAGGATCAAATTCACATTATTTCTATAATATAACTAATACAAATAATATTTATTATTGTGAAAATTTTAATTTACATAGATTATATTGTTATATTGACAATATATTTGACTTAAACTTTACAACCTGCTGATTTTACATCAATATATTTCTTAGTATTTCATTGAATAGCATTTTATTAATTCAAATATGTTTTGTTCATAACCTTAACAACATATTTATTCTGTGGTTTACAGTTTATTTTCCCTTCATTTTTTTTATATTTAGTTTTGAGCCTAATTTCAAATTTGTTTCTTTCTTTTTAACTGTTATAACGTAGAATAAGGTTTAAACAACAAAATTTAAAATAATTTTAATGATTTAAATAGTTAAATGCAGTTTTTATTGTTTTACTAAATTAAGATTATTATATTACACTAGCTGATTACCCCTGTATTTCCTGAGCTCACCTTTTTCTTCATTATAATAAATTAATATGACCCAAATTTATCTTTTAAAAAGAGTACTTACTCCCCTATAACAACCAAATCAAAATATAATAACTTTTTTTACCATTAGTGTTAATAGGACCATAAATCAGCACCAAAAGTTAATTTTAAAAAATATCCAAATACTCTGTCAGCCAGAGATAAATTTTAAGATAAAAAGTAGACAGAAACTTTCTTCTTGTTTTGAATGTCAAATGTGCACAATTTGATCAAGATTGGAATAAAATTATAGACTATTACAAAAAACCAACATAAATCAAACTTGATTTTATACACAGTTGGCACCGCCTATAAGACTTGGAATCAGCACAAAGTGTATTTTATAACCAAATAAAAATTACAGGTGAAATGGAGAAAAAAACAATTTTGTTAATTTAATGTCATATATTTTACATATTTCATATTAGATATTGAATATTTTAGTTTTATATATTGCATATTAAATACAAAGTTTCTTACAGTATTATCTGTATTGCTAATACCTTTGCCAATATATATTTTTGTTTTCAATGTTAGTGAATGTGAATCTTATAAGTAATTTCCACTATATATATAATTTTGAATCATGAAAAATTTTTTCTGAACTATTTTTCAATATTTTACTTATATTAGGTTTTTCTTTTATTCCAAGATTTCCCTTCAACAATTTTGGTAAGTAAGTTGATTAAAAATATGATGTAGTTTTGAACTTAAATATAGTGTCATTTTGACTATGTTTTTTCCTTATAAAGTTTGTAAAACATTTAATCAGACTTTAAAAATATTTATATCAAATATTAAATCATTTACCATTACACATTCTTAATAAGTTGTTCTTGCATGCCATGAAAAATTGAGGCTCCTTAAGAATGTTAACGTTAGATTCCACATGATCAAACATCTGTTCACAAACATTTATTGTAGTCACATCAAACATATCTGACAGTATAACGACTGGCATTATAGCAGTACACATTTCATTTCGAACAAGTTCAATTGTAAATGAAGTCCATGTTTTACAAACATCATATAAATTTGATGGCTTTAATAGAACTAAGTCTAAAACATTGCATCGTAAGACTTGATCTAAAATTGAACGTCTATCTGCATCACTAAATGAATGTATAAAATCAAATATGAAGATTATGAATTAATAATTGCACATTTTGAAATTCAATAATTGTAAATAGATTCTAAAATAAATAACACTAAAATATTTTAGATACTTATCAGTTATCACAACTACCATTCTTTCTTTCCTTTTCTTTTTGCTGCGTTCACTCAGACAATTTTAATCAAAACTAACCCTTTATTTGTTGTGAAAAACCACGTCAGGTATAGGTAACAGGATAAAGTGAAAATGCATTATAAATGAAATAACCGATACTAATAATAACCACCACTTAAAATCTTTAATGTCTTAAAACTGTGGTAGTTCCGAAAACCGAATTGTTTATTTATAATTGATAAGTACCATATTTTGAAAAATATACCACCTTTATAAGAGTCTAAAATCAGCATTCGGATGGTTCTTAGTATTAGAAGAAAGAAAAAATTAATATACATTTAATTTTGATTACCGATCCCCCCCCCCTATCAATTTGCTCATTGCCATGACAGTTGATCTTGTGTTAAATTTCCTGATGAAGCATTCCCTTCCCATTTAAAAAATACCAAATAGTGTAGTTTTATTATTTTTCACATTCAATTTAAAAAAATAAAGCAATTAGCATGAACATGTGTATAGTTTATAATGTAACGTAAAATTTCCCATAAAAATGGTTTTGTAGCATAAAATTAATATTTACTATTTTTCACAAAAAATAATAAATACAAAATGTTTTTTTTATTCGGAGAAAATTATTTGTTTAGAGTTTTGTAAATATCTTTTATAAATAGTAGGAAATAGCATATTTTTTTTTTTATAATAACATTGCACAATTTAATTAAAAAAAAAATGTATTCAATGTTAATTCAAGTTGTAATTATGGCCTGAGCACAGAACAGTTTTTAAAGGTTCCTCATCTTTCCAACAAAACATACAGTGAAATTTGTTCAGTAAAACATGATAAATTAGAAGATTGGGGTTTATTAGAAAAAAAATATAAGGATACTGCAGTTTCTGATAGATTATATGGGGCTTGTACTTTATTTGAGCAAAAATTAAGCAAAAATAGTAATTACTAGAAATGTATAGTTTTCGATAACCAGGCACTTATCATTTGGCACAATGGATGACTAAAGGATTGATTCAATAACTATTTTGCTTTTCAAAAACCAGTTCAAGTTAACATCTTTAGAAGAATTAGCACTAAAAAAAGACTTGTTTTATAATTAAATATTATACTCAAGTCTGCCTAAACTACTTAAAATGACATACTTTTTTTTAAAAAACAAGTAAATAATTACACAACTTAGAATAAACAAATAGCTGGAGTAACATTTAAAAGATCATTAATCATTTATGGTACCTTAGTGACCAATATTCTACTTTTTTAATTTTTGATGACCGTATTACATAAGAAAAAAAAGAAAAATGGCATGAACATGTTAATAGGTAAAAATAAAAATGACAAAGAATAAGCAGAAGTTAAAAAATAACTTTTTTTGACAATACAAGAAATACCTAATTTCATAAATCGAGATTTGTCTGTTGAACTAATTACTTCATAATCAAAAAATAATAATTTAATCAATTTGGTATAATAATTAATTTTTTATCAGTGGATAAAGTATTACGGAAAGAAAATGTACAGAGGAAAAGAAAAAATTGGCTCAATAAAAGTTGTGAATGATACTGTTGCATGCCATATTAAGCAAATGGAAGAATTTAATAGTAAAGTCACCAAAAACTGAAGAGCAAAAATAATTTTAAAATATTTCTACATTAATTATCAATATTAAGTTTGATATTAATTTATATTTTTTCTGGGAGATCATGGTTATCACCCAATGTACCCCAATTATAAACTATCAAAAAAATCACATAATTCATAAAAAATAAATATTCATAAACTTTCAATAGACAAGATTTATTGAATATTAATTTTACAAATACTGAAATTGTTATTTCAATGATAAACAGTTGATTCAACACAATTAACATTTTGTAGAAAATTAAATTTTACATTCTATAATAAATGCTAATACATATTCATGTTAATTACTTTATTTTTTAACTATACTCAAAAATAATAAAAACTTAAATTTAATGAACTTTTTCAACTCTGATGCAATGATGCATCAAACAAGACATCTAACACCGAGTGTAAATAAATCTTTTTAAAATAATATAATCCTAGTTTTTTGATAGTGATATTTTCTTGTTCTCCCCATTATTAATAAAAGAACATGTCTTCTTCTATTTCGTCCTGAATATTTTGGGGGTCGGCAACCTTCATCCTAAATTTTCACTTGAACACTCATGACTTCCCATCTCGCAGATACTGGCAGTATGCCGTTTTCAATTGCACCCAATCACCTCTTTTTTGGACTTCTTCTGCCCCTTTCCTCCTAAATTTATTTTAATACAATTTTTACTGTAACAAATTATTTTCTCCTCATGACAGGTCTACACCATTTAATTTTATCTACTATCATTTTACTACCTTTATGTACTCATTCCTTATCCTATCTACACTCATTCTCTGTTATATTTTTCAGTACACAACCCAATATTCTAAACCATACAACATTAACAAAAGTACATAAAATATCAAAAAATAATTTATCCAACTCATCAATTAAATAAAATTTACTACTTTAAACCAGACTTAAGTAGATGAATGGAACAATAATTCCTGTAAAATTTTTTCAAACAGAACATTTTTTTTAAAAAAACACATAACAATTAATTATACAAATATTAGGTGTCTACATCAATAATACCAAACATATTTTGTTAACTTACCTAAGATTAAAAGAATTGTTGTCATGAACAATTTTCTTAATAGCAGTGATTGTTGAAATATTTGGTTCCTTGATAATTTTCTAAACAAATAATGTAGTTATATATACAAAATTGAAGTATTTTAATAAAAAATGCATTAGATACCTTCAATTCTTCACGATATACACCAACAGCCATGATAAAGACCACTGTTTAAAATAATACAATTTAAATTTAAAAATAAATATTATATTTAGGTATATACTTTAGCATCAAATAAGTATTTCAAGTTAATCATAAAACAAATATTACAATTCATAACTATTAATGATTATGATTTAATATTCCTATACATTTAAATTTAGATATTATGTATACAATTTTAAATCTCAAGGGAATTATTTAAAACTTATAAAGAATTATATCGTATCTCGTCCACAATAAAAACAAAAACAATATTCAAAAATCAATTAAAATAAGTGCCTACAAAACAATAACGGAGTCCGGAATGAAAGAAATTTCAGAAAATGATAAGAAACCATGCACAATATTTCACTTTTGCCAACCTACTAGTCCCTTGCAAGCATGTACCTTTTAATGATTGCAAGCAATAAAATTTATTTATATACATTGAACTATTAATTAAAGTATATTTGATATTTATCATTTTTGGACAACTGCTCCCGATTACGTAATACTGATATCACAGAACAATATTAACCATACTCCACGAAATGGGGTATGGCATACACCGTGGTTAAGGTATATCAATACACCTAACTACGGCCATATAAACCGTGCTATATGGCGGTGCACCTAACCCTCTATGTGATACCCTTATCAAAATTTGTTTTATAATATAAGGATATTATAATTTTGTAAACATGGCAGTTTGACCGTTGATAAGTTGACAGTTTCAAGTTCGACAGTTTGACATGACAATTGAATTTGTTTGCCGATTTCAATTAATTACATTTTATTTCTATCAAATTCTTCAATTTTTTCTTTTGTTCTTTATAATTCTTAATCTCTTCAAATAAAATTATAGATCAGTACAAGTGTAAATAGTTTGATATTGTTTCATTTTTAATATTTGTATCCTATTAAAAATAATTTAATAATATTACAGCACGAGCCCCTTTTATTTATCTTACCTAATAATAATACCTAAAAATATTTTATTTTATGCCTATGTTATTATTTAATTAGGTACCTATAATTAAAATCAATAAAATTTGATGTTTTCTTGGACTACAATTTCTACTGAATAACTCATTGTTAATATGTTTTTATAATAATTTTTATTTGTTTTGATAATAATACATATATTTACCCTGACAGGTATTAACGTTAAAGCTTTATAATTGAATGGAATCCAAAATTGACATTCATGATTGTGATTATAAAAAATTATTACCATATAAAAAAGAAGAAAAGTCAAGAAAACTCTTATGGGTTGATATAAGTCACTTTTCTGAATTATGGCAATTTTTAATTTGTACATGTGTTGTATTTATATTCTTCATACCTTATGGATACCTTCAGGTAAATTGTACTTTATTATTTTATGTATAATATTCTAAATATGTTCACTTTTTAGGAATCAATATTTGCTATTAAAGGCTTTAAGCCATTTGGTTGGTATTTGACACTAGTACAATTTTTAAATTATTCTATTTTTGGATTAATCGAAAATCAATTCAGCCAAACAAAACGAAGGTAGTTCATATTAAGAATTCTAAATAATATTTTAAGACTTTAAAAATTTACTAAAAACTCTCATTAAACTTTGACTCTTCAAATTGTACCTATATAACTATATTTATAGCTAATCAAGTTTTTTGGTTTTGTTAAACTACTTCCAATATTGCTATTTGTCCTGTGTTCATATTTGTTGACCCTGATTGTAAACTTTATTTTAGATTTTAAACGTTTTAAACTTTTTAATCCTTTAGAAGTTGAATTTTGAAACAAATGTTTAGTGGTCTCCTACGTTATATATAATGAGCCTCTAAGTGAATTTTAAAAATTTTTTGAATGCGCATTAATAAATGTCAGTCCATCATTTCTTTTGCATTGTTCAGGGCATTTTTTTTATCATAAACCAGCAATTTTCTCAAAAGATTTTAAGTGAATTTGATTTCTGTTTTTTTTTTTTTTTAATCATGGAATGGTCTTTAAAAACCATTTTTAATTTATTACCCCTATTCCATATACCTTAAATAAGTTTAGGCTTTTGTTTTTTAAATAGTTACCCCCATTCTGAACACAAATTTGAATAAAGAATATTTGTCTAGACTTTTTGATATGCCTACCACTAATATCAGATTTACCATTTAAAGTTTAGAATGCAGGAGTAGGGTAGAGTGCATTCATACAATTTATTACCCTTACCTACTCTTATTTTTAATTTTTAAATAGCAACATATTTAAAAATTTCATAAATATGTAAAGCTTTAGTTGAAATTTTGGTGTTAAAATATTTAACAACTGTCATCCATTGTAGCAATATTTTACTTTTAAGTTAAGTTTACTTTAAGTAGTTTGGCAATGTTAACCAAAATAATAACAAAACTAAAGCTTTTTGATATTTATCGACACTGTTTGGGCACAACTTTGTTCTTAAAAATTCTAAAAAATTTTTGGAAACAACACAATTGTTTTAAAAATATTTTGATGTTGTTAAAAAACACAATTTTTGTTTTGTGGAATCTGTATCTTCTGTATGCTCCAATACTCTCCCCCAGTCCATATTTAAAAGTAAAATATATTGACAATGGATTGTTAAAAATTAAAAATTTCAAAACCAAATTGCATTCAACTAAATCTTTATCTGGATATTTTTAATATAGGTTGACATTTGTTAATCAAAAAGTAGTTGCTTCACCACCAGAATTAAAGGTGACAAAAAATAATGGTAAAGTAACATTTCAAAGCTCATTGTATCTTAAATTTTTGAAAAAGTTAACACTTTAATGAGTATCTTACACTATGTTGATCACCTTGTAGATTTAGAATATTATCTTATAGCTTTTATAATATAGCTAATACATATTTTCTTTTAGGATACCTTGGATCTTATACCTTTTATTAGGATTAATATTATTAGGCTCAATGGGTTTTTCTAATGCTTCACTTGGTTATTTAAACTATCCTACACAAGTCATATTTAAATGCTGCAAACTTATTCCTGTTATGATTGGTGGAATATTGATTCAGAAAAAACTGTATACAATTATTGATGGCATAGCAGCTTCATGTATGTGTGCTGGACTAATATTATTCACTTTAGCTGACAATAAAGTTTCTCCAGATTTTAATTTCTTAGGTGAATAATAATTGTACTAGGGATTTACTTTACACTAATTCAATATTCTAATATAATATTTGTTTTATATTGTTATTGTATCATAGGTGTATTTTTGATAAGTTGTGCATTATTTTGTGATGCACTCATTGGTAACTTACAAGAAAAAATGATGAAAAAGCATAGTGCATCCAATGCAGAAATTGTTTTATACTCTTACTTTATAGGATTTGTATATTTATTATTAGCGTTGTTAATGACTGGTGAACTCAGAGAAGGAACAGAATTCTGCATTCAGGTTAAATTTAAATAAATTATTAAAATTATTATTTTTAAAAGTTTTCTATTATTTAGTAGAATCCAGTAACTTATGTATACATATTTTGGTTTTCTGTATCTGGTTTTTTTGGTGTCCAAGCTGTACTTGCTTTGATTAGAACATGTGGTGCTTTAGTTGCTGTGACTGTGACTACATGTCGAAAAGCCATTACTATAGTTATATCATTTTTATTATTTTCAAAACCATTTACATTACAGTAAGAAAATATAAAATATATTATTAAATGCATGTTGTGTAATTATTCAGTACTAATTTTTTTTTATTATTATTATTGTTTTTAGATATGTTTGGGCTGGACTACTTATAGTACTTGGAATTTATTTAAATGTTTTGGGAAAAACAAATAATTTTGATTTAAAAATATTTTTGGAAAATTCGAGTAACATTTTTAGAACAATTAGAAAACGAAGAAGATCTCCAATGATAGTCTAATTATAAGAACAATTACTTGTTTGTCAATTTTTTTTTTAAATAGAGACTTTGTTCTGTATTGTTTCTTGTATATATATATTAGTTGATCCAATTAAATAGCTACACTTGATATTTTAAAAATAATTAAATTTGAAAAGATAGAGGGCGAGTATTGAGTAGTTTTTAAATTTCTGTGCTCTGTGCGGCCACACAAATAATGCTCCATTATCTACCCAAACTTAATGTGGTATATCTCAACAACGGGTTGACGGAAATTAAAAAATTCAAAACCTATATTTATATAATTCATACTTCATTTATTTATAGAATTTTTATTATAGATTGGCATTTTAAAAAAAAAATTAAGATACTCATTTCACCACCAAAAATACAGATTAAAAATATTATTATTAACACAACACTAGAGTTCTTGTTTTCAAAATAATTATTTAGAGAAAATTCAATACTTTTCGAAAAATATTGAGTGTAGTGACTTAAATGGATCATTATAAAGATATCTATTTCCTTATACTATATGATTATATGACACTTATAGCAGCTCTCTCTGTACCAAATGAACTCAAACTGAACAGATTCTATAGTCAGATAGGCGTGATAAAAATTGGGTTTAATTTTAATTGCAGGAGGATAGGGTTTTTTTTACCTTAAATTACTTCTACAGACCTTCCCCCCTCCAAATTGAAGCCAAGGGGATTAAATTTTGTATATGCATGGTGTTAATATCAAGGATATGTCTTGAAGGTTTTAACATTCTACCCTCTACCATTTGTATGCTTAAATTTTATAATTTTTCCAAAAGTAATATAGTACCTATTGTATTATTATAGAATTCAGTTATTTGTTTATGTATGTATGGCATTTTTTTCAAAGGAATATTGTCCAGCTGGTACTTTAGGGAGGTCATTTTTTGATTTTCAAAGTGGTTTTCATAATATCTGGGAGCCAGGATAAACTTGAGTAAACAGAAAATTTATTCAAATAATGCTTTTATTATTATTTCAATTTTGTTATTTATTGTAAGTCAGTTGAAAATATTTATAAATACTTGAAATTTAGGCAGAAAACCTATATTTGTATTTCTAGATATGATAAAACGTTCAAAACATTTGAACCGTTTCTAGGAATTTTTTGAAAATTTTAATACATTTGTTGAAATTAAGTTAAAAATATTCTTATCAACTCTATGGACTTAAAATTGACACTGAAAATTTATATTATTTTTTTCTAGCTGTGGTAAAATTTTCAAGAAATTTAAGCTATTTTTGAGCTATTTATAGACATTTTAATTTTACGAGTTGTATTCGTAATTTTTATTTGATAGGTATTCTTTGGTTAAATTATTAGACTTAACAGATATGCTTGACAATTTAACAGGAGGTTCATTATGATTCTTACTTTGTAGTAAAAAAAAAATTAAGTTTAATGTGGTATTTTTTTTTATAAGGGAATTTTAATATCAAATTTTAACATAATATGTATATTGCAGATTTAAGAACGATGGTGAAGTCAGAATTAAGCAGACTGAATAAGTTTTGAAATTATAACTTTTTGAAGTTCTGATATGCAGATATTTTATGTTGTGTTAAATAACTATATTGTGCATTTCAATGATTTTTGTTACGATCTAATGGTTGTTTATACCTATTACCATCCTTGAGGTTCCGAAATTCTATCTGTGGTAATTTAAGGATGTCATTTTTTTATTTTTCAAAATATCACGGACGAAATGTAATATAATGTATAAAATATTATGGCCTTTTTTTTACTGTGTACAACTGTCTACTAGCAATTTCGCTCTGATTTAAAATGATAGCACTCTTTCTAAAACAAAATCTGACTGGGAAGGTACTTTAGAGAAGTCATTTTTCGATTTTCCAAGGAGTTTTCCTTATACTTGGGGAAAAAACGTGAAAATGTACAAAATATATTAGTAAAATATTACGATATTTATTTTTGAAGACAATTTTTTTAACAGCAACTGTGCTTCGATTTATGATAGCACTTTTTCAAAAAGAAAATCTGATTGGAGACGTACTTTAGAAAGATCATTTTTCGATTTTTAGCAAATGTAAAAAACACGGAAATATTATTAAAGAAAATATATAATGCCTATTTAATTATTTTACCATAATATGGCATATATATATTGTTGACAAAGCATTACTCTCAACTAAACTGCGCTCCTAATCGTTTTTTTGTTAACAATGGTTTATCGTTGCTTACAAACATGTACTAAATTACTTATAACATTTGCTTCACCCATCTCCATTATCCGAGGACGTCTTTTTTAAATTTGTTTTATTTAATAGAAATCTACAATTTATACAAATATTGTACAAGTAAATTTGATGACAGACCGTTTTATTTTATTTTTATTAATTATAAGGAACAAATCCTTTTAACCTTAATGTATACATATATTTAAATCGAACTATTAAATTTCCCTCTGTATCCTACCTTCCCAACTTCTCACCTACAACAGTAACCCACCTAAGTATGTTTTACTTCATTTATACTTAACAGATACTCTATGGATAAAATTGTTCACAGTTAACTAGTTGTGTACCAACGAAATATCTGGTACACGTGTTGTGTCTTAACGATAAAAGAAGGTTACACAAGTTGAGTCCCAACGAAAAAATTAAAGCATTTCACTCTAAATTTAATTCAATGTTTTATTTCTTGGCAAAAAATTAAATGAATTTAAATATGGATAAATTTAAAAAAAAAATTTATTAGTTTACCTATGTATTAACAGTTAAAATTATATTATAATTATTTAAGCATCCAGATTGGCATCTTTATCAATAAAAGATAAGACGCACGAGCTCGAAGAGCTATTACTACACTCGGGACAAGAAACTGGTAGAGTGTACGCATGTGAAACATAAAAACCTGCACTAACCTAACCTACCCCAATATTTCATAATATGGAACATAAAAATGTACACTAGTGCACTCAGGTGGAAAACGCTATAATTGTTTATTTATTGAACACTACAAAATATGACTATGTATAATTGTTAAGATTTAACATCTTAAAGCTGATTACACACTGAGCTATTCGATCGCGCGTTTTGAACGCTGCGATTTTAAACTATAGTCAACTCCGTTTTATTGTACTGCTTTTATTGGAGATGATAAGTTCCTCAAAAAAAAATGAACAATAAATATATTACAAACTAAAAATAATAACTTCACCTAATGTTACAAGATAAAGATAAGAATATTACTTATAAATGAGTCAATAATAGATATTAGAGGTAGTTAAATTTGAATTTCAAATTTTCCTTAAAATAACATTTTTAAATTGATTTTAATAATTAAATAATTATTTTTAAAAATGACGCGATGACGTTTCAATTAAATTATTTTCCCAATATGTAATTATTTTATTCACTTTATTATCATATTTGAAATATGGTACCTGTTTTACTTTTATTATATATCCGTAACATGTAGGTATCTATTATACTGCTTATTATTATTTGCAAATATTAATTATAATATTATTATTAAATGTGACGATATGATGCATGAAACGAACGAATGACCGGGAACAACTAAAAAACCGAGGGATACAACTCGTTTTTACTCTTTATTATATTTTAGATTCGGAGCGTAGGAAGGGGATCTATTCGTTTTACTATGATGTATGTTTTTAGATTTTGTTTTTGATTTTTTGTGTCTGTAAACAACTTTTTTACTAGAAATCTTGCTCTGATGTATTGGTGTAAATGTGTACTACTTTTTCTGAAAGGTAATTTTGTCTATAGTTGGCTCATTAAGCAGGACATTTTTTGATTGGGTTTTGAAAATAAATGGGAATACTGGAAAGAAAATTATAGGTAAAACGTCAAATGTTAGCGACGCGCCGCTACGTTACACCGATTTCATTATTGTTTTTATTTTTTATTAAATTAAGACCGACTTTGTTCTATTTAATATCTAGAATCTAAACAATGACAAAAACAGTCATTTTTTAAAAGGCATCTAATGTAATTTTCATAATAATTGGGAAAAATAAAATATATGAAAATTATAATTTTTTTAAATTACAGCTCAACGATTTCATTAACTAAAATGTTTAAGATTATGTTTTTCTACCAGAAATCTTTGTCAAAATTTCAAGAATAACATATTTTCTGAAAATAAATTTGGGCTTTTGTAGACGTAGTAAAATGTTCAAAATATTCTAGCTATTTTTAGGGTATCTTTTGGTAGATACTAGATACCTATTTGATATTTTCGTGTTTTTATATGTATTTTTATTTGATAGGTATATGTGATTAAAATTATATGATTTTAGAGAAATCCTGGAAAATTTAACACAAGGTATATTATAAGTTGTACTAAGTGGTTTAAAATATAAATTTATGTTTAATGTATTAATTTTTTTCATAAGCATTTAAGATTGAATTTTGACAAAAATCTTAGATAACAACTACGGCATTTGAAAATATGTTTTACCGAGCTTTGCTTTGAATCGTTTTTCGTTAGTAACGGTTTATCGTTATTTACAATTACCTATGAATTATTTAAATAAATTTATGTAACTTTATACCTAAATTTGGACATTTGAGTATTTGAGTTATTTAGCATTGAAATGTATGATCAATGGAAATAAGTATAAATATATGTATCATCAGAACTCATGGTTTTGATTATTTAGCTGATTATTAGTGAATTCTATTAACCTTGATCAGAACTTGGACTATGAACATTGAACATCGTGTGTTTTAAATAGGTATCATTTAAACTAAGTCATAACTGTGTATGAGAAAATCAAAGAAAATAACAAAATAAAAAATTCTAAATCAATAGGTATATAATATTTTATTCCATACTCAATTTATTTTAAGAAACTCGAATAAAAGTTTTCTTGTAAAGTGTCTTGACAGATGTATAAATCGGTAATTAAACTTAAATGCCAAATTATTATTTTTAGAGATTAATGATAATATTGGTTTTATAATTTTATTGTACTATTTAATTTAAATAAACCTCTTACCTTCTGCTTTCAATGATAATAGTAGAACGAACAGAGAACACTCAAGGATGTTTTATGGCTACATACAAAAACGTTTAAATTAAAATTTAAAAACAATACCTACTACTTTTGAATTAATAAGGTATACTTTTTAAATATTTTTATTTATAACTCAATATAAATATTTTATTTTTTACCATTATGAATTGCGCTATTTCACTTGTGTAATACATACATATTGATTTTTTAAGTAGGTATAGGTATAATACAACTCCTTAATGGATATATTCAAATTTTGTTTTTCAGAAAATGTATACCTAGGTTATAGGTAAGTACATAAATATTAGACATTAGACAAATGGGGAACGATTCTAGTTTAACTCCTACACGATTTTTGGGGGTTTTTTTTTTCAAAATGTGTGTTTTTGCATGTATATTGAGAATGTAAAAAAAAAAGTCTAATGAACTTCGTTTGGAAGTTATGGGGGAAAACTTCATGAAGTTAAGGTTTTCCGTTTCGCGTATTTCTTAGTTAGAATTTAGCATTTTCAAAATTGTTTTTTTTAGAGACCTAATATGGTCAGTCGCTCGCTGCATATTTGAACGTTTGTAACACTAAAACTAAGCCAGATAGACTGAAATCTGATTTCAATAAAAACAATTTTGTTATCAAAATATCAATAACTACAAATTATAATAATAAAAAAATATCTATTTTTGACCACAGTTTAGATTAATTCCACAAATGCTATTTTTTAAGGTTTATGTACAAAAACTATAAAAGTAAGTATGATAGATAAATTTGGATTATACCAATGGATTAAGCATTAAAAAATACACATTTTGGAAAAAAAAATTTTGGAAATGCTAAATTTTTACTAAGAAATATGCTAAACGGAAACCCCGAACTTCATGAAGTTTTCACCCATAACTTCTAAACGAAGTTCGTCAGACGTTTTTTTTTTTAATTCCTTATGTAAACGCAAAAACATTTTGAAAAAAAAAAAAAACAAAAAATCGTATGGAAGCTAAACTAGAATTATGGCGACAAATGGTGTAAACGATATTATGAAACAATTACATGAGTTATGATTTATGACTATAGTTGATATACAATTCATAAATGAATGTAAAAAATTCCTAAATTATTCGTTTGAAATTTGACTTATAACCACTATAAATTCCAGAAGAATTATTGGAATATTAATACTAGCGTGAACAAAAATAATGATGTTCTTATTTGAAAAACAAAGTGCCTATATATTTTCCTGGGTTACTTCAGGTTTTTGATAAAATTATATACAAATTAAATAATTTATATGGTACTTATAATTTATAAGTACCTACTTGAAAATAATGTCCTAATACTTCTAAAGTAAAATTAATACCCACATAGTTAAGTCATTAGCTGGTATCTATACAATTGTCTTGCCACGGAATACACATGAGTGTTTCACAAAAATGTACTTTTTATTCAAATTGCAATATTTATTAAGCTTAATATGAATTAGTAGATAATTTATGTGATTGGAAACTGTATGTATAATTTTGTTATTTTTACCTATTATTATAAAATACAAATACAATTTATTATTTTGAAAATAATATACAATAGTTATTTAAGATCTATATAGGTATAACTAACTAATTATACAATAGGTACCTATTTGAATTTAAAAATATATAAATAGTTATAATAGTTATAAATATATAGTTTATTAATTAGGTAGATATCTATATTTTTAGTTAAGTACCCATGACGTCCTATAGGTATTATATAAAGTAGATACTTATAATTAAATATTTGCTCATGTTTGACTCCATCATCAAAAATATAATTCATTAAATTAATAACATTTTTGTTAAAATGTCAATACTTTGAGAAAAATTGGTATTTTAATTATTATGTTTGTTTCTAAAAATAGAAAATTATTTTTTTTAAATGTATTAATACAAAGTATATAATAATAATTCTGTACATACCATTTTATTTAAATAATGTAGATACTGACATACATTATCTGCTTAGTAACTAAATATATTTTCAGATAAAATAACATTTTTTTTAGTTACCCGTAGTTGTATCAATGTTTAAGTGTAGGGGTAAGGGTAGGACTAATTATTCAATTTATTGAACTATGTATATCAATTATTATTATTATTCTACTGTAAAAGTCTTATAATAATAAAACTTTTACAGTAGAATATTAAGACACGAAGCAATTTTAGCTATTTTTTTAGATTCAGAGCGTAGCGAGGGATCTATTGGTTTTAATGATTTTACTGTGATTTTTTTTTTTTCTGTCTGTGAACAACTGTTTTACCTGAAGTATAGACTATAATACCTTTTCTGAAAGGTAATTTTTTCTAGTTGTTACATTGAGAAGGCCATTTTTTGATTTTTCAAAGGATTTTCGAAAGAAAAGAAAAGTACCTATATGTAAAATAGCAAATATTTACAGGGCACTCCAGCGTTACTGTTTTCATCATTTTTATTATGTTAACACGATGTTTTCTACCAGATATATTGCTTCAATCCAAAAGTGACGAGATATCGATTTTATTCCTTATAATATTTTGCCATTGATTAAGAAAGTCGTTTTTTGATATTTAAAGTATTTTTCATAATAATTAGAAAAACCAAAAATGACGAAATGTTCAATGATTTTTTTCAAATTACGGCACAACCATTTCATTATTATAAATGTTTACGGCTTTTGTTTACCACCCACCATAAATATTACTGCGATATATAAACGAGAAGAGACCTTTTTCGTTGCATTTTTAATCTAATTTAATTTTGATTAAAATTTGATTAATTTATTAATTTAATTTGAACAAAACCGAAAAAAGTACCTAAACTGAATAAATATTAGGTAAAAATCATGTAGAATTAAAATGTCTATAAATAGCTCATAAATGGCTCAAATGATGTAAAAATATTACTACATTTAGAAAAGGCAAATATAAGTATTCTGACTAAATTAAAAATCTCTACAAATATATTTAAATGAGTTGCAAAAAAAAAAAAAACAAATTGAAAATAACAAAAGCATTATGTTCGTGAATTTCCCGTTTTTCTTACATTTTTTTCGAAATTATTATGAAAACCACTTGAATCAAAAAAAATCACCTATTTCCTTTCAGAAAAAGTACAACATATGATACACCGGATTAAGATTTTTGGTATAAATGTTGTTCACAGAATAAAAAAAGACGGACGTGGGTTCGTACATACATGGGCCACTGTTGTAGGTGAGAAGTTGGGATGGTAGATGAGTGTAAATTTAATGTAACGACAAACCATTGCTATGGAAAAAAAATCTGAGCAGAGTTCAGTTGATAGTGTTGCTTTATCAAAAATATATACCTATGCTATATTATGGTAAAATAATTAGGTACATAGGGCATGATATATTTTCTTTAATAATATTTGCTTAATATTGTACTTAATTTCCCGTTTTTCCCATTTATTGGGAAAACTCCTGAGAAAATCAAAAAATTACTACCCTAAAGTACTTCCCCGGTTATATTTTCTTTAAGAAGAAGTGCTATTATTGTAAATTGGAGCATGATTCCTGTTAGAAAGGTTGTCCACGGAAAAAAAATAAATAAACATCTTTGTAAAACCATAAACTTCTTCGTTCCAGTCAGAATCTAAAATAATAACTGTACATATTTAATTTTAATTTTGTGTACTAAATGCTTATAATTATGTAGATATAATAATAAAAATCTCCATACATGCAAAGTAACTTAGGTACCTACACTTTATTTTTTGATAAGTAAAAAAAAACAAGGTTAATAACAGTATCATTCGTATTAAGTGATACGTGAAAATTTTCAAAATGTGTAACGGTGAAATGACTGAAACGGTACGTGGATATGAAAAGGTCGAAAACCACTGTACTAGACCTAGACTACTAAAGTACTCTAGCTTCTACTAATGGCTACTATTTACTGATATCCAGACCTTGAAACGCTTATTTTAAATATAAACAAGTATAACACTGAATCAATTCATTTTTTTTTTATTAACTTGTTAGTTCAAGTTCATTTTACTAGCACTAGGTAGTCTTAGTGATTTGTATTGTAAATATGAAGTACCTATGTAGTATGTACTATTATAATTACTACAGCCACAGGCTTTAGTAATTAGACCACCAATGTAATTATGTTTGTTATCCTATTCATACAATTTTATTTTGTTGATAAATAAATAATTATAATAACAATAAATAAATAATCTCAAGAGAACGCTGCAGTAGCATTTATTATACTCTGTACTTATTTAATTTATAATGATACAATTATATTACCTACCAGTATTAAATATTGGTTAGGTTGATCAGGTTGGTTACAAAATTGATAAAATCATTTTTCTAAAATCTCAATGCAGAATTTAGAATTTGAATTCAAATTAACAATTCAATTTAAGTTCAAGTTTGTTGATTTTATTTGAATTTAATTCAAAATAAGTCGATTCAAATAAATTATGAACTAAGGTAATTTTTCCGTCAAACTCATTAATTTCGAATTCTCCTAAATTCTGTAATTTATTAAGTACATAATGTTTTACTATTATACAATTACTAAATAAAAATAAAATAGATACCTATTGTATTATTGTATATTTCTTCAAACTATACCTAGCATGCTACATTTTTACATGAAGTCGAGGACTATATAGATTTATTTTACGATTAGAGGTTACTTAGTACTTTGCTACTCCCTATCTAATCTATACAGTAGGTTTTTATTTAGTAAATTGTAATGTAGGTCAAATGTCAATAATAGATAATGGAACACAAGGTTAGCCAATATAATATAGTAATCTGGTTTATTGTAGTTTCAATGATAGCGAAATGACTGAAATGTCTTAATTTTAATTTCTGAATTGACACTAGTGAGAGTATAGAATCGCTCTCAGTCTGTCTGCATTGTGTCGCTGGGTTGGAAGAATATTGCATATTTTAAGAGGAACGTTTATATAAGTGCCGCATAATATATATTGGTACTTTAGTGCCACTGCTTGGGCAATACTGGTTTATGGAATACTGAAGGTAATTATTATTTTTACATAAAAAAGTGAAAGTGACAAATTAATTTATGCCGCTTCTAAATCTAAATTAATTTATTGTACCTACATATATTATTTATATAACCTATAGGTAAGAAAACAAATATAACTATGGTTTTTTTTCACTTATTTTATAAATATCTACACATTGACGTATTTACGAAAAATGTATCCTATGATTGTTATGTAAAATAGCGGTACACTTTTATTTAGGTCGATTATCTTTATTCTATGGGTCGATCTAAGTTGTAATTTTATTGTGCACAGTCCAATTTTTTTTCGATAACACCTTTGGCGATTGGTCAATTATATTACGTACCTATGATGTACGAACTGTATAATAATTGTTACCTTATTATCTTTACAAATTTATAATTGTGTGTTAATCAGTTCATTGTTTATGATAAACAATTCGTATTTTATATTTTAATTTTGCATTGCATGCTATTTAGTTGTGTCTATCATTTTATACCTAACGTTACCATTTAATTAATAATATTGTGTTCGTACTTAAAAACAAAAATGTCATCTCAAAGTCTGAGTAAATTTGTCAGATTTTCGGCAAACTACAATTTATGCTGTTATGTCAAGTCACATTTAGAATTTTCCCCATTTTTGAGGTTGTCTGGGGAATCGAAGAATTTTTCCATAAGCCAAAATATGTCGAGTCAAAAAGTATTAAATTTGGACAACATGAATCCAAATGTAAGAATAATGGAATATGCTGTCAGAGGACCGTTATTGATAAGAGCTACAGAAATTGAGAATGAATTAAAGAAGGTAACATGTTTCATTGATATTAATTCTAAATATTCTATAAAAATGTAAATGTATTTTTAAAGTGAACATTTTTAAAAATTTGTTCAGGGAGTTGAAAAACCATTTAAAGAAGTTCTTAAAGCAAATATTGGTGATTGCCATGCAATGGGACAAAAGCCAATTACGTTCATACGTCAGGTATAGTTATTATACTTATGCAGCATTTCATATAAACATTTAAATATAGTAAAATTAGGTTACCAATATGGTTTTTCATAACTCGTGTTCTGCAAAATTCTATTGTTGTTGTTTCATTTGTTAAACTAATATTTTAGGAGTCCAGTGAAAATGTTCTGATGTGACATAAAAAAAGTTCACAAAATCTAATAATGTTTTAATTATTTTGATCCAGCATCTATTTATGATTGGGGCATTTAACTCTAAAACTTTTGACTCTACTCTAGTTTTACCTATGACATTTAAATATTGTGGCCCACAGATAATAGATATTGGGTAGGTATCATTTTTAATTGGCTTGACTTTAGATTAACATTGGTCGGAATAATAAACTTTTTTGATAATAGGAATAGTCTTAAGTGTTTCCCTCCCCCCATCTTTGGTTTTAATGTTAATTAATTTTTTTACAACAAATTATTTTGATACCTATGTTAGATAACTTTGCCTTGATGGTGAATTTTTTTAAGTTTTTAGATAATATAAATTCTTGGGAATCTAGGAAACATTTTAAATCTGGCTACAAAATCTTCATCTTTTTAGGTAAAGTGTGAATTGTGAATGCTTTGGCACATTTTTACAAATCACTAAAGGGTTTTTGAAGAAAAATAAATAAATCTAAGAAAAACCGTTTGCTTTCTTTGCTCCTTTTACTTAAAAATGTATAATATGATTTAATCTAGTTTGAGAGGTAACCAAGCTCTAAGCAAACATATCATTCAATTTAAACTTTATTGTAAATATATATTTGTACTTTTTATTCATTATTTATTTTTGTTTAGGTTTTAGCTTTAGTTTCCCAACCAGAACTATTAGATGATAGTCGTTATCCTGATGATATTAAAGAACGGGCAAGAGCTATTTTAGAGGGATGCCGTGGTGGTAGTGTTGGTAATTTAGAACTTTTTAAATAATTTAAATTTAGAAATAACCAAATAAATTATTTTTAATTATGTATATTATCATTATTATGCAAGTTATTTACTTGCCCAGAACTTATTATTACCATTTTTTTTTTTTTTTTTATATAAATTAATATAATTTTTATGTAAATTATAAATTTGCAAACATTTTACGGCAGTCATTTGTGATTGTACATTGTGCTAGGTGATCACAGTAGAGATATGGGGTTAATGCATTAATAGTTAAGCACAAAATGTTTACAACTTATACTACTAATCACAATTATTGTAGATATATATGTAGGTGCAAATAAAAGAACACTACGATATTTAGGGGCAATGCCTATTATCTGCAGTAACCATCATATTAATAATTATCATGCTTAATGTAGTAATATGCATTATCATTATTATGCTTGATTTTTAAATGATAACTTCTAAAAAAGGCGTAATTGCTACAAAATTGAAATAAAAACAATTAGAAGTTCTGGTAAAATATATCTATAGGTATAAAATTAATTAATAATATTATATTTAATATCTATAGTATAGTTGTGTTTATTATAACTTCTATATTTGTACTAATTAAACTAATTGATATGACCTTATGAATACATTATATTTTGTTAATAGTAGAGAAAGAATATAAATTAATATGAACTAGTTTTTCACAATAATATTATTGTGAAAAACCTATATAGTCTATATTATATGCATTTAAGTTTACTACACATACCAATATACAGAACATTTTTAAAAAATACAATTTTAACCCACTTACCATAAAATATTTGTTTCATTGGTTTATTGGTTTCAGTTATACTTTAATCTTTAACCACAGAATGAACTCAGAAAAAACTTTGTGCTCATAAGTAAATTTTGGCCACACAAACCACCTGATTCTCCAACATATCACCAGTTGAAAATATTTGTTTATAAGTGTAACATTTTTTGATATAATCAAATTTTTAATTGCGCTGGTACATACATATGACTATAGAGCAGCTATATTATCATATTAGATATGATATGTAGAACTGTAGGGAATAGGAATAATTTTATAGTAAACACACAAAATTATAAGTATAAAATGGTTTAGAGTTAATGATAGTCACCTTGTATTAATACATATTTTTTTAATTTATCATAGATTTAGTTATTGATTTTCTATTCAATTTAATTATCATTATGTGTGTATTCATGTTTAGGGTCTTATACAGATTCTCCAGGAATAGAAATAATTAGGAAACATGTTGCTCAGTATATTGAACGCCGAGATGGTATTCCTTGTGATTATTTAAATGTTCTTTTGTGTGCTGGTGCATCAGATGGAATAAAAGTTTGTACTGATTTAATAAATAATTTTACTATTTTATGTACATATATAATCTTAAAACTGAGTTATGCATTATTTTATTAATACTAATGAACTAATAATTGTTCTAGTCTATTTTACGGTTATTGGTTGCTGATATCGATGGGAAAAAACCTGGTGTTTTGATTCCTATTCCACAATATCCACTTTACTCCGCTACATTAGCAGAATTTAATATGAAACAGGTTAGTGTAATTAGTTAATTACTATATAATTTTTATAATACTGTTATTATAGTATTTTAATATTATGTTCTTATTTATTTTTTAATAAAACTACATAAATGTCCATTTTATATTTTATGTACGGAATTCATAAATTGTTTTATTTCTGAGTTTATTATTTTAACATAATATGAAACATGCCATATAATAACTAGTCGAAAACATAATTTGTTAGTGTTTAAGTATTATTTGGCATGTATTAAATCACCATTTCACCATTACTTATTAAATACCAGTAAATTAGATAATGTAAACATTTTCTTTAATTTGATAACTTAAATATTGATTTAATTGTATTATAATTATTGTGTATGTAAATACACTATTATATTATTATTATATTTTATCATCATTTGTAATTTGTAAACAAATTGTGCAAAATTTTTAGATAGAATTATAGTATAAACTCAGAACTAAAATACTTCAAAAATATATTTATATTATATAATTAATTATGCTTAAATGATTTAAATAACATATAAATTGTAACAGTAATATGTGTTTTTATCCTAGAATTATTTATTACTAATTAGAATACACATATTAAAGGGGAGGGGGTATGCCCCCCATAATTTAGACTTAGGCTAGACTGCAAATTTTAAATGTATAGTTGGGTTACAGCCCCTATCAACATATTTTATCACTTTAAATCTATTCTAAATGATTTTGGTTTTGGTAAAGGAATTTATTATATGGCTTTGCATTTTTTTTTTTTTTTTAGATTGGATATTATTTAGATGAAAATAAAAATTGGGGTTTGGATTTAAATGAATTGGAGCGGTCTATAACAGAAGCACGGAAACATTGTAACCCTAGAGCCATTGTGGTCATTAATCCTGGTAATCCAACAGGTTTGTACATTTTTAATTGCATATATTTATGTTAGTATATATATCTAGTGGTATACATTATTTTTCCAAACTAAGATTTTACAGATATCTAGTTTATAATATATAAGTATTATATTTATATTATTACTTATAGTATATTTAAATTATTTAGGTCAAGTATTAACCAGAGAAAATGTGGAGGATGTTATTAAATTTGCCTATAAAGAAAAACTATTTTTACTTGCTGATGAGGTAGGCTGACAAGGATAGGTTTAAAAAATAAATATATATGATTATAATATGTTATTTTTATTTTTAATTTATGTTTTGGGTTAGGTTTACCAAGACAATGTATATGCCGAAGGAAGTAAATTTTATTCGTTCAAAAAAGTATTAACAGAGTTAGGATCTCCGTACAGTGAAATGGAACTAGCATCATTTATGTCATGCTCGAAAGGTTATTGTTTTGAATATCACATTACTTTCTAGTTATATTGTAATAATAAAACAAATATTTTAGGCTTTATGGGTGAATGTGGTTTAAGAGGTGGTTACACAGAAGTAATAAATTTGGATCCTGATGTTAAGGCAATGTTACTCAAATCGATATCAGCTATGTTATGTCCTACAGTTCTTGGCCAGGTTAAAAAGAGTTAATGATATTTTTATTTGACTATTATATTAATTTTTTTTTTTTTTTTAATAGGCTGTAATGGACTGTGTAGTAAATCCTCCACAGCCAGGTGAACTATCCTATGAGAGTTTTCAAGAAGAAAAAGCAAGCGTCTTAAAATCATTAGCAGAAAGAGCTAAATTAGTAGCTGATACATTCAATAGTATTCCTGGTATGTCTTGTAATCCAGTCCAGGGAGCTATGTATGCTTTTCCACAAGTATGTATAATTAGTATTATAATATACATAAATACCTAAATTTATACAATTTTTTATTTATAGATTACATTACCTAAAAGAGCAATTGAAGAAGCAAAAAATAAAGGAATCGAACCAAATGCATTTTATGCATTTCAACTTTTAGAAAAAACTGGCATTTGTATTGTACCTGGATCTGGTTTTGGACAAGTTAATGGAACTTATCATTTTAGGTATATTTAATTATTTGTTTTTTTTCATTAATATATGTAGGTAAATACAGAAAAGTATATTTAAAACTTAAATTAATGGGTCTTCAATCTTATTAAAAGGCAGGCCAAATCTGAGATACACTTTGGCATCACAAGCCAACATTTTTTAGAAGAATAGAGAGATAATGAAATTGAAGAATTGATAAAAATGGATACAAATTTTTTTAGATTAAGAATAATTAATATTTACTTTTTTATAATACAAAATGTAAAATTTGTTTAATTGTGATTTGAGTAATTTACTTAATTAGAAGTTTGGAATTGTTTGTCTTTTAAAATTTCTTGATAATTTGCATCAAACTTTGTTGTTTCTAACAACAATGTTGCTTGTAAATGATTGTCACTTAAGTTGATTCTATACTTAAGTCTGTTCACATAAGTAAGTGGAGCTAAATACTGAAATCATTTCAAAATTTGTTTAGCTTGGTCATAGTACATTTATAGACAAAAAAACTAATCTAAATTCCTTTTGTATTGGTTAAAAATTATAAGAAAATCCCCTTCGGAGTTTCATACAAGTTATATATAACATATCAAGATATATATTTAAATAAAAATGTTTAAGAATAAAGAATAAATGTATATTTATATGATAAAATTATAACAAAGTGCATTAAGTGTTTTTGATTAACTTAATTAAACATAATTAATTAGTAATAAGAAATTAAATAATTAACTTCAAATGAAAAAAATACAATGATAAGTGCTTAAGATGTTTGCTTAGTTTATTATTAGTTTCAAATGTATTAAAAATGTCTTTAATTTTTTTCAGGACTACAATCCTACCTCAGCCTGACAAATTAAGAAATATGTTAGACAGTTTCAAAAATTTCCATTTACAATTTTTAGAAGAATGGAAATAGTTTACAAAAACTATTAAGGCAATAAATATTAATATTTAAATAGAAAAAAATATTACTATTAATATTAAAAAAGAAAAAAAGAAAATAAGTAAGTCTATTTAAAATTATTTTTAAATTCAGTATTTTCCTTTATTTGTGTAGCCAAAGATAAATATAATAATGGTTAGAACTGTTCCTAAATGATTTAATATTTTTTCAAAACCATGATTTACTATCCATTTTTAATTTGTAGCCACCAACTTTAGTATATAGAATTTTAACATTATTTTTTATATTTTTTCATTGAATTATATGTACTGTAAACAAAACAAAAGTCAAGATTATTTACATTTTTAATTTATAACTTCTTTAACATTTCATTCTACGCTAAATTGCATACTTACAAATAATCTATAGATACCTCTACTTAATTAATTACAATAATAACTACATTTCATTAAAAAATTGGAATATTTATTAATATGTTCTAAAATATAATATTAGTTTGAATTTAATTTCAATTGTCTCATTTTAAATGTTAAAGTTAGTAATTTTATAAATCCATAATAATTGCCTAGAAACAATATGTTCCATTTAATATCCTCCTATATCATACTACTAAATCCATCCTTGTGTTACTTAATTTGTTAAAATCATAAACTACTTTTATAGTTTTATATCTTAGTTTTAACGTACCTAATACAATTTCACTAATATATATTTCAATGTACCTATATTTTATAAGTAATTAGCCAGTTTTAGTAATTTATATGTCAAATGTGACTTGTATTGCAATTAATAATTAACACAATTTTATAAAATATATGCTAATCAAATTAATTATAACTAAAGACTAGATTTATATGTAATAGTAAAAATTACAAAATATTCAGTTATCATTTTTTTTCCTATTTTAGTTTTCGTACATTTATTATCATTTAATAATTCTTGTAGAACCAGTAAATCTTGTATTTAATTGTTGTTCATAATTGGAATGATTAATTAAATTATTCACTAAGAATATATATAATATGCACTACCTATAATATATGTTTTAACATTCCAAGTATATATTTACATGTAAAATACAATTTGGCTTATTAAATTAATTTTAACATTACATACTTCTCTAAGTACTTGGTACTAACATCCGAATGCATATCAGTCCAGTCTTTATTTATAATCATGTTAAATAACAGAACTAGGTGTGTTATTAAAACATTCTAATATTACAATATTATATTGATTTATTGTTATAACTATTATTATAAGTGTGTTAAAAATAAATAACATTATTTAAACATGATACATAATTTGTATTCTATACTCGTGCCACTGAGAGAACGCTATTCCTTCGCGCATCTGTAATAAATAAATTCCGCGGTTTCATGCCTACATTTCTCCTACTCTACTACCTACTCACCACTGTAAATTGCACGGCCGAGCGGAAAACAAGTTGTATACAGCGTACTGAAATAATAACAAAAATAATAACTCTTGGTGACTGTTACATATAGTAGGTACCTATATGTATGTTTTTACTTATACAACAACAATAACAAATAACATGTATGTAAATTTTTTATATATACATTTATTTATTCATTCAGACATACATTTGTTTAAATAATACCGAAAAAAAAAATTAATAAAAATACAAATACAAAATTGAAAATCAATTTCAGTCTGAATCCGATTCTGTTGTTGAACCTGTTCCCATTGCTAGAATGTGACGTTCTCCTTCATTAAGTTCTGTGTCCATAATTTCGTCAGTTATGTTGTCGACATCCCAAAATTTCTGTTCTTCCTTTACGACATGTCCCTCAAAATTCGTCCACATTTCTAGTGTTACGTGTTCCATCCCTCTTTTTAATATATCTTCAACGTCTTTAAGCTTGAATGTGTTGTTATGTGTCCGAACATAGCTTTTGACAGATGACCAGGCGAGCTCGATTGGGTTCAGCCCTGTGGTATGGAGGCAATCTTAATATGGTTTTGTTATTGTCTTTTACGTATTCATCTATGACATATTTATCATATTAGGATTTTATTGTCTGGACTTTTTCCAATAACAGCGCTTTTATTATTGGCTGGGTAACAATCTCACCTTTACTTTCCAGCCAACTTATAATATCTTTTTTTTTCAAAGACATTACTGGAATTCTATCTTTCTTAACCGAATGATATGGAGCATTGTCTATTACAATTACAGTATTTTCTTTAAGTAATGGCAAAATGTTTACGATTCATTGAAATAAAATATCACCATTCATTTCTTCGTGATAGTCTATTGAATTTGTTTTTGATTTGAAGCACAAAAGGCTCCCAGGGACAAAGCCGTCAGTCATGTGTAATACTATCAGTCGTTTACCTTTACTAGAGAGTTCCTTTTATCCCGTGGTGAGGCCTCTAAGAAATGTGTCACGTGGTGAATTTACCGTACTGTTGATTCATGTTTTCTTATGTGTTTCATGTGCGTTGACCCACGTCTTATCCAAGTAATATACCAGTCGGTTTTGTGCTCAATATTGCCTTATTTGATCCAATAATCTGAGAAAGCTTAAGAATGTAGGAACAAAGACTACAAAATGTACTGAAGTCACATACAAAAAAAAACCAAGAGTAAATACAAATGAAGACCTTTTACATATGCCTTATTAACGTTATTAGATTCTATATTATCAACCTTGAGAACGCTTCTAAAATAAATATCAAACAAGGCAGTTATTATTGAATATTATAATATAATGCAGTCAAATGATGGTGATAGTAGTGATAATAATATGAATGATTAAAGCAATTTTCTTTAAAAACATGTAGTTTAATAACTAATATACAGTATACAATTATGCATATATTAATATATTTATGATTATATATGAAATTGAATTTAAATATTTAAAAATCATTGCCTGCTTAGGAATTAGGGATTGATTACAAAACAGATAGAAAATTTGGGTTTAGAACCATTCAAAATATATAATTTGATGTGAAATATGCAGGTTTTATAAAACTTAAAAAAACCACCCCTAATTAAAGAGCTGATTTCAAATTTGATGAAAAAAAATTGAATTCCACGTCTCTAAAATAATTAAAACTTATAATAATGCATACACTTGACGATACTGTATTCTATAAGAAATAAACTAAAAACAATAAAATAATAAAACTAAATAGCTAAAAGAAGTTTAACTGTTAGGTTCATTTAGTAACTCCATTGACGCCAACACATATACTAATTAGTTAGAATGACAACGCAAAATACATGTGAGTATAGTTTGACTACTACCGCAGAACTAGTCCATTATCTAAATATTGAATTTGATGGAGGTTTTATCCCTTCAATAATTAGAATAGAATTAGTGTAACCTATTTAAAAAATGTATATACAAAACCCCAGTACCAGGCGCATTACTCCATTAATGCAACTCTTTTTCAATTTTTTTTTTTTTACACTAAACATCTAATTTGTTTGGCCCATTTGTAGAATAGTTTTCGGATATGTTGCGTTATTTTTAAAGAAATAAAATTGATCTGTCATCTTTCAATTGGAGCAATATTTCTGGTTAAAAACGTAGTTTGTAAAAATTAAAAACAATGAAATGCATATTTGTCATTTTAATTATAATTTTCAAAGCATTACTTTGGGTAGAGGAGAATTAAATAACACTATTCTAATGTTGTGTCACACTGCTACCTTAATATTTGGGGAAAGCTTCGGGTTTCTTAAGATTATTTTTCACTGAACAAAAAACAAAATTGACATTAAGAAATGTTTGAACTTAACAAAAAAAAAAAAAGTAAATAATTGATAATAATAAATGATAATTATCATTTAATTAATGAATGGAGTGTGAATGATGAAAAATCGATCAACAAATAATTTAGATTAAAGCTTGACTAATTAAGTGTCGTATTCCTAATTTTATGTTAAATAGTACATTTTGTAATTTAGTATACTTAAAATATTACATATTTATGTTATTAAAAAAATAAATACATTTTACTTATTTAAATTTATATTGTCATAAATAGTTTGTAATTTGTGACTACAATTAGAAATTATTAATTATACATATAATAAAACTATAGTTTTATGAAAACGTCATAAATACTTTAAGAGCCGAAAATTTGTTTACTTATTTCTGGTATTTAAAATATTGCTGAAAAACATCAAAATTCTGAGCTTTATTGAGAATAGCTTTTTAAATTCAATGATTACATTATTCATGTTAAATAATAATAACATGGTCTTTCACCAAAGTGAATGGAACTTAACAAGTATTGAAGTATTCGACATTCAATATTTATAGAATTATATATACATATTATATAATTAAGAATAAAATATTTTATTTTTTAATTCACTGAAAGTAATAGTTATATCTATAAATTAAAATAGAAGAAATATATTATTATGTAAATTAAATTATTGTATTGTTTTAAAGTGAATTTATTGGTTCTTAAAACACATTTTAATAATATAACACAATAAATAAAATAAATAAATGAAATGTTTAACATATTTACGGTACATAATCAAAATTCTTGTAATAATAAAATTATAATAAATAATGTAAAAAAGTATAATTTAATAAAATAACAAATAATTAGTAACAGTATGAGTAATTATTGAAATCAAATAGAATTATTTACATAATATAAGTGATACATATATATAATTGTCAGATTTATTGAGGTTAAATTTTTAGACCTTGAAGTAATTTATCTAAACTCTGAAAAATATAGATATATTACATTATTAAATGCAATTAAATAAATATATACAAATATATTTTTTAAATTATGTGATATGCTAAATTTTTCATAGTACTAAGTAGAAATAATGTATAGTATACTTACGTTAAGTTCCCATAATATTATTTTTCCATCTAATCCACTACTAGTAAACTTTGTAACAGAATCATTTGCCTCAGAATGAATGCGTAAACACGTTAAAGTATTTTGATGTTTAGTATCAAGTTCATAGTCACTGTTGATTCGAGCTTGTCGATCTAAACTTTGAAATTTTCTCATTGCACTGAAAAAATATTTATTTTTGATTCTGTTGAATATATATATATATACATTTTTAAATTTTTAACACAATTTTTTGGCAGAACTCTAGTTTACCTCAAACCAGCGGCTTCTTTTTTTTGAGAACTGTCTATTTTAGAAACAAATTGTACTTTGTAATTAGAATCAAAACAATATAACATTGGACAACATCCATGACCCTGTTTAAAGTTAAGTAAAATTCATATTAAGCTTTTTAAATAAAAACATCATCATTGATAATTTTTATATATTTCATTACAAAAGTGAATTTAAAAATAACTAAATGTAATAAAATTTTAGTTTAGTCTTTTTAATGTGTACTCATTTTTATTTTATCCTTTTGTCATGTATTTTATTTACTACTTTCGGATATTGTTAAATGTATAATATGTATAATTATTAGTTACTCAATAAACAAAAAATATTAATAACAAAAACTTACAGCAGCAACAATTGCTCGATCTGACACCCAAATACAACTAATGAATGGCAATTCATTTGTTTTTAGTTTGTCTACAACTATACTTCCTTTAGACACATCAGCAACGGTTATAGATGAATCGTGAGCAACCCAACATAATCGATTACCAGTTTTATTGAATGCTAATCCATGAATCCATCCCCCTAAACAATTTAGTTAATTTGGGTTAATAAAATAGAGTATTAATATAATGCAGTTGCACTTAAAATTGTTATTAAAACTGACATATGAATATATACAAGAGGGATAAATGTTTGACTAAATATATATTGTAGATGTACTTTCTAGTTGTACGATATTAAGTTTATTATTAATCATGACTATCATAATCTTGTTGATGTCTACGTGTTGGCTTCTAGTGTCACAATTTACAATTTATTATATTATACATTTTTTAATATTGTGTTTCTATTAAATTATATTCACTCATTAGTTAGAAGGAAAGTTAACAGAAAAATCATGAGGCAGACAAAAGTTTATTTTCTAGATACAAAAAATAATGTAATTTCTGGAAAACTATGTTGTAAAATCTTAGAATGCTTTTAATTCTAGTTCCATTGCATCATATCTACTTTTCTTAATGCAACATTGTAAAATATAAAAATGGGGAAAAAAATATATTCAAATTGTTGGCAGACATAAAATTCTGGTGAACTTGAAAAAAACAGGTTTAAAACATTTGACTATCAACCATAGCTAAAACTTTATAGATCCTCTAAATTGAGAACATACTCAAAATATAATGTCTTTGGAAAACAAAAAAATGTCAGAATAAAAAATTTCAAGGGATAGCATGTCATCATTTTTAATTTATTATATGGCATCAGAATTTAACCAGTAAAAATTTAAAAATTATCAAAATCATATTTTTCTAATAGATAATTACCATGAACCAATGAAGCTTTATCACATCCCTCACCATAAATATCTAGGTGTTACCCTTTATAGGTCTCTCACATATAAAAAACATTGCAAAACTGTGAAGGCAAAAATTAGGGGGAGAAAAATTATACCCAAGAAACTTACAGAATCAATCTTAGGGACTAATGCTCACACATTAAGAGTGTCTGCACTAGCTATATGCTTATCCGTAGGAGAATAAGCAAGTCATGTGTGGTGCAGATTAGCCCACAAAAACTGATGTGGTATTAAATGAATCCTGCAGACTAATAACTAGATGCCTCAAAAACACTTATGTATACTAAAACACTATATAAAGAATTATAAGTATGATTTTTTTTTAAAAAAAAAAGTTAGTTTATGATAATAAGAAAGTGGCAAATTTTGAGACTTGAATAATATGATTATGGCATTTCACAAAACGAGGTAGTCTAGTATAACAAGAAAATACCATATTTTATCATAACAAAAAAAATCTAAAATAGGTTCAGCGTCACTGGTATATAAGATTAAATATTAGGCATATAAATTAAAATATCAAATTTTTATTATATTTAATATAATTACCTCCTCTAGAAGAATTAGTGAATTCAGCAACTAAATTTGGCACAGGAGTATCATCACTGTCCCATGCAGTTTTGACTTTTTGACATTGGTCAACTTCTTTCATATGAACATTAAATAACCTAACTCGGAAATCTGCAGTACCAGTAGCTAGTACCATGTTATTTGGATGCCAATCTAGTGCAGTCACTGTTGATCGAATTGGTTTTTTAATATGTTTTGATACCCACCAATCATTTTCAACTTCAAAGTAACATACAGATATCAACTGGGCTCCAGAACCAACAGCAAATTTTTTTTCTAGAAATATCAAAAACAACTTGGATAAATATATATAATATTAACAATTAATATCTTAGAATAGAAATTGTATTGTTTGAATTCCTACGTAGCAAGTAATTTAAAGATACAAATATAAATAAAATTTTAATTTTTTATTGAAACTTTGTAAATCCAATTAGCCTTGGCAATTAAAAGGAAACAAATAGGCCTGTATAAGCAGCACAGTGTTTACTATGAAAGATATAGAGGACAGGATGACCACGCGTAAACAGTGGGAGAGGTGTTGAGCATAAGGGGACATAATAGCACAACATTTGGCTGTATAAGAAGATACTGTAGGTGGAAAATCATTATTATTATTGTGGTGTAGTAATATTAACACAGAACCGCCAGTGCTGTCGGTTAGTTGGAAAAAAAAAGGCGGACAATTATTGGAGAAAGATATATAAATCAAGAATGAAAAAACATACCCAGCCGATAGAAGAATAACTGACCCATTGGTATAAATGAAAATGAAGAATGTCAAATTCATATGTAGATAATCCAGAAAAAATTGTTAACTAAGTTAAGAGAGGAATTTTTAAGAAATTGTATGGAAAAGTCAAAAAAGTTTTCATCGCAGTTAATTACTGGGATAAAACAAATAACATTTTAACAATAATTTATGACTGAAATAAGTAATTTTGAACCAATACTCAATTTCATAAAAAGTTTCAACCTATTATTTAAGTGGCAGATTCTTATTGAAATTATAAAATGAAATTAACTTTTTTTTAAAACAACACATGAAAATAAGTGAAAAAAAAAACAGAAAAACAATTAATATCATGTAAATAAATTGTATTAATTCACATAATTACCATTTGGAGACCATTTAACACAAGTTGCTGCTCTACTAATTCTTAATAATACTAGAGTTGGTTTCCATTTTCCCTTGTCATCAATTGTCCATACATATGCATTACGATCCTATTAAGTTCTAAAAGTATTAAAATAAACTACCAACAAATTGAATAAGAAAAACTTACAGCTGAACAAGTAACAATTCTATTTGTATTTGGTGCCCAATCAATTCCAGTAATTAGAAGTCCATGTTGGTCTAGATTATCTAACAATGTCCAGTCACTGACACTAGGCTCATATTTATATATATGGACTTCATTACTGTTTGGAATCACAGCAATTTCTATATAATTTAATACAAATATAAATCAATTTTGTAATATGGTAATATAATTAGATAAAACTTACGTGTTCGGTTTGCATTCCATGAATGTGAAGTAACTGGACTATCACCTAAATTAAACTCCATAATACTAAATTAAGTTAAAATAAAAATAAGATTACAATGTTTTTAAAATTATAAATATTAATTTTTTTTTTCGGGTATAATTTATGTAAAATGATGACAGTTTTTTACATAGAATGCTAAACAGTAATACCGAGGTCCAAGATACCAATTCGGGCGGCGGATGCAGTTACCAGTCAGAGGCAGACAGCAATACGGGTTCGCCTGCAACAGTGTAGCACTCCGAATTAAATTATCAACAGGATGGCAAAGTGTACAATATTTATCTATACCACAGAGAATTATTACTCTATGATTTATACATGCATTTTTGTATTTACCTTACCATTGATTTGAATTTTGATAAATTAAAATTAAGATAAGTATAACTATACTGTATTTATGTATCTATATTATTTTTCAAATCATGATTTGTTTGAATAAGTAATAACATTTAAAATTTTGAACATAATACAGATTAGAGATATACAATGTGTACTGTATATTATATATTACATACGTAGGTATTTCATTATGTACTATACACCATGAAAGGAGTTAAGTTGAGGGGCAGATAAAAATACAAAAAAAGGACATACTTCGCACGTGGGTGCTGTTGTAGGTGAAAAGTTGGGAAGGTAGGATACTTAAGTTTATTTCATTTATATCTGTAAGCAACGATAAACTATTACTGACGAAAGACGATTCTGATCGCAGTTCGATAATACATAATTTGAAGTGTAATTTTTTTTTGCGATTTTCGTTTAAATTTGATTTCAAAATGCTTATTAAGTTGTCCATTGATTTTTAAAATTTTACCATCTCTAGGTAGATTCAATAGAAGTGTTATTACCAAGTTTCAAGTCTCTACGAGTATTTATAACCGAATTATAGCAAAAAACCTCCCAAAAATTAAAATTCCTTACACGCTCAAAAGTTTTGGCGATGATACCATAAGAAAGTAAATTAAAAAGGCAACAAAACAGGTATATTGTGATTTTTCGATTAAAACATTTTTCCTAGTAGAAAACATCGTCCGTGTTTTTATAAAATAATGAAATCATGAAATTGTACGTTTTCCTACGTTTTTTCCCACTTTAGTGCTTTTATTTAAAAATTGGCGTCGAAAATAAAAAAAAAGACCTTTTTAAAGTACCATTTAGACAACCTGAGCTTTTAAAAAAGTTGCTACACGTAAAAATCTGAGCAAGTTTACAAAGAAAAAATATGTCCACAGGCTAGAACAAAGAAGAAAATAAAATAAAACAGTATTGTAAAACCAATAGCATTCTCGCTACGCTCGAATTATAAAATGTACTTAGGTATGTAATATGTACACAAATTATTGAACAAATCTAATTTACAACTCAAGCTTGGTTTTCTGTTTCACGTATTTTTTCGTTAGAATTTAATACTCATTTTTTTCGTCCAAAATGTGTTTTTTAATGCTTAATCCATTAATATAATCAAAACTTACCCAGGTATCATACTTACTTTTATAATTTATTGTACCTACATAAACCTTGAAAAATAGCATTTTTGGAATTAATCCAAAATGTGATCAAAAATAGAGATTTTTTTATTATTATTATTTGTAGTTATTAATATTTTGATAACAAAGTTTCTTTATTGAAGTCAGATATAAGTCTATCTGGTTTATATTTAGTATGAACTAGTGTTACAAATGTTTAAAATCGCCGTGTTTCTCTGCACTCAATATGTTTAATCGAAATAACCCTCGATTTGTTGTTTAAAACCACGTTAAGTAGGTAACAGGGTAAAGTGAAAAAGCAGGTAGAATTACAGGTAAAACTAGAGACTCAAGGTGGTGGTCGGTCACTAGATTGGAGCGCTTAATCTCACAATTTTAATCAAAGATAACTATATTTGTTGTTTAAAACCACGTCGGATAGGTAACAAGGTAAAGTAAAACAGTATTAAAAGTGGGTAGGTTTATGTACAATAACTATAAAAGTAAGTATGATAGGTAAGTTTTAATTGTACTAAATACCAATAGATTAAGCATTAAAAAACACATATTTTGGGGAAAAAAACCTTTAAACGAGCTTGAGTCGTAAACTAGATTTATACCCAAATTACACATTTAAAACGTTAAATACAGTTGAACATAATTAACACAAATATAATTTCTACTACATTTTTATGGGATTAAATTGCCCATTAATCGAGGTTTTTTCGAGAGACAGACCAATAATTTTCTGGAGTCCAAATAACGGTAATTCGGAATAAAAATATTCTAAAGATGATTAACGGAAAAAAAATCACCTGACCAAAGAAAAACATCTCCAACCCATATTTATATTTTTTATTTATTAACTCAATATTTGCCCGTTGGCCGATTTTAATATTAAAAACGGTGTATTTGTTTGACTCGTTAAGTTTACGAGGAAAGCTGCCATAAGTCATAGTATAATATATATATATTACTTATATATAATAACAAATAGTTCAACACTATATGCTAAAATTATTTATAATATCATAGATATAAAATAAAATTAGTTTGGTAATTCCACCAACTCTAAAATTCCATAAATTAATCGATAGTGTTGAACAGGATTTTCAAATATCAACCCCCCCCATTTTGAACACAGATTAGATATTTGTCTACAAATTTTGATAGACATATCCACGGCCAAAACTAACAATGGATTTACCGTTTATAAGTTATATTGAGTATTATTAACTATAGTTTAAAATATAGTTCCATATAGTCTGTGTGAATAATAAGTTTTAGATGCCTGATTTATAACTCTTCTCTACTCCTCAGTTCTAAACTTTCAATTATTGTCTGTTGTAATTTATAACTCATAAACGGTGAACCCTGTCAATATGTATAGAATTTAGGGATGGATAGTTTGTTTAAAATTAACAAATTACTCAAAATTCAAATGAACGAATTGAATATTGATTCAGATCACGGTTTAAGATAGTATATCCTAAATCGTGATTCAGATTCGGTAATCAAGAACGATTCGCTCTATAACTCGTTTTTATCTTCATTGAATCATGATGTTAATAGTCAATTTCAATTATATGAGTCATTACCATTGAGTAATTACTTTATGGTTCCAACGAAGCATGAAGTTATAACTAAGAACCTATCTATAACTGTGGTTACAGCACAGGTGTGCATTTAGAAATGTCTCCCAGAGTTGTTGGCTGTCGCTAGACTCGTTCAGAAAGTATTTGGGGTGTGTCTCAGAATTCACAGGTAGGAATTCCTGTAAACGACAATGGTATATATAGTTCAAACCACTTCTTACTTTGCGCCAATTATTTGATACAATTTTGACCTAGGGTACGTTCAGAAACGTTATCCACAATTTCTGGGGAATTCGTCAGCGAAAGATTTAGCACCGCCCATTTTGATGAATCAACAAGTTATCAACCAAGCTACCTTAGGTATTTTAACCTGTTTATAGTTTTATCAGAAATAGATTAGGTTTTGGCGGCCACAAGGTAATAGATAAGGATACTACTCAGTTAATATAATCGTTAATTATTATATTACATATAATTTATATTAATATTAAATGGTTAATAACGAAATTGTAGCCATGGCTGCAAGCTGCTCGAATATATTTCTTTTTGATTGTGACCACTTAATTAATATAGTTTACTTGTATTATATGATTAACTAATAATAATAATAAAACATTAAAATTATTTTACTTAATTTTTGTTACTAATATATTGGTATTTTTAATAGTTACGTTATACATTTTTAGAACGTTCAATCATATTACGTACAACGTATAATACGTACAACCTACATTAAAATTACTTGATATTGTACTTATTAGTACTAGTTTGTGATTTTATATCACAAAAAAAGTACATTGTGAAGTGTTTAATATAACAAACTTTTTGCATAAAATGTATATCTGCCCTTAAAAAAATGTACATTTTACGATTACATAACATAAGTTATTATTTATCTCTAGAAAGTTCATATTGAATTTAAACTAGTATTGAAATTGAATATTAATTCACATTTAATTTTAAATTAAATTATTAAAAAATGAAAATGTTAATAGTAATTTAATTTATTATTAAAATGAAAACAAGAAAATTACCATAACCAGCTATAACCAACACGTCCAAAAGTTGAATTTATTCAATTCTGCGGTATCCGCGGAACGTCTTGGTAGACAGGATCAAAATGTATCTATCAAGACGATATGAGCTAATCAGAAAAGAATATTTCACACGAAAAGAAAATAACACGGTGAGGACTCCCCTATACTGCTCAAAATCACTGTTAGCTATCTATATTCTCTATAAAAAAAATCAGTAACGTACCTAGTATGTCATCTATTCCGGGTAGGTAGGTTTGATAAGAACAGTTTATTTTATTAGTGATATAAACCGTTTTTTATTGACTGTCTGGTTTCAAATGATTCGAATCACTAGAGTGAGTAATTTTTCTCATCCATATCTTTTTATTTACACTGACTACACTGTAGATGAAAATCCAATATTTTAATCTGTGTTCAAAAGAGAGGGGTTGCTATTTGAGAATCAAAAGTGTATACATATTTCAATATAATTCCATAGTTATTTAAAAACCAGACATTTTTTTTATTTTAAATCTTTGAGAAAATTCATAGTTCATTATAGGTTGATCATTCTGTAGATAAATCGAACAAATGTTAAACGATATTATTAATGAAACGGACACACTGAATTTCTCTGTTACCAAACGTTTGAAAAGTTTACCGCTCGCGAATTTGTCCCATGTCCACGACCACGGTAAAATATGACCTACGAACATTCCCAATCCTTATCAAACGTACTATTTTGTGTTATCGGTTAAGCATGTTTTTCAACAAACTTTTTAGTAGCTGACTTGCACGAACTTTTCTTGTCTATCCTAACAATAACTGGCAACTGAAACGTTTATTACAAAACGAAAAGTCTAATGTTTACAAAAATCTTTTGTCCGTAAAACGTAAATAAATCTATGGTTATCGTACATCCATATAAAACGTGTCATCATTTCTTGCAGTATTATTCATAAAAAAATACTTTTTAAAATTTATATTCTTTAAAATATATAGATATAAAAACTTTTTATATTTTTAAATAATGAATAACATTGCAACGCAGAGAATCAAAAGAGAATTTAAAGAAGTCATTAAGAGCGAAGAGGTAATATGTATAAATATATAATAATATATTCATTATTTATTTTAAAATATATATGTAGTGTGTATGAAACTAATTTAATGTAACTTAATACAATTAAGTAGGTTGTTTTTTATTTTTAATTATTAATTTCTACAATTTGTTCTTTAATTTTTTATGATTTTTTATTGGATCTCCAAGACAATGTTTACAACATTTTTGCACAGGTTAATTTTACATATTAAACTTTTAACTTTTGTAAAACTCATATATACAATTTTCGTCAATTTGGGTAGAACATCATTACCTCAACAGTGCAATAGAGTTAATCGAGAATTATGAGTTTATCAATTTTAAGAAAGTAGCATTAAAAACGTGGATTTCTATAAATTAACAAATCAGAAATTGCCTCATAAAGTATTTTATAATAATTTATTTAAATGATGAGTTATTATAAGATTTGTCTACCCATATTTTATCAGTTTTGTGGTTAGATTATAACATAAAAATAAACATAGGTAATATACTTATGGAAACCTATACCTATTGGTTATTTATATGAGTACAAGATAGTTTAAATAATTTGTCTAGTGTACAGTTAGTATACAGTTAGTGTACAGTAGTGACAGTTTCAATGACTATTTGATTCAAAATATTAGGTATCTTAAATTTTTTTAAATAAATATATTTAATTCTTGAATAACATTAGATATTTAGTTTTTTTCTGAAGTAAAATTTTTTTTTGAAAATGCTAATGTATAAACAGTGTTATTAATAAGCATTTAAAGTTTAAATATTTTGCGATAAGGCCTATAATTAACATTTTATGGCTTACAAAATTGTAATACTCTTGCTAGGTATAGAATCATAAATTATTGTTTCAATATGAATACTTTAATATTTACACAAAAAGTTTTTTGCTTTAGAAAATTAAAATTACCACAAAAATGGAAGGAATTATTATTATTGTTGTTTGTATTAAGTTTTAATATATGAATGAATACTGTTAAATAACACAATTATTAAAATTGACAAAAACAAAATATTTTTAAAATAATAAATATTTAATTATATACATTTTACACAGCTTGCTAAATGTTCAATAAAAGTGGATTTAGTTGGTGATAGCTACACTGAATTAAAGGGTGAAGTTGCCGGACCTCCTGATACACCATATGAAGGGGGGACATTTTTTTTGGAAATTAAAGTGCCAGAAACTTATCCATTTAATCCACCAAAAGTAAGACAATTCTAATTTTAAACTATTCATTACATAAGTATAAATATTAAAAACTTTTTTAATTAGGTTCGATTTATGACCAAAATTTGGCATCCTAACATATCATCTGTAACTGGAGCTATTTGTTTAGACATTTTAAAAGATCAATGGTAAGTTATGATATAAAATGTTAAACACTTTTTTTTCAAAAATTTTTATTTATCTAGGAGTAGAGAAATATTACGTTATTGAACCAATCTACAAGTTTTTAAATAAAACAAAAATTTACCTATTGTTAAATTAGTTGTTTTATGTGTTTAAAACATTTATAATAATTGTAATATTTGTTTAACCCTCTATAGCTCGCACCGTTAGAAAATATTTAACAAACAACTTATTTTAAGAATAAATATTATCGATTGAATGATAATTAATCACCCCAACATTTTATTTACACGATTATGAAACTCATAATTCCATTATTATTAATAAGATTAAATTTTTTGACAGTTATATTTGTATTTCGATAAAATTGTATAAATTAATATATTGTTAGAAAAAATCTTACACGTGAGTGATCCTGGGTTAAATTATGATTATTCAAAAACTAATAAGTATTAAATATTATATTTGAATATTTCTTTAAAATTATAAATATTCCCCAAATAAAATTGCTCCTAGTTTGATAAATTTAGTAGTTATTTATGGGCTAGATTAATTTCCATATTATAATATTAGACTTTACAAAAAATATGTGTATAGTTTTTACTTATTATTTTACCTACTCATTTTTCATTGAAGTTAGGCTCGTTGTAAAATATTTATGGGACAATGAATATTTTAACAATAATAGTGATTGTGATTGTGTACTAATATTAATAACTACTGTCAAACAATCAACTTAATATGCCGTTGCTATGTTAAAAGAATTCAATTATTCAGATTATGTTTAGGCAATAATCATAAGAAAATAAATTATACATAATTATAAATTCAAAAACAAATACAATCATTTAAAACTATATATAATTTAACCTTGTTAATTAGTTTTGTTAGTTTAAATTTCTGAATTTTAACAAACATTAATAGGGCTGCAGCTATGACTTTACGTACAGTATTATTGTCATTACAAGCACTCATGGCAGCTGCAGAACCAGATGATCCACAGGATGCAGTAGTCGCAAAACAGTATAAAGAATTTCCAGAAATATTTGCTAAAACTGCTAGCCATTGGACAAATGTTTATGCTGGAGGTATTATATATTTAGTTATATTATACATTTTAAATGATAATCTTTTAATCAATTTAATAATTAATGACAGTACGTATAAACTAAAAAAAAAAAATACGTGAACAACAATCACTAGAATCACTTATTTTGTGTTTAAGAAATATTCATTGTAAAACAAAACCACCACATGAGCTAGCTTAGTGGGGCCATTATACATCTATATTCCTGTAATATTTTTGTTAATAAACAACTTAATTCTATATTATACTATAACTGTACTACTACCCAAAAATGGTAGAAGTGGTTTAAAGTTAGATAGCAAATAAAGCATTCATCATAGTAAAAATAACAAAACTATTAAAATCCAAAGAGTGATCTCTAAAATATATATTTGATATTTCATAAAATTACTTTTTTTAAATCTAAAATAAGTATTTTTTTATTTTCCATAATTAAATAAAATTTGTTTTCAGATTCTTTATGTTTTAAATATAAAAATATAAGTTTGTTTAAGTAATTATTAAATATGTGTACCAGATTGTCTATACAATTTTAATTTCTAATTTTAGGTCCAAAAAAAAATATAGAATTTGATTCAAAAATTCAACGTCTTATAGACATGGGAATCGAACGTGATCATGCTTGTGCCGCATTATCTTCTTATAATTGGGATTTGGAACGAGCTACAGAACAATTGTTTAGTTAGGATTGGTTCTATTTTTTAAATTATGATTAAAATATTATAATTATCACTGAATCTATATAAAAGTTAAAGTATATGAAATATTCTAAACACAGAGTTATTTTTATTTTTATTTTGTATGTTTCTTATTACACAATTTATATTTACAGTCTATACTTATATTAATTTTTATTTTAATAAGTCAGTAATTTCCAAATGCAGGAGTGGATTGGTGTATCATGATATTGGGCGCATATAGTTATTTTTCCTTCTTTTTTAATTTGTTTTTAGATGATAATTTATATTTCATCTCAGAGGGGTTGTTATGTCTACGTATTTAAAAAAAGTGTTTTAAACGCTTTCTCATAAATTTATGTTACATTTACACAAATGGACTGGGATGTCCAGACTTCCCAAACATCCCATCTAATAACTAATACTTTCAGGAGAACATCCATCCAAGAAAAAATTAATGAATAACAAACAGCTGAGTATAATTCCTTTATTGGTTTTATTTAATTGGTTTCAACTACCTATTTGTATACAAAGTTTTTATTATTAAATCATTTTAATTTGTGAACAGATTTTATTTATATACCATGAATTAAAAAAAAGTTTTCAATCCACTCCTAGTGCTATGGCTGGCTAAATGTATATGCATAATTATCTAATAGATAATAGGATATTTGACTTGTGTTTTTTCACTCAATTCATTTAGAAATGTCACAGATAATTGTCTATGATGACCAATTTTCATTTCTACTATAAACAATAAAATATGTGTTCAAATTGTGTATGATAAAATACATTTATTTTATTATACAATCTATTTTGTTTATGTAATATATAAATAGTATTTATTTTTGATTAATAAGTGAACCATATAGTTGTTAGTTTATTAATTTATTAATTATTAATAAATTATAGAATTTATTTAAACATCCTCATTCCACTTCCTAATTATTCATCTATGGTAATTGATATATTAGGTAAGTGATACCTAATTTTTAGATACCTGCAATATATGTAACATATATAATAATACTTTGATATTTTGATACAATTTTTCTTTTAAACCTAAGTAAACACATAAATAGAGTTTCTTCAATGATTTAATTATAGTGTTATCCTTTTGCCATTAACTCTGTCAACATTGATTTAATTTTTTTAATTTGGATTTTGTGCTAGGGGGACTCATAAGTAGAGAAAAATTAAATTTGTATTTTCATCCCTTCATCACTGAAAAAAATTACATTTTATTTTTTTACTTTAAAAGATAGCCTTTAAAAATAGCTTTTTGTAAAAGATATTCTAAAAATTTTAATGTAACATACATTCATATCCGATCAATAGTTTCTTAGTAATAGCAGTTTTAATTTCTAGAAAATTTATGTGAAAGCAATTAATTTATAAATAATAATATCTTTTACAAAATCGTTATGAAAATGTTAAAACTAATAAAATCAAAAATTGTTTTTTTTTTTCAATAATTAAGGGATGTAAATCATAATAATTTAATTTTTCTCTAAATTTGTTACACCCTGACACAAAACTTGACTGAAAAAAATGAATATTGACAGATTTATTAGCATAACAATAATACTATTAGACATTCTATATAGGAATATTTAAATTATAATAATTACAATAATGACATTGTTATGCATTGCTCAATCGTTATCATATTAAAAATAGATATAATTTCCAAGTGTATAATACTAGAACAGTATTCAGTATGAGAGCTTTAAGTACCTACCTATTTTGTTCAAACTATTTCACAGCCAATTTTTTTCGCACCAGACTTCTCATACGAACCAATTTTTGTCAGCCAGGCATAACACAAAAAAATAAAAATATTTCACACCATGTACTGAGTGGTTTTCAAATGTGCCAAACAAATGCCTTTTTCTGGTATTTCACACTACCTGCAGTATATTTGGCATCCTATCATATTCTATCTATCAAACATTTTCTAACTTTACAAAATGGAGCTACCTACAGATTTAGTTTTTTTTTTTTTTTATAAAATCTGTAGTTCTATGATATAAGTAATGAACGACTATTTAAAAATTGAAATTGATTGACATTGATTCGCAAAAAAAAAACTTTTTAGTATCGGTATAATAAATCAAAAATTGACCTTCCAATGCACCAATAAGATAAAATTTCTTTTCAGAAAAGGTGCTACACTTGGTACATCGAGTCAGAAAAGACAGGTGGCGAATTGACTGCTGTAAAAAGGTCTATCCACAAAACGGTTTCGGAGTAGGTATTCAATATAACCTATATTCATAGATTAAATATCTGTGTATATTTAATCTGTGCTATATGCCTCAATATTATGCGAAATATCTCTTCAAGATCGTTTCTGAATTCCGTTGGACTTTAGTAGTTTGCACTAGTTGCACATAAACATACAACCATCCAAATGGGTTATAAATATCTACACTCTTCATTCTACAGGTTACTTATGTCCAAGGGTATTTTGTAGATAACAACATTTTGAGAATTTTTTTTGAATTACCTACAGTGCTATCTAGTGTTTAGAACAAATATATACTATGTAAACATTGTAATCACGGTCTTAGATATATATACTATATAGGTAAGTGTGATAATATAAAGTTCTGCGTTTAATGATAAAAAATAATAATATATATTACTTTTTCTATGTTAGCAACACAACACCAGTTTGTTCTCCAGTCGCCACTGTTTACTTCTGAAGTTTTCAAATTATTGAACTTCTATTGTTTTCTTAATTTTTTTTTTTTGATATTGGAAAATGTATAACTATCATGCACTATGCTTAATTATTGTTAGTTAGAATCTATTAGGTACCTAATAAAATAATGTACTTATATAATTTATTACTATTTCATTAGTACAGAAGAATAACAAAAATTTTATTTATGAACCATGAATATTTAATTAATAACCAAAAAAGTAAACACATTCATTCTTCAGAATAATTTTGTATTCTTTTGATATTAGTTTTTGTATTTTATATATGATTACTGAAGTAGTTAAAACATTAAATGAAATAATATCCAACAGAGTATGGAGTTTACTAGACCAGTTATAAATTCATATGAATCGCCAGATATGATAAGTAAGTAAATTATATTGAAATATTTTTACATTATACAATTTTATTATGCTAATTCAATCTTTATATACCTGTGTAACACCCGTCCATAGCTTTTCCACCAAGACCACCAGCTTATGATTGCTGAGGCTATATGCCTAATTTATTTACTATCCTATTGAATCATTTAATATTATTTGATACTTTATCTATCATTATATTATTTAAACTGTTGTGTAAAGAATTATCATAAATTATGATAATATTAAATTTATTTGTTTAAAAATATTAGAATAAAACAATATATAATTGCCAATTATATGATATTTAGTGTATGGAAACTATGTAGATGAAGAATATCCAGAAGTAATTGATACTAGTCTGTATTCAGACCAATTAAATGGACAAATAATAAGATCTGAATATGAAGAAACTCAAACAATATTGACGGATAACTGTAGTCAATATGGAATTACAGCTACATGTTTTGACACTTATGAAAATTTGCTTTGGGTTGGAAATGAACTGGTTAGTGCTTGTAATCAAATTGTTTTCCTTAATTCCTTTACTTCAAAAATTAAATTATTCATAATATATCTTATCTAGGGCTATGTTACTTCATATTATAGTGCAGAAATGCAGAAGTATACAATGTTTAGGGTTCATTCTAATGAAGAGGTTCGTTCTCTATTGACTACAGAATCTACTTTGTTAATTCTTACACCTACTACACTTCGATGCCAGATGCGTAGAGGTTTACCAATTTTTACTCATGGGTAATTAAAGTAATAAATACAATTTAAGGCTTATTTTATATTATTAAAAATAAATATTTACATACGATCGTATTTAAGATTAATTTAAAATTTAAATTAAACCATAATAGCATATTATTGTTCGAGGAGGTTTAATTATTGCTGTGTCTCTGTCATCAGGCGCTCAAGTAGATAACGGGGGAATCTAGTGCCCGGTCACATTTTAGAGCACCAGACACCCTCAACCTAATTTCCCTGTAAATGGGTATATATTATATTATTATTGTGGTTGTTTTTGTGTTTTGTTCTCACTGTGATTGCTTATAAAAACCAATATTATATAAATAATTAATGTTAAAAATATAAATAAATTATGAGTTCAATTGGTTAAATTAACTAGTTGGTATTTAAACAGTTTAAGTAGGCTTATACGAGCATTCAATGATGGAGATACAGCCTTTAATTATTTTACATTTTCAAGTACATTTTTATTTTTTATTATGATGTTAAAAAATTTTAAGGTATAAAATAAGGCTAAATAATACTATAATATAATGAATATAGAATTTATAATTCTAACTTTTTTTATGTAATATATGTAATTTAAACTGTATTGAATATTGAGAATTTTGAATACATTTTTTTTTTACAATTATAATCAGATGGTGCTATCTAAAAGCTCTGTTAAACAAAATGCGTTATTAACACCGCGGTATTATTGTTGCGTTTTTGACACCACCACTAATGTTACATACATTATACAAAAATCAAAGTGTTTTGACATAATAGGCTTGTAGTAGTTGATATAGCAATATTGTTCATACATTTACAAAGAAAAGTTTATATTATAAATATGTTCAGTAATTCAAATAAAGAAGAATTTTTACTTTTTTATGCAATAACCGAAAGTCAGCAAAAGAGGAAGTGAATTTGGGCTCATAAAATAAATTAAAAAAAAGAGATTTATGGTGAACACTACTGTTTATGTTGTGAACTGGAGTCACATGAAGACCGATTTTATTTATCTTCTGGATGACCTAGGATAGTTTTTAAGAACTGTACAAATTGCCAAAAGTAATGCACTATAGTCTATGATTTTATAATTTTGTATAACATCGTATTCTAGTGCCGCGTCAATTATGCTGATGAGTTATGTTTGACAGCCGATATAATTTGTTGTTTAATATAACACGACATTATAGTATATCGCTTTCACACTCGTGAATAATGTATTCTGTTTGACAAGGCCTTAACACATTGATTTTTTAATTAAAGATTTTAAGACTCAAAACTATACATCTTTAAATAGAAAATCATTATTTAAATTAATTCTTTATCCAAAATATTTGGGAAACTATCTATTAATAATTTAGTTTCACCATAGTTATTGAAAGTAGATTTGTGAACAAATATTAATTGGTCAAATTTCAACCAAATATAGAGACTAATATTATATTGGCTGTGACAAAAATATCTGAGATCTGAAATGATTTGTTTTGTTTGGTTTTTTTTTATTTAATAAATACTACTCTGACCCATCAAAAGAAGGAACTTATGTCTCAACCAAAATTTGTCTGAGTTCGCACAGCCCCACCCCTGAATATGTTATGTGTAGCACTGTATAATAGTACACACACGGTAGCATGCTGCTGCCAAAAATGTTTGAATAGGGGAAATAGTTCCCTGAAACGTTCAATGTCAGTTGCATTCCTAAATTAAGTTCCTTCTCTCGTGGATCGGATTATAGACCTTTGAACCATGACTCTTCTATTTTGTGTATTTTTTAAAATTAATAATAAAAATAACTGATACTGGGGACAGCTATGTTACTGTTGTAGATGGGAAGTTAGGGAGATAGGATAAATAAAGTTATTTAATTTAGGTCCTATAATATATATTTTTTTCATTAAAAATTCCATACATTTTATTTAACATTGTTCTTAAGTTGCTAATTGTGTTTTATGGATAACAGTAGTTATGATTCAATATTTCTAAGGCATTATTGATAGTAATAATTTGTAATAACTAGTAAAAAATAATTTATATTTTAATGTTTGCGTCTTTTCAGTTCCGAATACTTAAATGAAATGCAATGTATTACTCAACTGGGACGTTCTCAAGATACTATATTAATGGGTGGTCATCAAGATAAGCTGATTGAGTTTAATTTGAATTTATGTAAAGAAACGAATATCATAGATGCTGGAGAAAATGGTTGTGCTATATTGCGTCAGAATGCTAATAGAACTGTATGTTGTGGAGATCCTACTGGAGTAATCAAACTTCGAGATCCTAGAAATATTTCAAAAATTATTTATACTGTTGATGCACATACAGGAAGTTTATCAGATTTTGATGTTCATGATAATTTGTTAGTTAGCTGTGGGTTTTCAAATACGTAAGAGGAATTCATCATTTGTATTATTTTTATATTATATACTTATAATAATTTATATATTTTTAGGCACGGATCTATGGTTTTAGATCAATTTTTAGTTGTACATGATTTAAGAATGATGAGGTCAGTTTCATCTATTTCAATGATTATAGAACCATTTTTATTAAGATTCATGACATCATATTCATCACGCATTGCTGTTGTATCTAATATTGGACAATGCCAACTTGTGGACACTGTTGCATTATCAGAACAAGATATGAATCTCTACCAAGTGTGATCAAATTATGTTATTATTTATGTTGTAATTATATAGTAATAACTAATAATTTCTTAATTTAAAATAAGATGAGTGTTGCTGAAGAAGGAGCAATGGCTCTTTCTATGGATGTATCTCCTTCAAGTCAAGCAATTATAATTGGTGATAATGTGAGCACATTACATTTATTTACTACGGCGTCTACTAGGTTTAATACTTTAGCAAGGGATACAATATTTGCCCAACAAATGGAACCATTACCATGTGGACCAATTAGTGTGACAGATGAATTAGCTGATTATTCCAATATTCCATTGCCACCTTGTGATGGACATTTAGCATCAGAATTACCAGATGGATTTATTTCAAATATTTATAGGTAAACAATAAAGTTTAAATATATTTTGTTAAAATAAAAATATATTATTAATAATAAATATGATTAATGTCACGAATATTTAATTAAATATGAATTAACTGTTTCCAGTATTTCTAGTACTAGATTTGATGTTACCAGGGTATTAAAGTTTTGTGTCATTTTTTTATCTTCCTTAATTATCGCAGTAATATAATAATTAAAAAAGTAATATTATAATATATAATATATAAAAATTGTTTTTAAAATCAATGTCTTTTTGGGGAATGTTATTAAATAATATTTTTAAATCATTTGATCAGTTGAATTTATTATTTCTACAATTAAAATATTAATTTTAGTTTCTGTAATCTATTATATTGTATATAAATATTGTAAATTAATATTTTTGTTTGTATTATTTTACGAATAAAAATAAATATAATTTTAATTGTGGATAGGAAAACACCAGCAATAGATTTAGATATATTATCTACAATGCAAATGAAAGGAACTGTTGGATATGCTCCTAATCAGAATAACCGAAAACGAAACCAAGTAAGTTTTCCTTCAATATTATTATTAAAGGGGAAGCTAACATTAGCCAATGTTTATATATTACAATCAAAATTTTCAAATGATTTGTTATTTTTATTATTGAGTTTTGACTCATTGAAGTATTTTTTTGTTTTTTTTTTTTTATGTATTTTGCATTTTAATATATAATTTAAAATAATAATATAACGTTTTTAGGTATCTACTAACCTAGCATTAAATGATAAATTAAATACATTTTTATACAGTTTGAATATTTAAATTGTAATATATTTTTATCTAAATAAATATTAAAAATTACATTTTTGTTTTTAAATTTTAGGTAGCATATTTTAATACTGTACCTGAATCACAAAATAATAACAATATTAATCAATCAAATGATGATGAACGTGAATCTCCCACATTTGTAGCAATACCTAGAAGATATAGAAAGATTGATTTAAAATTTAAAAGTGAAGATTTTGATTATGAACAATATAATAAAACTGGATTTTGTGGTTTAGAATCAAATGTTCCAAACTCATACTGTAACCCTATGCTTCAGGTAATATTAATAATATTAAACTTTGTACACATTTTTTGGTTTTTTAAACTATTAGCTGTTCCATCAAGCTTTGCCGATATACAGCGTTAAATGAAAAAAATAAAATTGTGTTTTCCAATATCATCCTTGTTCCCATTACAGTTACCTAGAATTTGTTCAGTAGGTAATTCATTTTTTTTTTATTAAAAAAGATATTGTTCATTTATTTCTGTATAGACATTTTCAGCCCTTACGTGAGGTGGATTCGACTGTGCATATTGTTCAGACATACATACAGGCTAATACTTATTTGTATTAATATAGTTAAAGAGTAAATCTGGACCGATTGGTTGAGTGTAACAAATTAAAATTAACAAATTATACAATTTTAGTATGCACTTAAGTTAGGTTGTAATGTATTTTGTTGAATGATAATACTATATTATATGTTATTTGTTTATTTATTTGACAATATGCTTCAAGATATTACTTAAACTTGTTTCTTTTTATCTTATGGGTAAAATTATTAAATGCGATCCTTATATGCATTTTATACTATGTACATGTACCTCGTAAATTATTTGATATTTGTTAACTATTCATACTATTTTTATGCAGTAAAACTGATTAAAAATGTAGTAATTGGCTTTTGTATAAAAATAGAGATATATAATAGTCAATCTCAGAGAAAATGTTAACATTAACTTCCACTTTTAAGGGTATCTAGATGACTTGTATTGTCTATTCATTTCTAATAGATCCCACTTGCTTGTCAGCTTAATTTTATCCACAAAAACTCATAAATCAACTTGGAAGTAACAATAAATCCAACTCTATTTATTTTAAATCAAAATTAGAAGAAAAAAAAACAACAAATTTACAGACAGAAATGTAAGCAGTTATAACTGAAAAATAACCTAATCAAAATAATATTGCTATTACATATTATTATTACTATTATCATTGTCATATTAACTTGTGTAAATTAACCTATGCCTTTTTTTTATTAAACATATTTTGTTTTAATTTTATTTATTGATTAGGTTTTATATTTTTTGGAGCCATTGCGAAAAGTGTTAATGGCACATATATGCCAGGAAGAATTTTGTTTAAGTTGTGAATTATCATTTTTATTCTATATGATGAATAAATATAAAGGAACACCATGCCATTCTGGGAATTTTTTAAGAGCTCTTCGTAATGCTCATGATGCTACTGCTCTAGGGCTTATACTACCTGAACATAATAATTCTGAAATGAAAAATAAAATAAATATCAGTATTTTAATTCAAGTAAGATTTGATAAATTATAATAACAAATATAATATATATATTATACAGAGTGATTTTTTTTTCATAAACCAGCAATTATCTCGAAGTTTTTTAAATTAATTTGATTTCTGTTTTTTCTAATCATTATGGAATAGTTTAAGTTTTATTTTAAAACGATTTTTCATTTTTTACCCCTACTCCATATATCTTAAATAAGTACATATTTTTGATTTTCAAATTAGAACCCCCCCCCTTTTAAATACAGATTTGAATAGAAATTCTAGAAATTTTAATGTTCATAACACTAATATCAGATTTATCATTTATAAGTTATAACATTTTAAAGTTTAGACCGGAGAAGTAAGGAAGGGTTATAAATAGACAATATATTACTTCCAATTTATACTACTGTAATTGTAAGTCTAAAAAATTTTTTTTTTCTTGGTTTGTGTGGTTTTTTTCCCTCACCTTATATTCAGATATTACAATATTGTACAATATATATTACAAAAATATTACAGGACATTTACCGACAGCAATCAGTAAAATCTAGGATTCATAGGTATTCTTATTTCTACCGAAACATATTTATATTTTTAAAATATGTAGCTAATGCCATATCATAAATAATAAAATATTTATTATTTAATTATTTAATAATTGTATGTTATTAATTTATACTACTGTTGTTTATTTCATAAAGATTTTAAATTAAAGTATTTAATTTTAAATTTTTGGTATCACATACACAATTATATTAATATATTAATTAACCTTTTTTTTGTATTTGTTACTAGAATTGGAATCGATTTATTTTGCATCAAATTCATTTGGAGCTCCTCAAATCAAAAAGAGGATCAATTGATGAACAAGGAAAATTTGTTTTCAAAGATACAGATTTCCCAAGTATTGGAGGTCAACAAGTTCGAAAAAAGGTAAAAAATAAAGAAGAAGACTATAATGAAACAGAAATAACTAGATTATTTGGCTGTAAACAACTTCATGTCAATAAGTGTTTAAAGTGTAATCACGAATTCAGCAAACAATCCAATTTAATGGTGTGCAATTTGATTTATCCAGAATCTAATGACGGTAAAAATTTTAAAACAATTCAATTAAATATTTATTATATTTTAAAATATTTTCATTATTTTTTACTAGAAAAACCCATGTCATTTTGTGATTTACTTCAGCACAGCATTTGTCCGAAACAAACTACTACAACTTGGTGTGAACGTTGTGAAAGTTTCCAGCAGACAATACAAACTAGAACATTAAAATCATTACCTGCTATATTAACTGTGAATTGTGCTATTGAAACTAAACAAGTAAGTTTTGAATGCACCTATATTGATGATTTTTTTTTTAAATGTATATAAAACAAATTTAATAATTTATTAAGTTTTACTGATTATAATATTATCGTTTTAACTAATTGGTTACCATATAAACAGTTGAATTTCAAATGATTAAAAGTCAGGATCTTGAATATCAAAACCTTGAACATCAAAAATTGTTGAGTGCATAATATAGTCAAAAACATGACGAGTGTCTCTTGGGAAAATTTGAAAATTAATCTGTATTCAACAATAAATCAATTGCTAATGAAAAATGATTCTTAACAAAGATTGGTTAAATATGTTTTGATAGATGATTTTTAAGATTTTATTCAAAATTTGGACCTAAAACTTGTATAAAAAAAAAAATGTGTATATGGAAAGTTGGAAACCTAAGAAATATACATGTTAGTTTAAATTATAAATGTAACAATAAATTATTGCAACAAAATACGGTTCTGAGTGGAGCTCAGTTAAACATTTTTTAATAAAAATGAGTATGATCATTTATCACATTGAGTAGGTTGTTGCATCTTTTAGTACCTAGTATTAGAAATAATTTATACATTTACTTCAGTTATAATTTTAACTAATGAGTAATTAATAAAAAAAAAATTTTAAATTTTCAAAGTTTTGTTGTCAACATTGCTATACACTGTATTAAGAAGAGCTACGTAGCTAACTTTTGAGTAATATTCTATATTATTTTTATTTATATTAAGTAATTAAATTTCATTTATAATTCCTACTAATTATTTAATGTTATTAATTATTGTATGTTGCATATGATAGAATAAAGATTTTTGGCAACAACAAATGGACATTTTAGTAAAACAAGCTGTCACTAAATCTGGAGATCAAAAGACAGCACCTACAACTCCCACTTCATTTAATAAACCGTGTCGATATGGAAACAATTGTACCAGACATACTTGTCGATTTATGCATCCAGGGCAAACACTTGCTGGTACACAATCAAACCTTTAATTAACAAGTCATTTTTATAAAATCCAAAATAATTTTTACTTAAGTTCCAGAAACACATAATTCAATGTCTTTATCACAATTATATTACACACATTCATGGTTACCATTGTGTATTAGAGCAGATTTACAGCCTGATGGAGAATTAACCTTAATTAAATGTGATGATGAAGAAGTAGGTTGTAAATCTGATCATATTTATGATTTACATGCTGTTGTATGTTACATACATGAAGATCGTAAGAATCTTGTATCTATTGTGAATGTTGGGCAAAGTTATCATGAACATAATACATCAGCTAGTAATCCTTCACCTCAATGGTACATATTCAATGATGTTAGTGTATCCCCAGTCATAGGACAAGAAGCAGTTTGGTTTAGTCTGGATTGGAAAATTCCATGTATATTATATTGGGTGTCAAGAAATAATCAAGTTGCCTTGGAAATTAAAAATGAAGCGGACTCAGTAATTACGTCCAAGGTTTTTACAGAAAGTGTTTATTTAAATTCTCCATCAAATAGCAATGATATTATCTTAGCCGAGGAAATTCCTAAATCGGGTAAATTAATAATAATGTTAACATTTGATGTATTTAAATTTTAGTATAAATACATTTATTTTTAGGTGAATTAGTGGCTATTGATGCAGAATTTGTTACTCTCAATCAGGAAGAATCGGAATTAAGAAGTGATGGCCGGCTAGCCACAATAAAACCAGTACAAATGGCTGTAGCAAGGATATCATGTATTCGGGGGTAAATTAATTCAAATTTGTACAATAATGGAATTTATGAAATGATAATTAAATTTCAATATTTCTATTTCAATAGTGAAGGTCCACACGAAGGCAAACCTTTTATAGATGATTATATTTCAACTCAAGAGCAAGTTGTTGATTACCTTACAAAATTTTCTGGTATCAACCCTGGGGATTTAGATATTAGTAAAAGTTCTAAAAATCTTACCACTCTCAAGTCTACCTATATGAAATTACGTTACTTGGTTGACAATGGAATAATATTTATTGGCCATGGTTTATACAATGATTTTAGGTTAGTTTCTTATTTGTTATAATATACTGAATGTCCCACGGAGATGTAATAACTCTTATTCTGTTTAATATTTTTTAATTTTTTTTTTTTTTTATTAATTACTATAGTTTGTGCTATAATTTTTACATATTATATATATATTATTCTAAAACTAAAAAAAAAAAATATATTTTTTTTATTTTACATAATCCAAGATAGCCATTTTACAAATTTATTTTAAGTTAACAAAAATTATTTTTTTATGGTAAAAATAGATGAATCGATTGAATCATTCAGGAGTGACAATGAAATCAATTTTAATATCATAAACTTGAAAAAATTATAAAAAATTAACTTGTCATTATCAAAGATTTGTAATTTACATAGCTAAGATAATAACTAAGACAAGATTGAATGTATATTTATTAATAAACAAAAATTAGAATTGTGATTAATCCTACTATTAAAGTTTTAATTCAGACAATACACTTAAATTTTTAAACTTACAGCTTAGTTATAAGAAATGTATAACATTTGTCAGTTAATGAAAATATCTCTAGCTCTTAAATCACTTCCATAAATTGGCTATTGCACTTACAAACACTCTTTACGATATAAATTATAAACTACTATATATATTATATTAATATTATATTAATATTTATAGAATGATCAACTTAATGGTGCCACCTAAACAAGTAATAGATACTGTAACCTTATTCCGACTTCCACATCAAAGAAATGTGTCATTACGGTTTTTAGCTTGGCACTTTTTGGGAAATAAAATCCAATCTCAAACACATGACTCTGTGGAAGATGCTCACGCTGCCTTACAGTTATATCAATGTTATAAAAAACTTGAATCAGAAGGAAATTTGCAACTAAAACTAGAAGAACTTTACAAATGTGGAAAAGAAATGAATTGGATGGTGCCTAGTGAATAGAACAAATTTGTGATACTTAATAAACTAAATATATATTTTACATTTTTTAACTAATATATTTTGTATAGTAGTAGTAATATAAATATTCAAAAACTTCAATAGTTTACTTGAATCGTTTATTAAATAAGGCATAAGAATATTATAACTAGTATTCTAACGTTATTTTGTTAAAAAATAAGTTTCTAATTAATATTAAAAATTTCTTTTTGAAAACACGCATTTTGAATAAATTGATCCTTTTATGTTAATTGGTTTTTTTTTAGATTATCTACTTATAATTTTGCATAATTAAACTGTACATAATTTACATTTAGGTAACTCAATGAAAATTGGTGATATTAAGATACTAAAAATAAAAAGGTTTTAAAAAATATAAAATAATGGTTTGTTTTACTGTTAGTTGAATATACACTTTTCTGAAAAATTGCACTTTACCATAGATTTTATTTAATGGTTCACTATAGGTGTCAAAAATAAATACAAATATAGAACTTATTTTATTTACTCAAAAAAGATATTTATACTGTTATTATTAAATAATGTTTGCTTTATTGAATGTGTACATTTAATTATGTGTATCAAAACCTTTAAGATATTTACCATCTTTTTGCATACAAAATGTATAATGCTCACACTAAATTTGAATATAATTCATTAAGTAAATTTGGTTATGTTTATCTGTATGAAGTTGATATAAATTATAGTTCTCGTTTTTTTATTTCTATCTGTATGGAAAAAAATAATTTTTCCACGACCAGGTCATATTTTTTAGATCATATGTTATTTTCATAGTATCTTTAACTATTCAAGGTTATGGAAGTAGATATGTATCTTAATACAGCATAAGTATGCTGATTTATTACTATATGAGAAGGCATAACTATGTCATGTTTTATGCTCTAAACATTAAGGGAGTTTGTTCCCTTCATAGAGTTTTTTGTTTATGATTTTTTATGTTGCTAAGGAAAAATAATTACTTTATTCAAATTACAAAAATGATTACAAATTGCATATGTGATAAATAAAATATGTATCCGAAATTCAAATATTAGTAAGTTATACAATCGAATAATTTGATAGGTTTTTCAATAATAAAAAATCCCTTCTATGTTCTTTTTTACAAATAGTCTTTGTAAAAAATTTTTTTATCATATTTGGTAAAATGTTACATTGCCTTTTGTTCACGCCTGTGTTTGGTGATAAAATTGCTACCATATTTTGGTTTTCAAATGGCATTACATATATTCAAAATAAATAGTATTTTAGTTAAATCAAATATTAGATGTTGACATTTTTAATTTCTATTAACCCATTGATAAGATATTCCATTTTCAAGTTTGTGGTTTTATAGTTAGAAGAGAGTAAAGGAGTACTATTTAAACATTGTGAATTATTCTCTCCTTATTCAAACTTAAAAAGGGAATTACTTAACAGATTGAGAGACATTAAGTGTCAATATTAAAATATATTTATAACAAACTATGCTATTTATGATTTTTTTAATAAAGTTTTACTTTTGAAAATTAAAAATGTGGTAGCGGTTTCACCATCAAGCATAAAGGCAATGTAACTTTTTAGAATATATGATTTCAACAAGTTTTCACTATTGGAAAAAGACCTACAGGATTGCAAGTTCTATGTTACATTAATTTAAAAAAAAATATATAGTCTTCCATGTTAAACAGTATTTTTCAAATAATGACCTAAGATAAAATTTGAAAGACTGTATATATTAAATTAATGTAATACACAGACTGTGTAATTCTGTAGGTCTTCCCATACCAATGACTTGCTTAACAAATATGTACACTATTATAAAAGACACACATACACCATTAGTTAATATCTATAATAGTGTCTTCTGTCAAATATTTGATAAATGTATATAATTTTTTTTTAATAATAATTGAAGCATAATAAATACAAAAAAAAGAAAACACATACAGCATTTAATAATAATGTTTAATTTATTTAAATGAAAAGAAAAAATGTAGATAACAATAATATACAAGCAAGTATATACAAATTGATTCAAATTCAAATTGTTTATATTAAATTAAAAACAATTTATGTATAATTAAATAAATATATATATATATATATATATATATATATATATAAATATATATATATATTATCATAACAATCAATAATGTAATATTTAATAACTTTAATATTTTAAATTCATGCAAATGGACAGTTTTTTTTTTTTTTTTTTTTTTACAAGCAATCAGAAAATAAAACTCAAATGTATACTGATAATCATGTTAATCTAAGTAAAATTATTTTTAAATATAATTCTATAGTTATCTATTCATAAAATTACATTTGTATTAATTAATATAATTATTATTGATTTAAAAACAATCATTTTATACTTAATAAACATATAAAATTACAAAACAATAATATATATTTTTCACTGCAAATTTTGCTTAATAACAAATTGTTCACCTTTAATAAAACACATTTTATTTGGATTTTTCGGACAATAACGCCTAGTGTGTGCATTTTCTCCAGTTGCATAACAGAACGGACACTGATACCTTTAATTATTTATAAGCACATGTTAGAATTAAATGTTAATGTAAACATCAAGCATACAAGTACATTTTAAAATATTAATAAACTAATAATACCATGTTTAACCAAAAGATTGTAAAGTATTGTCTAACCAATCGGCATTTAATCATATACATTTATTTGTAACTTATCAAGATTGATCACTCAGAAATTCATTAACTCAAAAAGTATTTCATTTTTTCAGAAAATTTAAGAGACAAACCAGCACTAAAATGTTACATCATCATTATTTGTTGTACCTTCTTACTTTTGATTTTTAATAGGTAGGTAGTGTGTTCCATTACTTTCTCTCTACCCAAAATTATAAGTGGAGTATTTGTCAAAGGGTTGACAAAATTAAACACTATAATGTATATAAACTTAAATTTCATATATGTATGTAATTTTTAATAAAGGTTGCTATTGGAAAATAAAAATTAGATTTCATTCCCAAATAACAGCAATGCAATATTTTAAAGTTGTTTGTTTTATAAATTATTTAGAAGAAAAACAATTTTGAAAATATTAATACTTACTAAATATGGTATCTTATTGAATATTGATCAATGATTATAATATGGTCTAGATAGTAGGCATTTTGTAAAATAAACAATATATCTACCACAATCTTAAGGGATCTTTAAAAGAAATACATACATAAAAAAAAAATATACGAATATACCTACTTTATTATTTAATAAATTGATTTACACATAAAATCATTTACTTCCATTTTTGCTTTTATCTCGTAAAATTGAGGTCATTTACCCTAATTTTTGCTTTTTATATTGCAATTTCTTCATCTACTTCACTACTTCATATACCCTCATGATGACCAAAAACTATTTCCTCCAGTTTATCTTGCTATACTTGCTGATAATTCTATATAGACTACCTGTTTACCTACTATTTGGCTACCTTTTATACTAAATTCTAATCTTATCTAACTAATTACATCATACATCCTTCTTCAGCATCAATTTCTAAAATCCAAGCCTTGTCGGTGAAGCCACATCTCTCTTACAACCTCGTTTATTTTATGTAATGATTGGCGGTTCATTGAATCTTATATTACTTCTAAGTATCTTTTTCTCATCTTCTTCTATTTTTCTTTCCTAGTATTTCTAGTATTTCCATTAAAAATATGTTATTGATGAAGTCACTATGTCAGATGATGTGATCTATAACTTGATTTTTTTTAATGTTATCGTTTTCATTAATCACTTTCTTTCTTGAAATTTCTCCAACACTCTTCCTTTCTATCTATCTCGTCTTGTACATTGTTTTACACATCCTTATTTCAGTTGCCTTAAATCTCTTCCTATCACTTAGTATTCGATTTTACAAGATTTATTCAATTCCTGTTTTTTTTATACTTAACACCATTCTTATATCACTACATAACAATAGCTATTTTCAACACCGTGCAGCCACAACTATATCTCCCGCACCACTGAACATAAATAATAATAATAGTATGAATGGACGTACCGTTGAAGTATGGGACATCTGACACGTCCAACAGGGTCCTTGAGAAAGTGCGACTTGTAGAACTCTGCTGTTTCGCCATTGCTCTTGCAGAAAGCGCACTCCCGAAGACATCCCATCTCAGACTTGGGTTTATACGGCCTGGACAAACCTATTGGTGGGCGCGTCTGACGACTGCTATGATCCTGTTGCATGCGGTTCATGCGCAACAGGAATTCGGCCAGCGTGTAGTAGTTGGGCGAAACAGGCGGCGAGCAACCTCCTCCATTGACGCCACGGGTCAAGCCAACGTCTTGCGCTTGAGGATTATACGGGGTCGGTGGCATGCACGGAGCGTTTATCGAAGAACCATAATTCCGCAAGTAATGTAATGCCGACTCGACGCTGGCGTTGTGCTGGCAAACGGCCGTAGTTGAGCTTTGCAAATTCCTATCGTCCTCAGTCAAGCACAGCGCACAGCGGTTTTGGTGTTGGTTGCCGAATACGAATCTACTACGATCGCTCATTCTATATTGGTCCACGGTAACGACACAATAATATAATTATAATTTTTTAGATTTCGTAAAATAATAATAATAATAACATGATTGAGGGGGGATTATTTTCAAAAATGTATGTTATGAAAATATTGTCTAACTAAATCGCAAAATCGGTATTAGGTAATTATTACCTAAAAATTATACACAGTATCTAAACTATACTTTTATAATGGTATAACAACTTTTCTAACATAAATCTTGCTCCGATTTTCAATTATTTTTGATATTTATTTTTAATGAATTTTCATTCAGAAAGGAAATCTGATTGGGAGTGATACTGTAGAGAAGTCATTTTTTGATTATTCAAGCGGTTTTAAATGGGAAAAAGTAGAAAAACGGGAAAATTTACGAAATTTAGATAGAAAACTTATATTAGACTTTTCTAGATATACTAAAATATTTGAAAGACTAGCCATTTTTGAGCTATTTATAGACAATACAATTTTGATTGTTTTTACGTAATTTTTATTTGGTAGGTGCTCTGTAGATAAAATTGTTAGACCTGACCAATGTTTAAAAATTTAATAGGATGTTCATTATAAGTCATACTTTGTAGCAAAAAAAAAATTATACTGAGTGTATAATGATAAATTTTGTTTAAAAAAAAATATACATAAAACATACGTGAATCCTTTTAAAAACATGCATAATCTAACTCCACTCAGAATTATTTTTCGTTAGCAATAATTAATCTTTGCGTACAGATATACATTAAATTTTCCTCTATATCCTAACTTTTCAACTTCTCACCTATAACAGAGGCCCATTCACGTGCGAAGTATGTCAGTCTTTTATTATATTTTACATCATATTCACTTATTGTAAGTAAATTCGAAATATGAACCATTTCAATGTCGACAACTTAATTAATTTTGGTTAATTTGTCATCAATATCGTGATTATTGATTAATAATTTGATATTTGAAAAAAAGACCGGCATACTTCACACGATGAATGGTCGTGGGTCAGGGGTGGATCCAGGGGAGGGAACAGAAGCACGGGCCCCCTGTCAATGGACTACAGTTTTTATTTATTTATTTTATATAAAGATTATAATTAATTTAGTGAAAATATAAATAATGTAACCCCCCCCACCCCTATAAACAGTTTCTGGATCCACCGATGGTGTGGGTGAGAAGTTGGAGGTAGATGGGAAATTGAATGTATATCTGTGTGCAACGATTAACGATTCTGAGCGGTGTTCGGTTAATAGTGTTACTTTGTAAACAATATATGTCACATTATGGTAAAATAATTATTTATGCATTATATATTTTTTGTAATAATATTTGTTTAATATTGTATCTATATTCCCGTTTTTTTTTTCGGTTTTTATTGGGAAAACTTCGGGGAAAATCAAAAATTTACCTTCTTAGAGTACCACCCTAAGAAAATTCTCTTTCAGATGAGATGCTATACTAGACACTTCGGGGCAAGGTTTCTGGTAGAATTTTTATATAGTATAAATAAAAAATAAACATCTTCGTGAAACTAAAACATTCTTCACTACACTCAAAATCTAAAAAACCGATTATTGGCTGTATATATTCTAGTCTATTTACATCTAAAATCCAGACAAAACTATAGAAATATAGTGGTCGACGGAATTCAAATTTGAAAATGAATTACAACATATCCTAATAAATAACTTAAAGATTCATAATAAGTTTTTTAAATTATTGAAATCTGTCAGTTTCTACTGTTTTGTTTGGCTTTTCATTCTAAATTATCATCATACTTTTTACTTAACCGACATATGTAAGAATCAACTGCCTGTTAAATTTGAAGTTAACCGACACTTAACCGTACACTGTAATAACGGGCCTAAAAGTTATGTAGTTTAGCTATTTTATATATTTTAAGTAATAATATTGTACATATAAGTAGGTATACAGTATACCTGTATACAAGTATTTCAATTTATTATATAGTTCGTTACCTGAGAGTTTATTAATATTAATTAAATATTATTAATAAAATAAACGTTATGACCAATACACGCGTAGGTAAATATATAATAACTCCGAGAACCACTATTGCGTACTTTTTTCAATTTTATAGGTACGGCCTCGCGGACTACAGCGGTTATAGAAAAAAAAAAGTTAAAATAAAAACAGCCGAATCGTATTTAAGGTGAAAATAATTTCATTTTAATGAAATTAAATTGTTTTTATATTTTTAAGGAGGTCTGGAGGTGGCCATCTTTTGTTGGTTATTAATTAGACAATGAAAAATTCATTATTGAAAATCGGATCTCATTATTTCAATTTTGTTTATTAAGGTACAAGTAATACATAATTTTATTTTGAAATTTCGTGTATGTTGGGGGGGGGGTCAGGGGCAACTCCCCCGTGATATCCTATCGTAAATAATTTTAGCACTCCCAAGTTTTAGACTGAATATGCGCTAATGCTGCCGAGTGCCGATATATTTTAATTTTTAATCAGAAAGTGTTGAATTATATAAATTTGAACGTCGATAAATTAATTATCATAAATATTTTATTCACAGAATTGCAAACAATAATAAAAAAACTACGTTAATATTATTATTGGCTGACATTGAAAAATTAAATTAAAGAAATTAGAATATTAAACTGATAGCCACCGAGACATTATCACGCATGATTTGTTTAGCATTTTTACAATCGGCTGTAATATTTTCGGATTAAAAACTTTTAGCTTATTTACGTGCTGCTCCGGACAAAGGTGACCACACACTATGTTTTGCAATCACGCGAAACAGGTGGTCGGCGAAACATAGATTGGGAACCACTGGTTTATAAAGATTGTTCAAGTCTTAAAATATATTTGTTTTCCATTAATTGACTCTGGTGCAATTAATTAGCATTATATTATGTTGTACGTCATTGTGTATTATAATAAGTTATAAATATCCGCCACACCATGAGTTGTTAATAAGTACCTAGAATAATAATTTATAATTGCCAAGAAACGGACAGCATAAATGAGTTTTGAAAATAATATAATACTGCTGATACAGATCTAATTTAATAATAAACTTTGGACAAAGTTTTTGTAAAATTTCAGCAATGTGTATTTATTACTCGATACAAAATGTCTACAAGCCTTACTAAAATGTATTGCTAATCGTTAATCATTAATCGCGATCATTACTAATCAGTTTAATACCAGATTAGATAAAGAAATAATATAATAATATTGCCCAATATTTTATAAATTAAGTCGTTATTCTTTATTGAAAATGTCAAAAGAATCTTTTGATAAGAGATTGATAATTCTTTAATTTGAAAGATACGTTAATACAATTGGGGGTTTTCCTAAACAATAATGTACATAAATAAAATATTTTGATCATAATATAATACTATGTTATGTTATATCTATAATTTAACGATTGAGAATAATTTATTTTATATTTGATGGAAGAGAGACACGTTGAAAATGAAGAAAAAACATTATAAAACAGCAGAGCACCCAGAATTTGTTTAATGAAGGGCAAGCTCCTCCCCACCGCAGAATAGCTGTTTTTCCACATCAAATTTCAGATTAAATAATACATTTTTATGTAGATAAGTCGGAATTTATAATATATTTATAGGTAGGTGCCAAGGCCTATTCTAAAAATTTCTATCAACTACCCTAAAGCCCTTTTTCTAAAAAAAAAAAAGGACATAAGCACTTCTTTAAAATTTTATCATAAATTTTGACAAGTCAACTAATGCGGATTATATTTTATTTGGTTCTGAGCGCAGCGAGAAATGTATTGGTTTATTTTATGTACAAAATATCACTAAAAAATAAATTGTACATATACTTTTTAATTTTAATTTTTGAACAAATTGCCAAGTTAATTTTTTGCTGACGACTATACTCTTGACACATTGTTCTACTTGGTATCCAATTTAGGTACTACCTATAGTACTTATATTTGAATTTAATTTGTTATATAGAAATTTAGGCGAGTAGGTAATTACATAAATATTAAATTGTTATAGGTATATAGATATTAATTTGTTTTTGATTGTTTGATACATTTATTTTGTCATTTTAATGGTATATTATATATATTCTCACTTCACCTCATAATTGTAAATAAGGTCATAAATTACCTGCTTCACTATATATAGTAATATTATTAATAATTAAACGTGCATAACATTATAAATTAATATTTTTAATTAAAAATAATGATATACAAATGAATTATATTATACTGATAGTGAATGTCATTGTATTATTTGTCTAACTGCATAATTTTATTATGTTTCTATATTATTGTGATTAGAATAGTTTCAAAATAATTTTTTTTTATGAATATTAACCTAAACAATCGAAATTTAATTTAGGTTGCAATCATTTTTAGTAAATTAATAAATAATACAAATAATAAATAGGTAGGTAATTAGGTATGAAACGGTTTACATTTAAAATAAGCGAATATCACGTTTCAAATTTTAACGTTTACGGTAATATTACTATCAAAATTATCAAGATCTGATTTTCATCGTAACTACTGGCGGATCCAACGACAATAGGTTAATTAGCAGCCCTCCTCCATGGAACGTGCGTAATAAAAAATAATTTTAATTTGAAATATTAGTAAGATGGATTATTTTTTTACGTTATGCATAAATATATGACCATCACCAACACCCATCTATAATTCTGGGGCACAAGTCTGAAAAGTATGTTTTTTTTATACGTAAACAGAGATTATTTTTGAAGTAGTTACCCATGTAAATAAGACACACAAGGGTAAATATTATTATTTATTACATTATATTGTGTATATTATTTAAAATATTAACCTTATCTAATATTTCCGTAATTACAATTAACTTAAAATAGATAGTAGGTATATTAATTGCTATAGGTCAACGACCTACCGTTGAAATTGTATGCACAATGCAATGGATGTTTGGTAGCAAACATTTATTTGTATGAACACTAAGTAGGTAGAGACATAATATTTATTCATTTGAAACGAAATAAACATCGTTTAATGATTCAGGGATGATAATATATGCGTAAAAATCATAACCTTATAAAACGTTATTTTGCATTTGATATCTAACTTAAATACAATTAAATGATAGATATTTTTGTCTCAACTTCTCCACATATTTTTTTTAGATAAAAATAAAATGTATTAGGAACGTATGTATATAAAATGTTAATATAAATGTATGTATTTTTCTCGCTACTAAACAGAAAATGCATATAAGTAGGTATCAAGTATAAAGAACCTTATTATTTTGGAATAAATAATAAGTAGATAACTAAGTAAATTATACTATTGATATTAAGTAAGTATAGGTATAAACTGTAAACTAGGAATAAATTATATTACTAAAATATTAAACTGGGTAAAATAGGGCAAGCAAGAAGCATGATAAAAAATAAGAATATAAAATATTATTTCTTCTTCTCAGCCTTTAATTCAACTGCTTTGGATTGACCACCCTCGTTCTAAACTTCCTTATAACTTGATCTGCCATCTCGCGTATACCCGCTATCATTATTATTCTCAACCGCATCCAACTACCTATTTTTTCGATCTTCCTCCCCTCTCTTTTTACTACTACTTCTATTTACATTACAATTCTTAGTGCTTCTTATTCGTCTCTCCTCATGAAATGCCCAAATCATCTTGGTCTATTTTCTCTCATTTTGTCAACTATCGAAACCACATCAAAGCTATGTCTTATGTACTCATTCCTTATCATATCTCCTTCGTCACTCTACTCATCCACCTAAGCATTCTCATTTCTTTTTTCTGTCTATTACCTAACACTCCAAATCATACAACATAGGGTGCGTTCGTGTAGCATGCTTAAAGGCTTACGGTACTTATGCCAACACTCACGCTTATGAAAGGTTCGTTTAGACATATAGCTAAATAGCATTGTTAGGTGGATCTCAAGACGAACGCAAATTTAAGCATATTGATTGTACGATTATCGCAGTTATCAACTGTAAATTTTACTAGGTACTATAATTGTAACGATGTTATTTTAAAAATTGTTAAAATGATACGTACTTCAAACATTTTTATTTCTATAAATTTATATAAATCGTAGTCTAAATAGCGTGGTCGTATTCTACAAAAAAATAATAATTTATTATTAGGTGAAAATATAGTCAAAGAGTTATCAATTATTTCGATGTATCTATTTATCTATCTATTTTCATTTGATTAACTTGTGAGCCTTAGCTGCATTACTTCGATGGGATAAGCGTTTGTGAGCGCGGATCGATGACGTAGCGCTCAGATTCAGTGACGTCATGGTTGTAGTCTGAGCGCTAGCAAATACTAAACTGAACAGTACAGTGGCGTTGATAAGCATTTAAGAAGCTACACGAACGCACTCATAGTCTCGCCACACTTTTGTAGATTGCAAATATATTTTTTATAGGTAAATTGGGTGAAAGTTAATACAGAATTTATTCACACCAAATGTTGTACCTACATATCAAATTAAGGGTTTTATCACAGAATAAATACACTTTCATACATTCTGTGTTTATACTAGGTACCTAACTATTATATAGATTAATTTATATAATTGAATATTTCATAAAAAAAAAAAGAAAAACCGACATACTTCGCACGATGTGTGGGCCACTGTTGTAGACGAAAAGTTGGGAAGGTAAATAGGAAATTTAATGTACGCGCGCAACGATTAACCATTGCTAACGAAAAACGATTCTGAGAGAAGTTCAGTTAATAGTGTTGCTTTGTCAACAATATATATGTCATATTATGGTAAAATAATTACATATGCATAATAGTCATTGGTACATGGATGTATTACATAATAGTCATGCATTACAAAATGTCTAAATAATTTGTATTAAAATGATGTTCGCAAACTTTGATATTAAAAGTCTAACAAAAAAAAAATTCTACATTACACTCAATTGTTTTTTTTTTTACCAAAAAGTACGCCTTATGTACCTCCCGAACAAAAATTACGTAAAAAAACATGTAAAATTATGATGTCTAAGGTTTGAAAATTTTACCACGTTGAGAAAAGACAAATATAAATTTTCTGTCCAAACTTGAAGTCTCTACAACCATTTTTAACTGAATCAAAACAAACCAAAAAATTGAAAAGAATAAATTTCGTACATTTTCCCGTTTTTTCCATTTATTGGGAAAACTACTAGAAAAATAAAAAAAAAATGACCTCTCTTAAGTACTATGCCAGTCAAATTTCCTTTCAAAAAAAGCGCTATAATTAAAAATTGATGCGAAATTACTTGTAGACAAGTTGTCCTAAACAAGACCTAACCTAACCTCACAGATAAAAAAAAAATAAAAATAAAACATCATTGAGAAATCAATAAATTCCTCGCTCCGCTCAGAATCTCAAAGATTGTTCAGATTTCAGAAACAGTATTAAGATCTAAATAAAGACCCAAATAAAGGTGAATGGTTCAACACATGCATAAATAATTTTAAAATTATAATTTATACATAATATACATTATAATATAGTAATGGTTGAGCCACCTTGTCAAAACTGTAAATATAATTTGTAATAATTCAGATTTTATTTTCATTTTTTTACTAAAAACTATTGGAGTAGATAAAGTATTTACCTCTACGCGTTTTGAATTTTTGGTAAAAATTAAAGTGCGAGAAGTAATTCATGATAACATAATAAATGACAATGACACAGGATTACTTTTTAAATCATATTGCAAATTCATATCATATTACAGTTTGTTACCTACCTTTTCATTTTTCACATTCTATTATCTTTACTATGGTTTACATGGACCAAAGTAGACTTTTTTTTTTGAAGTACCTATAGCTAAACAACGGACCATACTTGGTTCATTTTTAACGAACAATTTAATTTATGAATTATAACCACTATTAATTTTAGATTTGAAAAATGAACAAAACGAACTGACAATCAAACTTGATAACCGTACACACTCAAATGAAAACGAGTTAAACAACTTGATTAAAATTATTTCTCAAACTCTTGAACAACAATCTAATAATCGATTATCGGTATACCGAAAATACCGCCAGTCTTAGTTTCAAATTGGAATAACCTAACCAAAATCAGAAAATTGGCATCTTATTAGGTAGGCAGTACTTAGTACTGAAAAAAATTGGAGCATTATTTTAAGTGTTTTTCGAGAAAAAAAAGGGCGAAGGATGAACTGTTGGGAATTTCCATAAGTGTTTAAAATAAAGTATCGTGTAAGGCACTACGTGAAAAATTCTGAGATATTTCGTTGAAAAGTCTTTCAAAGAAAAATTATGAAAAAAGTTAAAAAAATTGAATCACATAAACACGAATTTCCATGAACAGAAAAATATATCGTTGTTTAGTTAAATTCCTGCCTCTTTAAAATCTAGTTAATTTAATTTATTTTATTTTATGTAAGCATATACAATGCCTTAATGATTATAATATCACTTGAAGGATACTGGGAAAAAAATCAGAAAAGTCACTCTTTTTTAAACTGAGATGAATGTGTTTTTGATTTAAAAACATAACAATTTTTTTTTAGAAATTAAAAAGTTCGAATTAAGTTTAATGTTTGAAATTTAGTAATCATAACATAATAATGTCATATTATATTATTAATAACCAAGGTCATAGAGCCGTGTCATAAACCTAACACTTCCCGGGTTATAAATTGACAATCTGTTTTTTTTCTATAGGTCTAAACACTTCCGGCATTTATTACTTTCGACCAATCTGATATTTTCGCCGGTATCGAAAAATACGGCACATCAGTACAAATTTTTTAATACCATTTTGGAAAAAAGTGACTTTTCTGGTTTTTACTTTGTGCCCTTCACTTTGTACTAGTTATAATAAGTTTCTTTACAGAGATTGTACAATGAGTAAATTAAAAATTGAACGAAATTACATAAATATAGACAGTGCCGCAATAGATCACGAGGCCTGTGTGCAGTACCTAGTTATATTGAACTTCATTCAAGCAGTGCAGCATTCATTTCTTGCTCTCTCAGGGCAATGGGCTGATAAACAAAAAAAATAATACTACTGATGGTTGGATTGTAGTAGGTGGGAAATTGAGAAGGTAGGATACATAAAGTTAGGTATTTAATCGCATTTGATTATAGAAATAAGCAACGATAAACCATTGCTAACGAAATACGATTCTGAGCGAAGTTCAGTTATACTCAGCTATATATTTTGAAATAAAGTCATTTTTACGATTTTAGTAAAAATTAGACCATAAAACTCACATAAAAAACACTACTACATCACACTCCTAGTTTTTTTTTTTTTTTCTACTATTTTAGCTATTAATATTTTAAAAAACACCAGATGGTATACAAATTTTATCACGTTTAGAAAGGGCTAAAGTATTTTGAGATATTTTCAGGTTTCTACGACTACTTTTAACTAAATAACAAAAAAGCAAAAGCGAAAATAACAGAATCCGGTTTTGCGTAAATTTTCCTAATAAGATAGATATTATGATAACTACAATGGAAATCGAAAAATAACCTCCCCAACGGATCAGCTAATTGATAGCAGAAATTACCACTGAATAAGTTGATGATCGGAACAAAATTGTCGGTAGGTAGTTCACAAATACACAGTAATAAAATAAAAAAACACACTTTATAGCAAAACAACCAGTACATTTACGTTGCGTACGGAATCTAAAACATATAGGGTACCGTTAATCAGGGTGATATGTAGGGCTCGGAAGTTAGTAGTAGTTAAAAAAAAGGCAAAATATATATGCAAATATTCACGAAAAAATTCTAAAAATATGCATAAAAAAATGTTATATATGTAAAAAATGATTAAATTTATTATTCAAAAACATATCATCATTAACATACATTAAAAAGATAAAGATTAAATACAAATCGCACAGTTGTCGTAAAATTAATAATAGACCGAGAAGGTAAGAAATAACAATAAATAACTACGTTAAATAATATTTAGTTTTAAATTTAATATTATTTTAAATAAATTGGTTATAAAGACTAAAAAAATCAATTTTTTTAGAAAATATTAAATATGCATACAAATACGTGAAAATCAATGAAAACCGACGAAATATATACTTTTTTTCTAAAATTAAATAAATGTGCAAAATATGCATTTTAAATGTTCAATTTTTAAACTCTCCAACGTATAGAAAGTATTTCTACCTTGGTCTGCTATAAATGCAGTACACGTACAGAAAAATGTGCAATTCTTATAACTTCCAAGCACTAGTGATATGGAACGATTTTGACCATTAAATTGCTGTAATCGACTCATTTACACTACCAGAGAATAGATTGAATAGACAAAAAAAAAAGGTTCATTAGTAAATTCAGCGATATTTCAAGGATTGGTTGAAGAGTACCTGTACATTTTTGTATTAAATTGATTAGGTACTTTTATGGACAAATTAATTGTGTTTTATACTTAGCTACAATAGTAGATAGGTAAATTACCTATGTAATGTAATGTAATGTAAACCTACACAACTTATGAAATCTTAGAACAAAAAATATAATTGTATTATTAATTTAATTTTTTAAGAATAACAATCGTATTGAACACAATACTTAATATTTTATTTTAGATTATCAGTATTTGCATATAATCGGCACAATTGTAACAAATAATAATAACATTAGTATTATTATCTGTAGGTACATACCTAGTATAAGTAGGTATGAATCAAATTTATAACGCGTGGGTAGTGTGTTATTTTGATTATTGTCTATAGTAAATAAATATTATTATTAGGTACCTATCAGTTTTGGAAACACATTTTGAGAAAAAAGAACGCAGCGCTTACATAATATTATTATAGGTAGGTATGTATTAGTGTATTACATAATAATGATTTCGCGGCTTACCTGGATTTTGAAACTAAACAACGGACTTGTTTGTGTATATTTGAAAAAAAAAATATGTAGGTTTGTATACCTAATAAACGAATTAAATCGGCAACTATTGTACGAAACACGGCGGCTATTTTCGTAGACTGTGAATGGAAAATTGTCCGTTCCGTATCCAAAACTATACTGGACGCGGACTCGTGCAACGGCCGTAAATATAGTGGCAAATCGCTTTCTAGCCAAGCAGACTGCAGATAAGCCGATTGGGTTTCCTTTAGGGCGGTTATCTCGTTTATGGGATGGTGTTTATCTCTATAATAATTTATATTATTCTTGTCTTTTGGCATTACGATTCCGAGAATATCTGTTACCTATACCTACCTGTCTACACGACCAAACCAGTTGTTGTCCATTATATTATATTATATAGATTATGGTATATTTATAACCGCTTAATGACACGGGCGACGTTTTAGAATTTCCGTAGACCAAACGTTTAGCTATTGACTCTCCATGATTTTTGTGTTGGTACGCCGATTGCCGATTCGTAACAATATTGTTGGATACCAAACAATATTTACGTTGTACTGAGAGTATGATCTCGATTGCCTCAGTCGAATGTCAAAAATTAAAACACTACGACTACGAATATTAGAACTCACTTCTGGTATAAATGAAGGATCGATATAATATAACGTCGGAGGGAGATATTTAAGGATTTGAATACCTCTACAAATACGTTTAATGCAATTTTGTATATTATGTATATGTCAAGGATATGCTTTATGGAGGTTTAAATTATCAAATACCACCATTACTATTTTTTTTAAATAAACTTATAAGTACTTGTAGCTACATTAAAGCGTACGCAGACCAGGAGCGTCTTCAGACTTTGACTATAGGGAGGGGGGGAAATAATTTAATATTAATGATCAGAATAAAGGCTGACATACATCGCACGATGGGTCACTGTTGTAGATGAGAAGTTGAGAAGATAGTATATAGAGGGAAATTCAATGTATATCTGTAAATAAAAATTAATAATTATTAACGAAAAATGCTCGCTACATCTAAACACGATCTACAAACAGCACTTATTGAAATGGATAAAATATTTTTAACATTCAAATTAAATATAAATAAAGTAAAAACAAAAGTAATGATATGTAGTAAACAAAATGAATCAAATATTAATCTATAATATTAATATATCTAAAATATTAATATATCCCTTAAAGGAAACTGAATGGAGCAAGTAAATCAATTTAAATATTTGGAAACCATAATAAGCAATGATGGAAGATCAAAAAAGGAAATAAGTAGTAGAATAGAGTAAGCAAAAAGGGCATTCCTACTTAAGAGTAAATTGCTAACATCAAAAAATGTAAATATAAGAACAAAAAAAAATTGTTTATTTAAAACTTATGTATGAAGTATAGCATTATATGGTAGTGAGACATGGACGTTGAACAAAAAAGATCTAACTACTCAATAGAAGCTTTAGAAAAATGGACGGAAATGAAGACAAACGAAGAAGTGTTAGACTTCGTCAAAGAGAAAAGGACCTTGCTAAGTAATTTAAGACTGAGACGATGGCATATGATAGGTCATATGCTAAGACACAATGAAGAACTTCATAGTATCATACTGAAAGGTATGGTCGAAGGGAAACGCGGAAGAGGCAAACCAAGACCGTGTTATATGTCAAATAATCAAAGATGCAAGAGTCTATTCGTACAAGCAACTATCAAGGATAAAGCACAAGATTGAAAATTATGAAAAGAACATTTATTATAGACCAATCTACGGATTGAATACTAAAAAAAGGGAAAAAGATTCCGAGCAGAGTTCGGTTAATAGTATTGCTTTTTCAACAATATATATGTCTTATTATAGTAAAATAAATATTATATTGAAACAATTTGTATGGATCAGTAACTAGATTCTACATAATTTTTTACTAAAACAATTTTTGTCAAAATTTGATAATAAATTCTTATCAAAAAAATATATTTACTACATTAAATTAAATTTTGTTGTTTTGACCGCAAAGTACAAATTATCATTACCCTTCTGTTAAATTTTCAAGCATTTCTGTTTTGTCTAACAATTTTGTCCAACTAGTACCTAAGTAGCTACCACATAAAATTAAAATGTCTATAAATAGCTTAAATATGACTCAAATGTAGTTTTATCACTAAAAAAACCCAATTATAAGTTTTCTAACCAAATTTCTAGTCTCTACGAATATTTTTATTTGAATTACAACAAATAATACAAAACATTATTTTCGTAAATGTCCTGTTTTTCTTGAGTTTTCTCCGGTTTTTTCCTAAATACTATGAAAAACCGCTAGGAAAATTAAAAAATAACCTTCTAAAGTACCATTTAGACAATATTTTCTTTCAGAAATGGTGCCATACGTACATATCGGAATAACATTTCTGGTAGAAATTTTTGTCACAATATAAAAAATAAAAAAATAAATATCTTTGTAAAACCAACACATACTCTGTTACACTCAGAATCTAAAAAATTATGTTAAGTAATATATTTATTATATTTACTTCCAAACCAATGACCAATATAAGTCCAATTTTCTAGGAGCTGGGGGGTCTACATAACATACCTGTACATATAACTCCATATATTTTTAGGTTCAATTTTTCTTGTCTTAACTTTCCAACTTTTCACTTACATTAGTGGCACACTTATAGTGCGAAGTATGTGAGTATGTCCCTCTTTTTCAAAATAATCGCGTTAGTATACTGGCGCTTAGCTTCGGAGGGTTATTTTGGTAAACAATTTTTTCTTCAGTTTTTTTTCCCGGTTTTTCACATTTGCTAGGAAAACTTGAAAAATGACCAATCTAAAGTACCTTCCCAATCAAATTTTCTTTTAGAAACATTGTTATCATAATAAATTGCTTGTAGAAAAATTGTCCACAGAAAAAAATAAAATAAATAAACATCTTTGTAAAACCATAAGCTTCTTTATTTTCACTCAGAATTTAAAATTTTATTATTGACAGCGTTGAACATAATATTATGATTATGAGTATTCGAAAAAAAAAAAAAGTTTGCAAATTAATCAAGGGCTTACCCCCTTATTTACTCTGTGCATATGCTTATGAGAATAGTTTTATCATATTATTATAATATTAGGTTATTTATTGATCTATAAACATATATTCCTATAATTCAAAAAAGGGAGGGGCGGGAATTCGACTCTGTTAATGGTGCTCTGACACCCAAAAGTGTTTTTTTTCTTCTAAATATATGATATGGTAGTAGATTGGTAAAGTTTTTTTTAACAATTCAGAATGGAATAGGTATTAAGATTCTTTGGACAGAATTTGGATTAAGCTGTCAAATAACTTTTATTCATTTAGTTTTGGTAACAATTAGAATTATTTTTAACAAGACTACAAGGGAGTAAGGATACAAATAAGGATAATGTATTAAACAGGGTGTCCCACCATATATACTGTATAGTATATAAACAACAATAAATTGTAATTAATTAAAAATATAAAATTTAATAATAAACTTCAAAAAAAATATTCAAAAATCTAATATTATTCAAAAAATACTTAACTTACTAGACGTCTTGATCATAGTAAATAACAAAGTATCTCTTAAGAATACTATATAATAAAATAATTAGGGCCTGGATTTATATGCATTTGCATGTTTTTTTAAACAGTCCAAAAAGTAGCTAGATAAATTACAAAATTGAATTATAGTCAATAGAACTGAAATATTAAGTTTTATTTTGCATATTATATTTTTTGACATGCACTGCAAATATATATATTTTTTTTTTTACGATTTTTCATTGCATATAAATGGTTTTGAAATGTAAAATATGTAATATTTTGGTTATATTTTTATTAGTTTAAAAATAATGATAGAAATAATAAAAGTAAAATAATCTTTTTGTGAATATGTTTTATTTTAAAGGGTATATTTCCACAAAATAAGATCATAAATGCATACTTTATAGTGGATATTTCTAAGGTTTTTAGAGCATATAAATCCGGGCCTTAATAATAACAAATGTCAAATTTTCCCCTTCATCACAACTATTTGAGGTTGACCACAAATAACAAATGTCAAATATACTTAAAATATTTTGGATAGAAGGTATATTAAACTTTTAAGATAAACAAATAAGCGTTTATATAGTTGTTCTAATTAAACTAGAATTTCTAGAATTTGTAGTATCTTTTGAATGTGAATGTGCTACAACAACAGATAAACACTGGACCCATTCTTCAGCATTTTTACCACCTTTAGGCTTTAGTATAAGAGATTCTTCTCCAGTAAATATTTCGAAAGCTTTTGGTATATTTCGAGCACCACGACTTACTTTTACACTACGAATCTGATGAATATCAATAGGAGTACCTTCCTTGTCATTTTTCTAAAATTTTAAAATAAGTTAAAACAAATTACTAAACAGTATATGTTAATATTATTATTTAAAAAAGAACAATAATTTTTACAGGGCCTGGTTGACTAGGGTTATTATAAGTTTTTCTGAAATCTAGGTCTTAACTCTTAGGTTGTATAAATAAATACATCAATATATATGTCAAAGAAAATTACTTATGCAATTAAGGTTTAATATATTTAGATTTTCAACTTACAGAACTACATATGCAAACCTTGGTCAAAAAAAAAAAAAAAAAAGGTTCATATGATTTATTCAAAAAACTTACTGAGCCTTTGTAAGAAAGATGTGCTCCAGAAAGTGTGAAATATCGTGTTCTCCATCTCCTAAACAATCTCCATCTTCCTTTTTTTTCTTTTAACTGACCTTCAATCACTGGTTGACTATCTTGCAAAAAGCCAACTGCTCGTTCTGGATGATTACATAAAAAACAACCCCATCCACCAGTGTTTACATTACAATATTCAAATACATCAAAGTAACCACTATTGCGAAGTTCATTTAAAACAGCATCCTGATCTTTGGCACATGGAAATGCTGAGGTTACCAATGTCAGAAATGTTCTAGTTTCACATTTGAGAATATCCCAACAGTACTTTAAGGTACTGACTGAATGATGACGTGAACTGAGTGCTGAAGATGATTTTGCTTGAAGGGAAAGAAACATAAGATGAATCCAAATACGAGGATGCCGTGTGTGTACAGTAAATAAAGCTCGGTTATAAAGACAATGTTCACCTCGACCTTCGCACGCAAAATGAAGTTTAGCTGATTTTTTGGCTCTACTTTCTAAATTGTTCATGAAAAAAACATTTTTAAACTAATAATAGTAATAGTATTCAAAATATATTAAAACAAACCTTCAATTGTACATTTAGCAGGGGATGGAATTCTAACTGAAACTTTTTCCATATAAGCTTTGATTTTATCTAAATGTTTTTCACAGAAATGTTGCATAGTATCTCTCATTGGATATGGTTCAAACACACTTATTCTCTATGATACATAAAAGCCATCAAGTTAATATTTAGTAAAAACCGTATTTAAAATATAAAATGATTTAATTTGATTCTTTAATTACTTGTGATACACAAGTATTAATTATTGTAACACTTGTATTATGACTTCGTCTAGGAGTAACAGTTGAATAAAGTCCGGTGTTGATTACAACAGGATCAACATTAAGACTAGGGCCACTCGACTGAATTGGTCCTTGGGATGTAAGACTCTGATTTAATGGAGAACTTCCAGCAGTACTTAAAGGCCGAGATACTGAATTTTGTACACGTCCAGTCGAAGTTTGACTGATTGAATTAGCTAATGAATCTTTAGAATTAATACTGTAATTGAAGTTTGTAGTTAATATACTCCCAGTTTCTCTAAAATAATAAGTTTGTATTATACAATTTAAATACATAATGAAATTGTAATTGTTATTTAAGAATACAAATTTACAAAGGTGTAGTAACTGTTACACCACCACTCGATATTTTAGTAGTAGAAGGCTTGATTCGGTTTGATGTATTAGGAATACAAACTTGATTAGAACTTAATTTAGTCATGCTTTTATGTAAACCTCCAACTGATCCAACTCTGCTACCAGATGCTGAAAACATGATAATAATATTTAAGATTGTAATTATAAAATATAAATGTATTTTTACACAAATTATAATGTCAACATTATTTGATTAATATATTTAAATTATTTTATGGCATAGGAAAAGTGGTATCCCCATTGCCCAGGTTTCTGTTACCCTATTGGGAGCAAAACCTGTAATAGCCATAACCCTTTATCTTAATTGGTTAGGATAAACGGCTCCTTTAGGTTGGGGGTTGACGAGCTAACAACCAGTCACAGAAAAACTTGAACGTTAAAAACACAAACATTTTTCCTTGGTATAATAGATCACTGGATTCAAGAATAGAAATTTGAAAATCGGCTTTACATTTTGGCACTTGAAACATACAAACTTTAAATAAACTTAGTAGACATGACAGAAAAGTTTAAATGGAAATTTTAGCCATGTAAGAAATAAGATGAGGAGATTCAGGATCAATTTGTTTAAAAACTATCATAATATTCTATGGCAGGGGTAGGTAATGAGAGCCTCCACAAGCCAAATCTGGCTCGCGAAGAAGAAATAAACAAAGTGCTTTTTTACTTTAACTCTGGTTTTTTGTTTTCATTATTTGTCTCTGTGTAGATCTATGTATTTAAACATCTGAACATAGTCTATATTTATGAAGTATTTGTTATATTTGTATATTATTATATATAAATTTTATTCTATAAAATAATTAACTAATATTATATAATAATTATGTTTTTAATATAAAAATAAGTTAACTTATAAATTTATGTTATTTCTGTAGGTGTTAAAAGACAAAATACTTAATAGATTGAACTGATTTTTTTGCTCAACTCTAAAAAATTATGGCCCTCGAAATTTTTTTTTTCAAATTATTCTGCTCCCCTAAATAAATATTTGCTGATCCCTTTTCTAAGGGATGTATGATAAAAATAAAAGATGGGCATAATTTGCACGCGAGTGCAGCCACTGTTGTAGGTGGGAAGTTGGGAAGGTAGGATACAGAAGGGAACTTAATGAATATCTGTAAGCAATGATGAATCATAGCTAACGAAAAAAAAAACGATTCTGAGTGGAGTTCACTTGATAGTGATGCTATGTCAACAATATATATGTCACATTGCGGTTAAATAATTAAATAGGCAATATATATTTTTTTTTATTCAATTTATTTAAAAATAACCTCTTTAAAGTACCTCCCTAGTGAAATTTCCTTTAAGAAATATTGCTATCATTAAAAGTTGAAGAAAAATTGGTGATAGAAAAGTTGTGCACAGGAAAAAAAAAATAGTAATAATTTAGCAATATATTTCATACATTTTTCTGTTTTTTTTTTTTGGTTTTTAAATTTTTAGAAGAGAAAACTTTTGAAAAAATCAAAAAACGATTTCCTCAACACTGTTTTCCTCTCAGAAAAGGTGCTACACTTAGAAATATGAGCAAGTATTCTGGTAGAAAATTTGTTAACGATTAAAAAAAAAATCATTGTCTTTGTTAAATCATAAGTTTTTTTGTTCTACTCAGAATTTTAGAAAACAAGGGGGGGGGGTGGTGGTGTTTTTGCAGTAAATAACTTCCTCTTGGCAGTTAAAGATTTTGAAGAAATTTTTGTGAGAATACCACCGTTGACAGTAGCAGTTAGATAGTTCAATATAATATTCGTGAATGTTCATGCACAAACGGAGAAAAAAGATAATTTATATTTATTACTAGACATTACCCTGAGTAATATTCCAAGACACTATACAGATTGTCTTAAGAGATTTTAATGCTAAAATTGGAAAAGAAGAGTACTTTAAGCCCATAATAGGTAATAACACTTACATATGGTATGAAATGACAATGGGATTCATTAGAATGGCAGGTAACTGAAAAGGGTCTCACAATTAAAAGTACCATAAAATATAAAAACATCTATAATGGTACTTGAACAGCACCTAATAGACAGATCGTTAACCAAATAAATCATGTACTTTTAAATTAAAGATTTTTGAACAACACTATAGATGTAAGAAGCACACATGGAGGATAAGGTAATACAGATCATTTCTTAATGATTAAGTGTATTCTGAAATCAAGATTTAAATTAAACAACGGATCCCAAAAAATAACAAAATCTCAAGTGGCCTTCGATGTCGAAAAGCTAAATGATCCTGATATCAGAAAGCTACGTGAAAAATCATTTGAAGAGAAAATAAAAGATTAACAGCAAATATAGAGTTGTAATGAGATTAAAGATTTGGGAAATAATATGAAGACTGCAGTGCATAAGATAGTGGAACAGTCAGTAGAAAATATTGTTCAACTTAGTCTATGAAGAAGCGATAAAAAGAATAACAAAAAAGGAATGTTTAGGTGATACAAACAATTTAGAAAGAATTACATGATATAAGACTAGACAGAAATGAAGTGAATATTTCACACAACTATAAATTGTAAAGAACCAGAGAACTCTTCATTGTATAAAATGGATTTATAGCTTAGTCTGCTATAAATCAAGAGCATACAGAACAATATAACGAACTACCAATAATCCTTAAATACCTATTACTTATAAACCCAAATTATAAGTAACATTAAATTTGTTTTTATATGTTAATTAACATATAAATAGTTAATTTTTCTCTAACCTGCATTTAAGCGTGTCATACTACGGTGAGCATTTGAGGATTGTAATCTTCCAGTACTTCGACTATCTGCTATTAATCTAGGTTTTGGTGTGATCACAATTCTATTCAAACAATTTGCACTATCCCTAAAATATGAATGTTTTTAAATTGAAAATTAATCAAATATATATTTAATTGATTAAAATTAACCCATAGTTTCTTCCGCTACTATCTGTCTGAGTTGTCCTAGTAATATTTGAATTAGTCGGAGATTGATTTCCACCAACTGTAACTATTGTCACTGGACCAGACATTTGATTTACATGAGAACTGAAAAGAAGTTATTGACAGTTCAGAAACATTTAAAATTTAAAATTAAAGTAATGATTTTAATAATTACTTAGTGTTTCTGCTAATTTGTAAAACTCCTTCTAATATTTGATCTGTAAATAGTATTGGAAAACAGGAACATAAATATGTTGCTTCTCGAACTAATAGACTTTGACTTGCTCGATCCACTTTAGGTAAATTATCCATAATAAAATTTAATGCTTCTTGTGCTTTTGACTTTGCAAAAACAAAAAATTATACATAATGGAGATACTTTTAAATAAAATAATCAAAATTAAACCTTATTAATTTGGCCAACAGCAGACAAAACTTGAGCAGCAATACATAGTGTATTTGGGTTACATTCTGCAGATTTTTTAATTTTTAGAACATAATCAGATAAAAGTTGAGGTTGAAGTTGTGCTAAATTATTAAAAACTTGCAATGTAGCCATAACAGTTTGTGACGTACATAAATATTCACATAATTGTGGCAAACTAGCTTCTAATAACTAGAAAATAAATAACAATACAGACATAATCCTTTGTTAAAAACTTATATTTTTACTAACAGATGGTTTTTCGTCAGCTATAAGCGAGCAAAGTTGTAACAGAGCTAATTGTTCAGTGAGTTCACACAATGGTAGTAAAGAAACTAAAGCCATTGCATGGTCATGAATAGGATCCCTTGTTACTTCATAAATTTGAGGAAGAACCCGACATAATGGATAATTACCTAATGTGAACAATTATATAATTATTAATTCATCTTAGTTATAAATGCAGTAAAATTTTTAGTGCATATGCAGTTAACAAAAGTATCCCAAGACACCCAATTTTTTTTTTTTTAAACTTTTTTGTGACATCAATATGCCAGTAATCTATACCCCTCCCACCCAGAGATTACATGCAGTTGTATTCCTCTGTCTCTGCACCACTGTATAAATCAATACATTTTTTAAAACTAACCAGAAATTATAGAATCTATTATTAACTGTATATGATTTGATAGTAATGGTGAGTTGTCAATTGCAGCAAGTGATAGATATGATGCCATGTTTCTTGATAATACTTTATTTCCTTTGTGTAAAAATTTCACAGCCACTGGCAATACTCTTTTCATAACTTCTTTTTTACTATAATTCTAAAATTAAAAAGATAATTTGATACCAATTGTTATTATTCAATATTACAATACTGTTTATCAGTTTTTTTCATATATAATCGATACAAAAATTAGTTTTAAATTTTAGTAAATTAAACATAAGTTATAATATTATTTATTTTATTTATGAATATAATTTTATACTAACAAGAAACATGCAGGATATTATATCTGAAGATATCTTAGCATGAGGTGGATCTTCTTCTTTTTGTGATGGTTTTAGATTATGATTAAGGCATGATTCCAGTAATGTAACCAAAGCTTCTGCGTGCCGCTCCATAGAACCGGTTTCTCTATCATTATATAAATATATGATTACACATAAAATAAATGTAATATTACAAAATAATAATTATTCCTTAATTACTATATATATATATATTTTTTTTTTCTATAAAACATCTTTTATTATTAAAATAAATACAATAAAATAATATTAATAATTATTACCTATATCTTTAAGCTAAGTTTGTGGTGGCATTAGGAGTTATAATATTCAATAACTATAGATAATAATAGTAATAATGGAAAAACTATTTATAGCAGTTTTGAAAGAATTGATAAAACTGGTTTTATTTGATTTTCTGTTAATACACACGAATGAACCAAACAATTTTAGAATTTATTACTAACCAATTTGCTATCTCAATCAATGATACAATACAGTTTAAAATAAATTATATATATATATATAAAACAATTTAGTGAACAAATTTAATTTTGAAGTATACCTAGTTTACTGGCCTAATAATTAATTAGAACATTATATAAATTAAAAGTTGAGTTATTTAAACTTTTAAAGCAGGTACTGTAATTTTTAAAATTATTCCTAGAAAAAGTATTATACATATTTATAATTTTAAGTTTTATTATTATTTATTTTTTTAATCTACAATATAGATCATAATTTTTACAATGCAAATGTGAAATAACAATTAAATTAATACTTAACAGAGTAGAATTTTAATAAAATAAAAATTACTTAAGTAGGTAAAACATATAATTGGTTAATAAAGGCTATTTTTTGGTGTCCATTATATTATTTATGAATAAAATAATTACGAGTAAATAAACTATACCAAAAAAATAACTATGGTTCCATTAATGTCTGTGTACACACTTTTAAGACATCACTTATGTCTTAAGTTTATAAGCACTCATAGGTATAATATACTGTATTATATTTACCTAATAGCAGTAGTAACTCTTGTAATGCATATTTCAACAACACTTTGATCATTGTCATTATTAACATAATCAGGTAGGCTAGTGATTTCACCAATTATATTAATTACTTCAGATAAATCATTTACTATAGCATCATCAGAAACAGTAAATAAATCACCAGCCTGTAATTTAAGATTTTTAAAGTAATACAATACATTTAATTAATTTGACAACTGCAACTAAAATTATACCTTTGATAAATCTTTGTAGTTTAATACTTGAGTAAACAGTTCATGCATTTCTTAAAACTTTAGTACAGCTACAGTTTCAAAATTCTACTAAAGGACAAAATAATAATACAAATTGCATACATATGTGTTTCCATGATTCTTAATTTAAAAACAAAGTTAAAAGTAAACTATAAAATTTCATACTGTAGTTAAATATGTATACCTTTTTATATTATTTATAAAATATACAGTAATGTTGTTTATTATCAGGTTTTAAATATAAACAATAATATTTCAAATTTATCTTGGTTTTGAAAATGTTAATTGTGGAGGACTACAGTATAAAATATAACATAGTAGAAGAATTAAATAAGGAAATGTATAGATTTATTTTCTTTTAAATATAATATTTTTATAATTTCATCACATTACTACAAATGTCCATGTTCATTTATATTGTACCATATAGGTAGTTAACAATAACAATTAATTGAATATCAAGTTGAAATTAGTATTTTAAATTAAATAGGTTTTTAATAATATAACTTTTTTTTTTTTATAACCAATTAGTATTATATTTAAAAAAATTCACATTAATAGTAAAATAAACAAAACAATATAAAGTTAAAGTTCATTACACACTAGTAATTTACCTAGTGAAATATACATATTAATTTATGACTAATAATAATCTATGGTTTAGAAAGTACACAATGCCCATTGTACTATAAATATATAAAAAGATAACTGATTTTAACTAGTAAAATATTTTCACTGAAATGAATTAATATGATTAAATAAATAGAGTAGTTTTGGGTTGGTAATTAAAGGAAGGTATGTGAATAATTTTTGAATTTTGGACTTAATGGAAATTTAGTATCAAGAATATCAAATATTTTAAGAATATAGGTAGTGAATTTATTAGAAGAACAGTAAATTTGATTTAGCTCACTGTCAACATATTAACCAGAAGGCTATTATAAGTGTATAATTAACATACTTGATTAAATACTAGAAAGAGGAGCCCTTTTAATAATTTTAGCCTTAAAAGGTGTTATTCATAGTTACACATAGACCAACAATTTATTTTGAACAACATTGAATTTTACATCACAATTTGTTTAAATGTTTATCAATAAATATTGATTGTTTTATTCATATTATGTTCATCATCTAAAATAATTAATTTGTGATGAAATTATTTTATTTTAAATCATTAAAAATATTATTTAATAGTTGTAAAATAAGAATCATTCGAAAGTTTTGAGTAAAGCAACGTGCACAAGCAATAGAAAAACTAAAATTATTTAAAATATAGATACCTGCTACTACACATACAATTTAAATGAACAAACTTGAGTAGATATTTTTAAATAAAAATACATTCCTCACTATACTCAGAACCTAATTAGGTAAATTAAATATTAGTTGATATATTTACAGTTCCCCAAAATATATTACTTATTTAATCAACAAATTACATTTAATACATGGATAAAACATTTGAAAAATAAAAAAATAAAATTATAAAATAATAAATTAGAATATAATATGTCTATAGAAGTTAATACTTTGATAATACAAAAATAAAAGAACCTAAGTGAGAAAAACATAAAATATACAATTATTTGAAAAATACCGTTAATACTGTTAATACTAAAAGTATAATACTTAAAAATGTAATTGTTTCAAAATCATCGAGTAATAAATAATAATAAGTAATAATTAAGATACTAAGAATTCAAACTTCTGGAATAACACAGTGTTTTGTTGTATTTTTTAATTTATAAAAAAACAAAAATAAAATATAAATTTGTGATAAATGATAAAGGAAACTCCACGTTATAAAAATGATAGTACCACAGTGTGTCTAGATAATAAAGTTATAAACTTCGTTTGATGCACACACGGTCTTAGAATATGCATACATAATAGATTGTATTCATGTGACCTCATTTTGTCGTTTGAATGTTGGTCACTCTCTATTTCCATATTCCATTACCAAACTGAAAACATATCGTAAACAAATAATAGGAATTATAGGTACTTTTCTTTGCTTCAGTCTCTACTTATACGATTCTTTACGTAATATAATTTAACGTAAGTGTTGTTTCCTAAAGTTCATTTAAGATTTTACAAAGCTAAAATAATTGTATTATGTGTTTGATTTATTGTAATTATTTAATTTCCAAGAAAATGCACGTTTCCCTAACCTATTAATGGCAATTTTTTTAAAAAACTGGTGAAAACCATTAAGCATCTCCTATTTTTCCTTTTTTATCAACAAACATGGCGTAAGTATAATATAAATAAGCCTGGTTCTTACAATGTACTATTAATTAGTGGTTAGCGTTAAACGTGAGTAAACCTACAGAATTTCGATGGTTTGTGGCAAATTTAACCAGTGGTTAGTGCTCATCAGACATTATAAGAACTAGTCTAAGTATTTTTAGTCTTTGTTATTTTTCATACTTTTCATATTATTAATTTTAGTATTGATAGCTTGTCAGAAGATTCATCTGGGGATTCTGTTAAAATAATCGATACCATTCGACTAGATAAAAAAAAAAAGAAGAAGAAACATAAGCATAAAAGTGATAAGTAAGTTTTGTATTACATAGGTACATAGGTACATTTAAATTTAATATTTATTATATATATAGTCTGATTAATATTTCTACCTAATTTGCTTTAACTAACTATTTTTTGTTACTTGTTTGAATGTCTTGTCAGTACATCGTCAAAATTTTCTGTCTTGCCACTAGCATGCTCTTAATTTGTAATTAGACAGTGAAGTAACCTGATGGACTTACTATGTGTAATCTTAAATTAAGTCATTAAAGCCATATAATGTTTATTGTAAAATATAAAGCCAATTTTCATGAGTCATGGAACTCATTAGAAGATAGGATATTGACAATGTAATGGAACATTAATTATCTGTACCACTGCTGTAGATATCTAATATTATATTAAACAATTTAAAAATTTATTGGACAAACATTATTTACCTATGTTTATTTTTAACTAAATATAATTGATACTTTAAGTACCTAGAATCTTTTGTACAAATAAATGGCGGCCTTGATGAGGATGTGAAACATAGGATTAAGTCTGGTTAGACTAAAAAGAGATAAGCGCCAGGTGTTTTTTTGTGATACAGAGAATTTCAATGAAACTTAAAGGTTGGCAAATTCTGCAAGAGTGAGATGAGACCGGTGAATGCTGTATGCTTCAAAGTGTTTGATAGTAGACAGAAAAATAGCACAGATAATGAGTGTAGCAGGAATGAGAATGTTTAGGTGGATGAATGGAGTGACAAAAGAAGATATGATATGTAATGAGTACATACAAGGTAGCTTAAGTGTTGCTTCGATGGTGAACAAAATGAAAGATAATTAAACGAGATAGTTTAGTGAAATTTCCTTTCAGAAACATTTCTTTCAACAAAAGTTGGAGCAAAATTGCTGTTAGAAAAGTTGTGCACAAAAAAATAGAAAGCTATAATATATTTTAACTAATACTCACATTTCTTATATATTTTCCCATTTTTTTTCCGGTTTTTCAAATTTGATGAGAAAATCAAAATCTCTAAAGTACCCCCTCACGTATTTCAGAAAAGGTGCTACACGTAGAAATCCAAACAAGTCTTCTGGTAGAAAAGTTGGCACTGATAAAAAGAAAAAATAAACATCTTTTTAAAACCATAAGCTTCTTTGCTCCACTCTGAATCTATAATGTTAACATTGTTAAACATTTTAACATAAAATGTTAATTTTTCTTCACATTAAAGTTGATCCCTAACTTTGCATGTTTAATCTTTTACTCTTCTCTATTCTCTTAATATTCTGATATCAAGAGTAATTGAAACAGGAAGTTAGTCTAGTCATTTCTTGAATAACTTTTCTTGATTTTTCTTTCTCTATTCAAAATGGTATTTGTTTTCCAAGTATATTAGTAGTTAAAGTTAAATATGTTTAATAATAATTAATAATAAGTAGGTATTAATTTGTATTTAGAAATTAATTTCATTTATAATCTTCAAATATATATATATATACAGGATGTTTTTTCATGAATCAGCAATTATCTCGGAGTTATTTTATGTTAATTTTATTTTTGTTTTTTTCTTATCATTATGGAATTGTTTAAGCTATTATCCTTCTTTACTCCTCCAGTCTATAAACTTTAAACTGTTATAACTTTTAAAGAGTAAATCTAATAATAATGTTGTGTATATCAAAATCTTTAGAAAAATATTTTCTTCAAATCTGTGCTCAAAAAGAGGTTCCTATTTGAAGATCAAAAGTGTGTACTTATTGAAGGTTTATGGTGTAGGAGTAAAAAATTAAAAATGGTTTTAAAATAAAGTTTAAAAGATTCTATAATGATTAGAAAAAACAGAAATCAAATTCACTTAAAAAACTCCGAGATAAATGCTAGTTTATGATATAATCAACCTGTATGTATATATATTTAAAAACTTCTGTAACAACTTCCATACAACATGACAATTTTATAAGTAAACCATTTTATTATTTATGTGGTTTTATCAGTAACATTCTAATATACAACTCGCACAATAATTTTTGGTTTTATATGCAACCTGTAGGTTAGTATATACAGTGAAATCTCTTCTAATGGACACCTCTCAATAACAAACATTTTTTTTGGGAACGGGGACATTTTTACAACTTTTCAAGGAGATAACCTCAAAATAACTGACTCTATTTTAATCTTAATTTAAAAAAAGTGACAAAGTGATGGTATCAAAATATATTGGCATAGTATGTAATCTTTTAATAATGTGATAACGATAACAAACTCGATAAGTTTACGAATAGCGAACACCTATTAGAGTTCTATTATTATTACAAATTATTATATTATTGAATCTATATAATTAGTATATACATAACTATATAACTTAAAACATAATTATATACTAAATCATATTATATTTTATATTACATTTTTATAACAACATTATAATTTAATTTGACATAGCGCAAATGTTTTCATTTTACACATTATCCTTTAATTTCAAAAATTTACTCCTTTGAATAACGACTAGTGGACAAAAATTTGGCGACTGAGGGTGTTTGCTATTCAGAAATTTCACTGTAGTTAAAAATGTACCAAGTGATTAATTTAATAAAAAAAAGTTTTTACTAAGCCTACTTTGGTTTGGTAAAGTTTAAATTTTATTGTTAATTTTTCTCTCATGTCTACTAAAAATATTTTTCAGATTTGGATAGTAGGAATTTTACCACTTATCTTCAAGTTTTTTAAACTAAATCAGGATAGGTACAACATTTGTTTTAAGTTGTTTTCCTTATATCTTTTAACAAACTTTCAGTCATGTAGCTTGTACATTTGTATTGGTATTGGTAAGTTAATAGTTGTGTGTAGATGTTTCAGTTTTATATTAAGTTAAGAAATTATTTATGAAAATTAATTTATGTAGATATTACAGACATAACAATATTAATAATATATTATTTTCATATTTGATAATTGTTTATGAAGTTTGTCCCACTTACCTGTAATTTTATTCTTGAATATTTTATATTTGTTGAAGAAATATTTTAAATATTAAATAATATCTTCAATATTTCTAGAAAACATAAAAAATCAAAAAAGGAAAATGGAGATTCTAAATTAAAAGATAAAAATAAGTCAAATGGCAATCACATTCAGAATGGGAAACAAAAACGACCACCATCTCCACCACCATCTGATAATTCTAAGAAAAAGAAAACTGAAGGATCTATTAATGTAATAGGTGATATGAATGAAGAAGATATGAACCTGGAGGAATTAATGAAACATAAGGTATGCTACAAATTAAAATATATATTTTTGGTTATGGTTATGCACATTTTAATAATCTGTATGAAAATTGTAATTATTATACTGAATAGTTTGTTAAGATATTTATAATATTTTTCATTCAAAACAAATATTTCCACTTATGTAAATATTTACTGTTTTTAATAGTGGACAACAGAATTTAATTTGTATATGAATAATTTTAAACCTCAAAATCATCAAGTAAAATACTTTTTAGTTCTTAATATTTTGTATTTTGTCATTAATTCAAAATTGATGATTAATTAAAAATATTTTTTCTATTTAAATTCCTTTGTTTTACAGTTATTATAATTATTTCATTTTGGATTAGAGTTTATCTGCAGTAATTCATTTTAATATATAAAAAAAAAATTATAAATTACAGTGTTAAAAGATATTATAATAGTAATTTATTTTTTTATTACATTTTGAAGTTTCGATAATGTGTATAATGCATGCCACTCATAAAGCCATTTTACAATTTTTTGAAAAATTTAGACATTTCCATACAAGATTACAATGAGAACATTAATTGCATAGTAATAACATACCATTGTGAATACAATCAATTGTGAAAATAATATAAGAGGTACAAGGGGACTGTTTATTGTTTATTAAGATTAGAAGAAGCGTAGCATGTGAAGAAGATGGTGGTTATAACCATGGGAAGTAAGAATAAGTTGGAACAGCGAACAGATAGGAATTAAGGATGTTGTAGAAGGGAACTTTAAAAGAAATCATCTTCAGTAAGTCGGGTGGGTGCAGAGAACCATTAAGGACTGCAGTAATAAAATCTCTTTAATGTGACAGGAGCAAAGTGTAGAGATATTTAAAGTATTATTTATGGGAGTATAGCCAGGGTGTGTATGTAAGGATAGCTGGTGTGGCTAAAAATTTGTTAAAGCCTAAGTTGGTCCTTAGCAAAGAATGGATGCCATACAGGTATGTCATATTCTAGCAAAGAACAGACCAAAGAAGTGTATAGTAAATGAAGATAGCTGGGGCGAGGAGAAAAGTTTAGTATTGCGCTTAATAAAGCTGATCATTTTGAAGACTTACTTATGGTGCACTTATGTTGTTATGTAAATTGTATTATGTAGTTTTTAAATAATTACTCTTATCTGTTCTGTTATTCCACTTGAAAATATATTTGTTTTAAATACATTTTCTTTAAAATTGATTCAAGTGAAGTTATGTAAACAAATTGTATTGGTTTGACTTAAATTTAAAAACTACACTTTCATGTATATACTTTGTTTAACAAATTCTAATTTTTATTAATTGTGTATATCCTATTATGATGTATAAAACAAATAAATACTATTTATGTCAGATATTTTATATACAGAAATTAAAACTATGATTGATTCAAAATCTAAAAACCTGCTGTAAATTAAAATAATTCAGTTGTTCGAAGATGGGGGGGAGGAGCATATATATCATAGTGAAATCTCTATAACCTTTTTAATTTACAAATAATCTGTTATAAGGTGATTATTTATATTTTAAACTAATAATCGCTAACCAATAATATTCTACTTGTCCTAATTTAATTAAATTTAAATTTATCTTTTTTTGTTAAATTTAAAGATGAAAATACAATATTTAGTTGTATTTTTTTTCAGATTAAGTTGGACTATTTTGTATGTTATGCTTATTTCAAAATACCTATTTATTACAATTAATTATATATAATTATTATCAAAAATAAATTATTTTATATAGTAGATATAAATAATATTTGAGGGCTGTATTATTATAAATATATTTTATTACAGGTGATACATTTAATAATAAAAACTCATCTTTTTAAAACATAGATGTATTAACGATAATTTTAGATTTTAAATTATTTCATTAAAAAAAATAACTACATTCTTTGTATAAAACTTCAATGAAATAAAGTTATAATTCTAAATTGGTATACGTTTTGCCTATTAAATTGTTTTGTATGAAATTTATTGTAAATTATAGCTGTAAATTAAATACAAAATATTTATCAATAAATTAAATATGAAGTGAGTTTCTATATTAAATGTTTCACTTTGTATATTGTTAAATTAAAATTTATTATCAAAAATAAATATTTTTAGGCATTACTTCAAGCTCGATTAGGTGCTTATTTATCAGAATCGGATGATGGAGAAAAAGCTGCTTCAAAAAGAAAGTCTAGTTTGAAAAAATCAGTTGAAACTATTAATTTAATTGATGATGAATCCGACGAGGAAAATAAAAATAAGAATTCTGAATGGTAGTTTTTTTTTTTATGATAAGTCATTTTATATTTCTTTTCATATAGTACATTAATAGTTTAATACAAATTTTATTTAATAGTTCAAAAATCCCATTGAAACGTAATCACGGCATCAGTCAAGATATGAAGAAATCAACTAGAGATAGAAGTTTAAGTAAAGATTTGGTTCATTCAAAATCAGAACGACTTAGAAAGGATAAAGAACGTGATAAGGAATATGAAAGGTGCAGAGAAAAAGATAAAGAACGCCAGAGAAAAATTAAACATTTAGAGGATGAAAAAAGACGAGAAATTAGACGAAAAGAAGAAGAGATTAAAAAAAGAGAAGATGATTTAAGGCGACGTGAACAAAGAAGACGAGATGAAGAAATAAAAGAAATTGAAGAAGAAGCAAAGAGAAGAGCTGAAGAAGTAAGGAGACGTGAAGAACAGATTAGGCAACGTGAAGATCAATTGAGACGAAGACGAGACCGAATTAAAAGTCCTACATGTAAGTATTCAAAATATAATTATTAAACATGTAATTAATAATTAATTCAAATTTTATCTTTATCAGCTAATAGAGATCGTGCAAGAAGTCCACCTGGTAAGAGTTACACATCATAATAATATAACATAAAGGTGTACAAATTTCAAACTCAAATTGATTAGCAAATTGCTTGTAAGTTTGTGCACTAAAAATGTATAAATATGCATGAATTTATGCATTAAAAATGTCATAAATGATGAATGATAAAAATATATATGTATTCATATTTTTTAAATAATTATAATAATAACAATAATAAAACAAATGTACTTATTGAAATATGAACTGAAAAATATAGAATCATAAATTAAAACCTATAAAATACTGCTAATTACTTAAAAAAGTAAATATCAACATTTAATAAACATTAGGATAACTGTTATTTTGGCATATTTCAAAATATATTGCAGTGGATTTTTTGTGTGTATTTGGTGGGAAAAAAATGCATTCAAAAACTTTCTTTCTTTAACTTAATTTCATCCCGGCTTAATAAGCAGTCAATATTTAGTTACAATGGTACTTATTAGTACTGTTTGGTAATTGTTATGAGCGCAATAAATAACTTAAAAATATGGTGGAATATATGAACTTTTAACATGATTTTTGTTGATCGGTTTAGGTCCCATTTGTGGCACATGTGCGTCATTCACTTATGTAAACATTTTGTCAAAAGCCAAAATAACAAATATATCTTCATAAACATGTTCCTAAATTTAAATTTGTCTAGTTTAATTATTTTGACCTAAATAAGATTTTTTTTCGTCTTTATAAAACAGGATACCATTGTTTTTAGATTTTTAAGATTTTTTTATATTATACATATTTTAAGAATGATGCAGTATGGTTGTAAAAATAAAAACTGCTGTTATGTACATATAGTCAATATTATCAATTTAAAAAACTTTGACAATTAAAATAATGTTTTATTTTAGTTTCTAATAGATACAGAGACCGTGATCGAGAACGTGACCGTGATCGAGAACGTGATCGTGATCGTGATAGAGAACGTGATCGTGACCGAGATAGAGACAGGGATAGGGATAAAAGATATGGTAGAAAGTATGATAGGAGATCACATAGTAAAGATCGACATTCTAGGTAAGTGTAAGTTTCAATTCTAATTTGCATAATTGAACAAAATTTATATAAATAGGTTTTAAATTAAAATTTAACTAATGACATTAATTATAGATCTCATAAAGGAAAGGACCGAGGAGATAAATATAAAGATAGTTTCTCTGAAGGTCTTAAACGTGATGAAAAATCTTCTTCAGATTCTGAGTAAGAATTTTTTTTTTTTTTTAGATTTATTCCCCTCTAAATTCATATAAATATATATAATATGATCAATCCTCGATAAGACATACATTATCTCAGAAAGTGTTTAATTGTTTTCAATTTGTGTTTCTTACAATATTTAAGAAATCAATATTTTTAAAATGTTACATTACCATTTTTGTTCCACCCTAAATTTTGGAGAAGCCACAACCTACTTTTTATTTTCTCAAAGTAACTTGCATTAAAAATTGCATAAATATTTTTATTGTAATTAAATGTTGTTAGAAATGTTTAAATTTCATTGATTGTTAAGTTTCCGTACAATAAACTTGAAGTGCATCATTTACATTAAAATTCAGTCCCATTTATGACCTTGTGGAATGTTAATGTTTTTAATTTTTAAGATCCTTTAAAAAACTTTTGGATTTGTCTATGCGCAATGAGTTAATTATTGGATTGATTGAATTATTGATAACTTTTTTGTTGTTTTAAATTAGTTAATTATTTTACAGTATCGATGTAAATATAAATATTGCGGAAGATGAAAATGAGGAAGAAATTATAGAGAAAAGACGAAAGCAAAGGGAAGAATTATTAAAGGTAATTTTTTAATTATTTAATTATTTGATCATAGATATTTTTTTAATATTGATATTTGAATCTGTACTTTAGAGATTAGGAGCAAATAATAGTAGTAATTTGCACAGTGAAGATTCTATGAATCCTTCTCCTCACGGAAGTAGTGTAACTGAAACATCTTTGCAGCATTCTCCAGAACTTCAGTCTCCCAAAGAAATCAGCAATAGGTTAAATGATTCTGATTCAGCACCAGATAAAGAGACCAAGCCAGATCATGTATTAAATCCTGATTTAATAAAAGGAAAGTGGGATATGTTTGCAGAAGCTGATTCATTTCATGCAACACAACATGTAAATCTTTATTTTTGCTAAAATTAATAAACAGTTTTATTGAAAATTTTAATTTGAAGTGAAATTAATGAAATTTATGAATTTGTTTATGTAGACTCCTGTACCAGATGGTATACCTAACGGAAACAAAAGTGTTCCTGAAAATCCTTCTTTAACTGATAACTGGGATGATGCTGAAGGATATTATCGTGTAAGAATAGGTGAAATAATGGATTCTCGGTATGCTGTTTATGGGTATACTGGTCAAGGAGTGTTTTCTAATGTTGTTCGTGCGAGAGATGCTGCACGTGACAATCAAGACGTGGCAGTTAAAATTATAAGAAACAATGAAATTATGTAAATTAAATAAGCATTTTATATTTTTATTATTATAATATATAGTTTATAATGTATTTTAAAATTGAATTTAGGCACAAGACAGGACTAAAAGAGTTGGAAATTCTTAAACGGTTAAATGATTCTGATCCAGATGATAGGTTTCATTGTTTACGTTTATATCGTCATTTTTTCCACAAACAACATTTGTGTATGGTCTTTGAACCACTCAGTATGAATCTTAGAGAGGTAAAGTATATTAAGTAAATATTTATAAGTTTTTATGTACATATATATATATAAGTATTTTCAATTTTATACATTTTATCAAATATTAATTACTCTTTATAGTTTCATATATAGGTACTTGATATTCACTAATCTTCATGTATAATAAAAAGAGTAGAATTAGCAAAACGGAATTCCAAAATAGATTTATTCTCTTTTGGCCATTGTTTTTGCAAAAATATATATATTTATAATTTTGATGATAAACATGTTAATAATGAATTATTATTATTTAAGTTTTCTAAATTATAATACAATTTTCACCATAAAAAGTTTGTTCAATATATTGTCTAATGACTAAATGACAATATTATATTATTAGTAAAAATTATTCTACAGAAAATGTGATGAACACTATCACTTAGCGCCTTACACGTGTTATTTAATTTTGTTCATGGTTCATGGAATTATAACACTGGTTTATAAGTCCATCTAATTAAAGTAAAACTTTTTCTGATAGGGTCTGAACTGTATAATTTCATTCACTGATGTCAGGTGGTGGCATAATGCACCTCTGCCATCCATTTTATACAGTTGCCAAGTAAGCCCCCCTTCTTTGCCCGTGTAGCATAAATTACTTATTGTCTCAATAGCAGCCTGTATTCTTTTCATTATTCGCTCTGGTGAAAAGTAGAGGCTTACACCAACTGTATACGTGAGGTCAAGAGATACAGCATATATATTACGGAATATGGATTATGGATAATTAATGTGATATTACATTTGTAATTTTTGAAATTTATTTGATTGCCATCTACCAATCTGGTTCCCTGGTCCAACTTCTGTCCCATATTCAAATCATGCATCTACTAACTCTGGCTCAGCTCCTATAAAAGTCTTTCGCCACATGATACAGAAATATTAACAACACTATCTCGCCCAATCCTTGTTTTTTTAAACTCAATCTTTCCCGCAAAGCAATAAGTTCGTTTTCTCACCTTCATTTTGGTTGTACATTACTCTCTTCCCACTCCTTTAAATTATCCCTAAATGACTTCTCTATTTGTATCTTTCATAAAAATACAATTTTATTATTATTTAACAAAAGAATGTAGAAATCATTGAAATCGTTATCAATTTTGATATTATCTTATAAATTGTTCACTTGCTTCCTATAAAATCAGTATAATAGATAAATTGTAAAAGTTTTTACAGGCAAACTAAATTTCAGGGATGATACTTTTAGTTTCACTTCTGCTAGGCAACTGAGAAGAGTTTGATTTTGCATTTTTAAAAGTCAGTATTTACGATTTTCATCAAGATTTGCTATTAAATAAAATTCTTAAAAAAAAAATTAACATTGCAGTCAATATTTATTTTCTTACCACAATGTATGACTTGTAATGAACCTCCTGTTAAATTTTCAATTATTTCTGTTTGGTCCAATAATTTTATCCACAAAGTAATTATCAAATAAAAATTACATGAAATACGTACAAAATTAAAATATATAAAAAAATATTTTTTAAATTGTATTACGTCTAGAAAAGTCAAATATAGGTTCATAATCTTCATTTTTATTTTACCAAACTTACTTTTAAATTTTATATTGATCTCTATATGTAATTAATTATATTTTTTACTTGGATTATTAACAATTATTTGTTGGACTATATTATTACTAATTACTAAAAAATAACTAAACTAATATTAAAACATAGGTGTTGAAGAAATATGGAAAGGACATTGGGTTGCATATTAAAGCAGTTCGTTCATACAGTCAGCAGTTATTTTTGGCATTGAAGTTGATGAAAAAGGCAAATATATTGCATGCTGATATCAAGCCTGATAATATTTTAGTAAGTATTTTATTTATTTACATTTAGAATTTAGATTTAAGCCGAGTAAGACGAAATTCCAGGATTTAGTTGATTTCTGGCCAATGGCATTACAAAATTATGATCATAATATTGATGTTATTTACATTTTGGTAATTAGGTATTACCAATTCCAGTTCAACTATGATACAACTCTCTGGAAAAATTTATTTGTCTGGTCTGCAGTTCCTGCGAATCTCATACTCCGGGTTATAACAAAAATAAAACTTTAATATTACTGTGTTCATAAGTTTATTCCTTTTGTTATATCTATAGGTGAATGAAAGTAAATTAGTGTTAAAATTATGTGATTTTGGATCAGCTTCACATGTTGCTGATAATGAGACCACCCCATATCTTGTTAGTCGATTTTACCGGTCACCTGAAATAAGTAAGTTTTAAATAATTTTGTACTTTGTATATCACTAATGAATTGTATTTTAGTTTTAGGTATTCAGTGTGATTTTGGTATTGATATGTGGTCTGCTGGTTGTACAATTTATGAACTCTATACTGGCAAAATATTATTTCCAGGAAAAACCAATAATCAAGTAATTTATATATATATATATATATATTTTCAAATTTATTAGTAAAATTAACTTTGATTTATATTAAAACATGGATTTATTTCATCATCAGATGTTGAAATTTTTTATGGATTTGAAAGGCAAAATGGCTAATAAAACTATTCGTAAAGGAATGTTTAAAGACCAACATTTTGATAGCAATTGTAATTTTCTGTATCATGAAGTCGACAAAGTTACAGAACGAGTAAGCATTAATAGTTAATATATTATCTCTACCTACAAATATATACATTAATAATAGACCATTACAAGTCCAGTTTTAAAAAAGTTATTAGTAAGTTACTTAAATTCAAGCAAAACGGAATTCCAGAATTTATTTATTATTTTCTGGCCATTGTCTTTGCAAAAATATTTCTTATTAATTTAATGATATACGTTTTAATAAACTATTGTTATTAAAGCTATTTTAATTATAATACAATTTTTAATTAACTCTTATCAATTGAAATTATTACTTAGTACAAAGCCAATATACTCAATCATTAGAGAAACATTTGTTTATTTAAAAGTTAAATGTATGTTTTATTTTTGAAATTATAAATTTAAAATTTGCCTGTGTTTTAATAAAAAATCTAGTTAAGAAGATAATTTATTTTTGAAAAATTAAAATAATAAATATTTATGTGTTATATTTAACATTTATTAGAACTTCTCATAAAGTACTTTATTTACAAGTTTATTCCGCCATTTTCTTTTTTGTAAGATTTTAAAATTAAAGATAAATATGATGAAATAATCTTTAACTCATTGTAGATAATCAACTGTAATTAATATGGAATATTATGATCTGCAAATAGTTTCAAGTAAAAATATTTATTACTTTTGAGTAGTTGTATTATTTATGATGCAATGTAATTATAAAATAATAACATGACGATACAGTGTGCAATAAAATTGCTTCATGCAAAGTTAAGTAATTTTATAGTATTTAAATAAAATTCAAAGCTTAACAAGTTCATAAAAATTACTTTTACTGATTACTATTATTTTATCTAAATTATTATTAAAGCATACAAAATAAAAAGATTTGTTTTATAAAACAAAGTTGTATTATTTAAATCAATTTATTTCTATGGTTATGGGAGATTTGCTATATTTAATCAAATTGTGATATTAGACCTAAAAATAATTGATTATATTTGTATGATTTTTAAATGATTTTTATTCCTTTTTTTTTACAGGAGAAAATTATAACAATGTCCTCAATAAATCCTAGTCGTGATTTATATACTGAATTATTGGGAAATCAAAAATTACCAGAGGAGCAAATTCGTAAAGTGGGCCAATTGAAGGACCTGTTAGATAAAATATTGACTCTGGATTCTTCAAAACGTATTGGCATATCACAGGCTTTGGTACATCCGTTCATATCGGAAAAAAATTGATCAGTGCGAGTAGTTATACTTAGAAAAATTAACATAAAACACTGACTTTTACTTTTGATTCTGTGGAATCAAAATAATTTTAAAACTAGAAATTTTCGTAATTTAAAATTATTTTCCACTTACATTATTTTGTACACAGTTTTTCTTTTCAACTATCTATCTAAATAAAAAAAAAAATTTATTTTACCAAAAATTGGTCGTTTTATGACCTGTATATTGTAGTTAAGAAATGACAACATAATATTGTTAATAATAAAGTACAATTTTGAAAAATAGTTATAACATTTCCATTTTGTAATTTATTTATTCCGTGTTGATATTTTTGTATTCAGCAGAATTCTTTGTACATGATGGTTTTTATTTGTTTTGCAGAATGAAAGCAAACTCAAAAAAATCATAGAACACATAGAAATTGTCAAAATCATTTCTCCTCCAATGTTTGTCCTCCAATAATTTGGTAATTAAAAGATAATTATCAGGAAATCTAAATTTAACATTTTAATTAGACATTTAACAACTCCAACCTAAGGCAATCTAATTATAATGGTTTCCACTATACTTTTTGCTGCATAATTGGTTGGTTTGTGGCAGTTCCAGATACTAATAATAGTCTAAATAAACATCTAAATACCTATGAAGAATAAGACAAAATAATACAATTATACAATGATAATAATGACCATTAGCTTTTGCATTAATTTCATTCCATGGAAAATGTTTCTAAAATCTGGAGTTGTCACTAGTAATGAATTTGATTATACCTTACCCCTTTATTAAAATAGGATAATGAAAATATTTGCAGTTTTAATTTCTTTGTAAGTTGTTAATTTTTCAGGGTTACTCAACAGAGAGAAGCAAATCAAAAGTGGCTTATTGGTTTCCAAACAGGTAACATAAAATAAAAATAGTTTCATTAATGCAATAATATCAGAAATTGAAATAATATTTTCTTTGTATTTACTTCAATTTTCCAATTTTCTATTTAATATCTCATTCAAATTATTCCATTATTGTCACTTCTTACTCATATAATTACCAAAACTAATTCATTTTGGAAACATTTATTTTGTAAAAATATTATTTATAGGTTAAAGTTTTAATTATGTCTATAACTTTTAGAATCTTGATTATTATCTATCTGATAGATATAAATTGTTTGTGATAGATTCTATCGTAAACAATTTGAGTTGTTATTTATATTTTTATACCATGTGTGGGGCAGATAGTTTAATTTTGTTTTCTACGAGTCAATTTTTTTTGATTCTTAGTGTATGTATCATATGTTTTATAACTGTTAGTTTTTCCCTGTAATTATTTAAGGTTAATATAGATAGTGTAAATGTTATAAACTTAACAACTTACAAACATAAGATAAATTAAAACTGCAAGTTTTAGGGTAATTTACAATAAAATTGAATGAACTGAAATTCAGAATTGTTACACTTTTACTTAATTTTTTGGAAATTCGTTGTTAAAAACTGTTAAATAAATCTAATTTTTAGTCTTTATTTAAAATGATTCAGATTGAAAAATTGTAAAAATAATGTTTCTCTATTGTAAATTACAAAAAAAAAAAATTAATTTTGCTGATGGGCACCATTCTTATTATAAGTGGAAATTTGTTGAGATAGTATGACCTAACCTGGTTATTTAATTTATGTTAGTCAAAATTTGGTTTTAAAACGCCCATAAGAATAAAATTATTACAATGTTAAATTTTATTTTTTTATACCACTAAATATAATTTGTAATAAACTTAATATTTAATTTTCAATCTTTTCCATTTCGCCAAAAAAATTTTATCCACATAAAACTGAATTGAAGTTATAAAAGTCAAAAATATCAAATGCCTATAATAACTGCAGATGCCAGAATGCTTTGTACACTTTAGCGCATCTAATAAGATCACAATAAGGTACTTTTATCTAATGTAAGTATTAGGTGAAAATTTCAGGACTTGACAATTATTTTTAATTGAATTACAACGAAAATAACGAAACTGAAGTTTCTTATTTTTCCCAAATTATTAAAAATAAAAAAATTATCACATGCACCAAATAGACAACATTTTTTTTAGAAAAGATACTAGTTTTTAAATTTGGAGAAAGATTTTTTGATGGAAAAACAAAATGGAATTTAATAAAACTTTTATTGCTGTACATTTAGTGTTTGGACGTTGCTCCCTATACTTTTCCCCCAACCGTGATCTTTAGCAGTACTGGATGTTTCTCACCTAGACTGAGATGTCCCGACCCTCTGAATCATATATTTTTTACACATAATAATAGCTTAAGAAATAGGATTTTTGGTTTTACCTAAAATATAAGATCATCAATCGGTTTTCATCATTTACGTTATGGATTTATTTTTGAATTATAGAACGGGAGCTTTCCATAATAATTTGGGTAATGATAATAGGTTAAAAAAATTATATGAAAATTTTTGTATAAAGGTATTTTGAATTTTTAAATTTCGTGAGCTATCTTACCAGAATAAAAACTATTGGTTTGGTTTTTTTGATTATTTGTATTATTTAATTTTGTATTACGATGAAATTCAAATTTGAATTATATTTATATATTAATTTAATCATTTGTACATTTATTTATTTGTTTTGTATATTGTTGTTTAATATTTTTACTTTTTTATTTTTTTTGCGGGGGAAATAATCTGGTTTGGAGAGAAAATGTTCAATGAATTTAGAGGGGAAACATCTTAAATTCTGTAAATTTTTTTTTCCAATTATTATAAAAAATATTTGTGAAATTAAAATATGATTTCCTCAATGAACCAAAAAGATCCAAAATTATACAAAAAAGCTATCTTTTTTTGGTAGAAGTTATTTACAGACAAAAAAAAATCATCTATCATACCTAGTAGAATCAATACAATGTTCGCTATGCTCAGAATCTTAAATCTGTACATAATATATGACTATGTAAGTTATAGGATATAGGGAAATTAAGTTTTAAATACCTATCATTATTAGGCCTAGCATAAGTGCCTGATAAATTTACCAATAAGCAAATAACCTAAAAAAATGTTACTATAATCTTGTATGTTAAACCTGTCCATTTATTGTAAAAATATTCAATTACCAAATTTTTAAAATTTGCTTTATTTCTCTGGTTTCTGTTTGGCGCTCCTTTTGTTATAGCGCCTGGCCCATGCGTAACTTTCGTGCATCCCTAGCCACATCTTTAATATCTATTGAGAGCAATTATAAGTTATTAAATATTGGGTACTAGTCTAGTTGACATCTACCAAAAAAGTATTCTCCCGCCATTACTACTTTGGTATTTTCAGTATACATGTATTTCAGTGATGACTGCTGAATAATTTAGGTAGGCATTCTATAATATTATATATGGTATCTGCTGTTATATTTATCTTTTATCATTAATTTTTACTATACTGATTTTAACTATTATTCTTAAAATATCCAATAAGTGAATTTCACATATATACCTAACTTATATAGTTTTTGTACCATTTAACCTACAGTACATTATTTTAATTTTAAATGCATAATCTATAAATAAAGCATATACATATTATAACAAATGATTAAAATAACAAAAATACAAGAGATACAAGTGGTAGGTGTGAACTTAAATCTGAGTGGCGGGAGAGTATACTTTATTGATCGGGGTCAATTAGATCAGTACCAATTATTATAAACAAAAAGCTATTTAGAGTAAATTAAAGCCGATTTAATGTGTCAATCATTTTTAATTTGTTCCTTTACTTGTCCAAAGAAGAACTCAGAATATCTAAAAAAAGATTATTCAAGTATGAGTACCTGAATTGTTTTAATTGTGGTTCAAATGTATACCTACCTACTCTTCAGAAACAATTACATATTTACAACCAAAATTTGTTTTTGTAAAATTCAATCATAAGCAATAAATTGTGACTAGATAGGTATTTTTGTTTTACAATAACTAAGAAAATTATGAACTCATATTAAGTGTGTCGAATTTGATTTGTTCTGTTTGAGGATAGACCGACAGAACTTATTATCAAGTGTTACTAAAAATGGCTAAATAGGTGCTTTTCATTAATCATGTTCACTAAATAAATTTAAATTAATTGATTGCTGTTGGGACTATGGTTTAAAAGTAATTTTAGAATTGATTGAACTTTAATCATATTATGTTATAGTGATATGATAATAATAAAGCATATAAACTCGGTTATAGAATTCAGCGGGAACTACTTGATATTAATAAGTTTTAATTTTTTACATAGACATATAAAATATTTGAAAAACTGTTTTTCTATATATTTTAATAAAATTAATTTATTATTTTACAGGGTGATTAAAATAATGTAAGACACTTTATCTCAAGTATACATTTTTTTTTGGAATTTGTTTTTTAGAAAATTTAAGAAATAAGCAGCTATAAAATGTTAAATTACTGTTATTATTTTTAGGGATGAAACCACTAACCACTTTTGGTTTTCAAATATTAACCCCAAAATGTATGTTAATTATTATGTTCTGAGTTCTTATTGTGGTTTAATGGTAAACTTTGACTGTTTAAATTTATGACTCTGGGAATAAAATCAGACAAAGTTCCTAATTTCTTTTTGTATTTTATTCAAATAGAAATGAAATACATTTTTAGCATACATTTCTAAAATCTCAATATACGTATTACCTATTTCTAATTTCCTATTAATTCAAATAATTTTTCTTAAAACTCATCAAATTGTATGAAATATTTAATAAGCTTAAAGTAGGGTTTTTTATGCAAATAAAACTTGTATCAATTTATTAAAAAATGGATTTTTAAGAAAGCTTGCTCAATTAGAGTTCCTAAGTCCCGATAACACATAACAATGTTACAATTCTGTAATTATGTTTTATTATTCTAGTCTCTATTTAAAATTTGTATCAACAAGTTTTTCCATCTACCTATCTAAATAATTTTAGCTGTATTAAACCAACACCTATCTATGACCATTGATTATATAATATACAATTAAGTAATAATATATCTTATTGGGCATAGATGACTTCAAATAATCAAATACCTACCTACCTGATAAGAAATTTTTTAATACTTTAAAATTATAAATTAATTGTGGCGATATGGAACAAATGTCTACAACTTTTGAATTACAGATAGTAGAACTAATATAGGTACCTAGTATACATTCTAAAAATGTGCTATAAAGATTTGAGAAAGGTGTTTTATTGTTTTGTAGCACAAAGTGATTTCAGTTGAATCTATTATAATATTGTATTGATGTGGTATTGCAATTTAAACCAAAATTCAATCTCCTATGAAAATATTGTATGATACGATTAATTAGTACATTTATAGTAATGGTCATTATGGATTGTGCTATTATGTAATGAAGTGTGGAAAAATAACATGATTTAAAATAATATGGAATTTGGATAAATGCTTTCAAAGTTTAAACCATTTATATTATACCTATTAAATTGTATACATATAAATATCTATCTGTGTATATTATTCAATATATAGTTAATACATAAGTAGGTATGTATTATAATATATATTTTGTTTTATAGAAGGTAAATAGTAAAGGTGCTTCCAACTAATATTATGATTTGTAATAATTGACTTTACAGATTAGATAAAGTTCCTATATCTATTTATGTAGTAGGTATGTTATTCTAAAATAATATTTTAGACCAATACTAATACCAGTATTTTAATAAATATATTTATTTTTTAAATTTTATTTTACAGTTTTTCAGATGAATATTTGTTATTTATACAGGTACCTATAGTTCAAAATTCAAGACTATTAAATTTCAATGAAGATAATAATGTTTATATTGACATTTTATTTAATAAAACCATAGCCTAATAAAATAAACATACCTATATTTTTTTTAAATATTATATTTTAGGTATCCTGGTATCTATCTAACAAAGAATGTGTTGGAATTAGATTTTTATATTACGGAATCAATTATTTACATATACATTTGGGATATTAAAGTGATACCTATTAAAAAAAGGACAGGACCCGTTTTGACCAATTTTGAAGACCCGTTTGGGCTAAAAGATACTACTTTTATGCAGCCCGTTTGGACCAGAATTTTCCTTATAGTTTAACTGGCTGTTTATTTAGCGAGCCTTTATATAGTAGTATTTTATCTGTGTTTTATCGTGTATGAGACCTTGATAGCCACAGATAACTATTACATAAAGATAATAGATATAGGTATATAGTTAATATAATTGAATTCTTGGTATGTTTTAAAACTAAATTGTATGTAAACCTAAATAATTTACTTATTACTTAAATTAAAAATTAGTTTTCGTAGTTTAACCGAACGTTTATTTAGCGAGCCTTTATAGAAACTTAAAAGCATTGGTCCAAACGCGTTGCAGTTTTATTAGAGCCCCAAATGTGTTTCGCCCATAAAATATTTGGTAGGTACCTATTTAAATGGTGAAATATTTTGATGTACCTACCTAATTCTCGATAGGTCAGTTATTATATATATGAATTGTTATAGGCTGGTAAAATAGTAAAAAGAGATGCTTCTAAACAAATAAACATATTTAGCAGTTAATCAGTTGAGCTGTAGTATATGTGCATGTTTACCTATTAAATAATTGGATAATATGGTTAAATATAAGAGTAGGTACTAAATGGTTTGTCTGCATATTGAATACTTACCAATTGTATTACGTAACTACAATGAATTATACAGGTATAATTAATTACAGGTATTGTTAAAGGTTCACTGGATTGAGTTTATAATCGATACAATTGCAAATTATTGAAAATAAATACTTATAATAATAAATTTACTTCCCCCCCCTCCCCCCACACAAGGGACTAATAATTTTTGATTCTGGATTGAACGATGATGCTATTTTTTCATTCATATTTGATATTATGAAGAAATAACGGGTGAGTACCTAAGTTTTTCTTTTTTCAATATATTATGGTAACAAAAGTACAACAGGTTTCTAAATTTGAATAAACAAATAAATTAGATAATTTTCATTTTTTTATCATATAAACCTTAAATATATTATATATATATATCAAATTCAAGTTAAAATACGCTTTAAAAAAATAATGTACACTAAAATAATTTTTCGATTATTATGATTATTAACAGCAAATTAATCTAATACCTACATCTTTCAAGTCCAAATATTTTGTTATCTTCTTTTCAATGATATTCATTAGGGTATTAGTTAAATTTGATGGGCGTTCATCTGTGATTTTGTTTTGCGTGTACCTATGTTTAATGTCTGTAGAGGCAAGAAAAAGTCCTTTCGCACTCTGCACTTGATACCAGAATTGTAATTGAGATTATAACCATCTTGTTTCATAGGTAATGTTTAATCAAAAACGATTTTATACTTTTCCAATTAATCAGTATAATTAATCAAATTTGTAATGCATTTTATTTTCTTGTTGATAAATGTTAATTTTGTTTGACATTATTTTAAGTTCTGATTTTAGTAGTTTTGTGTCCAATTTATAATGTTATTCTTAAGGTTTTAGGTCATAATAGCTCAGAAGTTTGTTATTTTTTAGTTGTAGATTTTAAATATTTTTATTTAATTATTTGAGCCTTGGGTATTTCAATAATATAATGGGATGGCCTGTAAATATTTCGAGTGGTCAAGTTAACTCTTACTATAGATTAGTATATACCATCGAATTTAGATAAGATACTATATTAGTTACGTGATTGACAGATGAACACGGCAATTGACAGGCATTAACACTGTTGTTTTTATATATTATTTAGGTAGAATGTTATTTTTTAAAAATTACCATTTAGGCGATCGTAGTAACTCGTATACATACCGACAGATAGTGACACGTACGTCTTCTGTTGGCACGAATTTCGCTATCTCAGTCAACGATACTTTCTTATCACGTTTGTATACACCATACTGTCGTTTTCGTCAGTCAGTGTTCTGCTGTCACGTAATTTGTGTGCTATTTCATGTTCTGATGTTCAATTACTTTTATTTTTTTTTGTCATCTTGCATTCTTTATACATTTATAGAATTAAAATCCGTTTATTCGCCGTCGTTACTGTAATGGACATTGCTATTACAATTGTGTTCCCTACTGTTTACCTGTAACGTTATTAGTACACTTAATAAGGTAAGTAATATGTGAAGTCGTATTTGTATCGATATGATGTTCTAAATATGTGTGCTTTTTTATGAAACCCGATTTTTTTTAGATGAATGTCAAGAAGAAAATCGTACCGGTTTTATGCCTTATGTCTGCTTATTTACATTGGCTCAAGCCTCGTATGCTTTCCATGTCGCCGTCTAAGGACGGAAAATCGCTGCTGTTGAATTTGTGCGGCCGTTCCAGGTTTCTCATACCGATGATTGTTTTTACAGCGTTTTGGTTATTTGATGCACAAATGCACATAGAAGCTTCAGTTCACCTATCACTCTCCCGTAACGTGCACTTAACGATTGGACGTGAAGTCGCGCAACTTGATAATGATGATGACGATGACGATGACAACGATACATACTCAATTGATTCATATACCGATAGTAGTCAGTCAGACAGTAGTAGTATGAGGCAGGCTAGGGCGATAGCACTACAACAAGAAATTGATTTTATACAAACCTTCAATAGGTCTCGTCCAGTGAGTAGTTAATTATTATATAGTAATAAACTTTTCAATATTATAATATTTCTTTTTACAATTAAAGATTGTTTTTTGTTAAATAATTTTGGAAGTCTGCTTTTATGGATACATAAAAATGCATGTTAACTAGTTGTATGTAAAACTTGTATAAAGTAATTATACTAGAAAATTTTTCTACATGAGTGGGGTAGACAATCTTAAACCTTATGCTGAATTCACATAGAAATTTTACCAAAATAAAATAAAAACATTACCCTTTTTAATTTAGAAATACTTAATTTTATAAAGCACTTGTCAAAGACAATTTTTTTTTTCAAAATGTGTGTTTTTGCGTGTACATTAAGAATGTAAAAAAAAAGTTGAATTTTGTTTGGAAGTTATACAGAAAAACTTCATGAAGTTCAGGCTTTTCGTTTTGTGTATTTCTTAGTTACAATTTAACATTTAAAATTTTTTTTTCCAAAATGTTTGTTTTTTATGATTAATCCATTGGTATAATCAAAACTTATCTATCATAATTATTTTTGAAGTTATTGTAATTAAAAAACACACATTTTGAAAAAAAAATCTAAAAAATCGATAGGTTGCTAAACTAGAATTGTTCCAAATTTGAATACTTCAGTACTATTAATTTATTTATTGATAAATTTGTAGTCTATTTGAAATATGGTTTTTAATATGTTATATAAAAATATTTCCATAGTACTTTATACTAAGGAAGTTTAATAAGTAATACGTATTACATGTAATTATGTAGTATATTATATTTGTTACATTTTTATTAGTATTACACTACTGTACTATAGTTAATTAAACATGTATTATATATTTTAAATTTTATAGAATTGATTTTAATGATATTATATGTGTTTCAGATCTGAATTATATTATAACAGTAGAAATGATAACAACTACTAGCAAGTGAGTGGAGATTTTCAGTTTTATACAGTTATAATATTATGAATTTGTATAATTTTAATTTTCATAACCTATTAAAGTTACCTTTGTGTAACCTATACAAAATCATTAAATAAGCCAGCAATAATTGTTATTTGTTTGTGTCTATTTCAAATTTATAAAGTAAATTTTGAGGTACGATTATGGTAAAATATTGAAATAGTATATTGAAGTATTTCCTTATAGAAATACATTTAATATTGATGTACCATCTGTCTTATTTTAGCATGTAAATTAAATCAGAGCAGTATAAAATAATATAATATAATAAGTATCATAAATTAATACATACTTCTCTTTGGTTCAGTTTACGCTGTGTATATGATGTTAAATTAAAAAGGAGTTTTATCTTACAGACCATAGTCTGGCGTATATTATGAAACCGACCATGGTCAGCATATACACAGCAAATTTTTTTCCTTGTAAAAAATATTTCTGTTTTGATGTTATATGGACACTTTATTTTAATTCCTCCCTGTTTTTAATAATTTAAAAGCAGAATTTAAAAAAAAAAAACTTTTTAAAAGGTGATTCAATTAAATAAATTCATTTTATAGTATTTCCCTGTTAAACCCTTGCAACTGTCATATTTAAGCATTTTAAGAAGGGTACTCATTTAATATTTTTTTATTTTGCCTTTGTTACAAAGGTAGCTCATTGATAATTAAAAATAATTAATTTTCATTCCCAAATTATTAAAACCATCAGCTATCCTATGTTGAATTTTATAAATTTAGCTTCGAGGTGCCCCTTCTTACATTATTCTAGATATTCACAGGGGCACTGGGTTGGTAGCTTAAGCCCCTGATCAGTGGTGCAATTAAGTGAGTTTAGGTATTGTCTTTATTTGTATAGCAAAAATGTTAATTATTATTATTATCCAAAATTTGGTTATTGATCTCAAGATTTTGAGAAAAGTCAAAATATTAAAAAAAAGTTCATATAATTTTTCGCTGTCTTCACAGATAAAAAATTAATCAATTTTTCTAATCTTTGATTTCTTTTCCTATACCTAAAAGCACAGTTCCAGGAAAAATTATATTTTTTTTAGAAAATGAATGTAGCTATAATATAGGTGTTAATAGTCTTTTGAATATAAAGGTATTTTAAAATTTTTTCATTCTGAAATTATTTAATTTACCTTTAGGGAGCTGGTAGGGAAGTGGAACAATGGTTTTTAAACTAAAACCCACATCTATTTTTCCATTCACTTTTTTTTTTTTTTTCGACAATTTGAGCAGTGATCCACATTGACGTGATCATAAATTGTTTTTTAGATGTCAACCAATATAGTAATTTGGCTCATTAATAAATTTTATACAAATATTGATACCACATAACTTGGGCACCTTGAGTCAGTTTCCATTATTTTGTAGTTGTTATTTGTAAAGAGAAAGGGCAAAAGAAAATGACTTTTGGTGTTTTATAATTCAGTTAAATTGGCAACATCAATAAATTATATATTTATATTGTAATATAAATAATATAATATAAAAGTTTATGGATATATTGACGTTTGCTAACATGGTGTTTAATATATTATTTTTATCGTTTATTTATATAGAATATGTACACTTTGATATATATATATTATTTAATGAATAATAATAATAAATTTACAACGAATAACAAATTACAAAAGATTAGATTTTGAGCACTTACATTAATAAATAACAAATAATATTAGTGTGGAATAATTTTTTTTTAATCAATAGGTATTTATAATAGGTATAATCTAAGAAACCATTGAAAAAAAAAACAGGAATATTATGTTTAATATAGTACGTACATCAATAACAAATGAGAAGACTGATGTTAAATTTAATAGTATATTGTAGTATTTAAGATAATATTTGACTTTGTATCTTAATTGTATGAAATAGTTTTATATAGCAATGAAGCTGTTATACTTACAATATATAAAAATATTATAATTGTGTAAATGTATATTGTATAATATGTAAAGTATATTGTATTTATATTAGATAAAATTGTATATTTAAGAATAATTAATTTATATTTATATATCATTATACTTAAACTTTTTTTTTATTGTATATAATAGAGTTTTTATTTACATCAATAAAACAATATTATCTAAAATGCTCTTAAACCATAAAATAACACTAATGAGTAGGTTTAGATTTTTGGTATATTTTCAAACACAATGATAATCATCGGTGTTGTATTATAATAAAAATGTAACATAAAAGCAACAGTGATAATTTTAATACATATTATTTACGATAACTTAAATTTATTTTTAATATAATATTATTTTATATAACCATATATCTAATAATATAGTCGATTAACTGACTGTATTTTAACTATAATTATGTAGTAACACGCAATTATAGTTTTCTGTCTGTTGAGCTCTGTTCTCCAAACTAAACTTGCATGTCTCATTTTGGATCTGAAAAAAAAGAATTGCAAAAATTGTTAATAATAATAAGTTTGAAGTAAGTAAGTACCTATGTATTTTATTCTAAAGCATTAACAATTCGTTACATAATAAAATGTTAATTGTCAAGTTTCACAAGTTTATTACATTTTTTCCTAATACCATTGTACCTATTAATATATATAAATATGAAATATATATTTGTGTTTATTAAAACACAAAAATTAAAAACCATTTTACAACTCGGAAGCCCCGCAAAAATGACTGCACAGGGCCTTGATATTTTTTTAGTTTGGGCGCTGCTATCTTAATTACAGAACATTTCATATAACAATTTCTGTTTAATTTTCGATTATATTTAAAACAATATAAATATGACTTCTACATTTCTATGTATTTTATAACATTATGAAACACAAAACAAAAATACAATGAAATCATATAAGGCATACAAAGTTGGTCAAGGACCAACCGAGGTCCGGGAAGATTTTGAGAGTGCACACAAATTGCCTTTCACGTGACTCAAATTGCTTCCCGTGAATTTTTTTTAAAAATGTTATTCGAATTTCTCCCTATTTCAAAAATATTCACTTGAATTTCCTCCTATTTTAGGTAGTGACCTATCTGAATTGATTTCTATTTCGATTTTTTTAAAAATAAAAACAATTATACCTATACATAAGTATTAGGTAATAAGTAGATGTCAAAAAAGTTTTTTTTTCATAAGCGTGTTTAAGATCAAATTTTGACGAAAATCGAAAAATTACGGTAATTAAAAGTATGTCTTCACTTCACTCCGAATCTTTTTTCGTTTTTTTAAATTGTGAACTATTACAAAGTTACATTTCTTTAAAAAATAAAGGTTTTCGTATCTTTTATATCTAGCTGTATATTTTGAATAATTCAAAAACCTTATGATATTCCCTCCAAAATAATGTTCGCTGTATAATAGGTACTTTACTCTGAATACTCTGAATTCAAAAATTAAGCTAGTTTTACTTATTCTGCGTAAGCATTGTTTTTGCATGATATTCGGTAGTTGATGCGGTAGATGTGGATAATGGGTATAACGTCCTATTTATAATACAATTTAAAACTAAATACAATTCGTACTACGGGAACTGTTGAGTGTGAAAACGATTGTATACGATAATTTAGTAATATTGTTCGTAGTGAAACATTGATGGACCATAAACAACGGTCCGTATTAAACGGCCAATTAGATGGCATTGGCGATTTGGCCACTCTTTTAATATTTAGGCTCGCTACTAATTTACCTAAAGTTGTCTCGCCGATCCATAAAATATTCCGTACGATCGTTTTTGAGTAGGCGAGCGTGGACTTTTCGCGGCCCGTAATGATTTTTAAGACTGGTGCCGAGCGAGAGGAAACCGGATTCCTACATAATTTCTCACAGGAATCTACGACAGCTTCTATAATAGTTTGCAGTTCACCGTGCCTCTGTGATCTGGCTAAGTGCTTTTAAGGCCTATCATATGGTACAGATTCCACTTAACGGCATTCCATGTATCGGTATTAGAGTGGAAACAAGGTTTTGTGCTACCGTGAACTATTCTATACCGAGATTTTGAATTATAGATTATGATTTATTTTTGTATTGATAAGATCGGACGAGTCGGATTTAAAACGTGATAATTTTATAATACAATATTTATAATATTATAAATATTAAATATATACTATATAATATAGCTTTTCCGGAATTTGTTTTTTAGAAAACTTAAACAAACAGCTCTAAAATGTTACATTACTGCTACAAATTTGTCACCCTTAGTTTTGGGGGTGAATACACTACTAACTTTTGATTTTCAAATAGAAACCTATATTAAAAATTCTATAAATGTATAAAGTTTATGTGTAAATATTTTATACATTTTGGTGTTGACATTTATAATTAACGCCAAACTGTTGTCGAGATATTCCACTTTTAAGCTGTGGTAGGGGGAGAGTAGTGAAATATCATTTATGTGGTGGCGCAGCATGTGGTATGTGAATAGTGCTCAACTTCTTTCTTCCTATCCAAAACCTTAAAGTGGAATATCTCTTCAACGGGTTAACGAAAATTAAAAAAATCATCACAAAAATGTATTTAAACGATCATAATTTAGGATGCTATTTGAAAATCGAACGTGGCTATAATGGTTAATACTTCCGAGATAATGAGTATCTTATTTTATGTTGATCGCCCTGTATATTATTATCTTAAGCGTGGATGAGGAGAAGGAGAGGTCAGAGCCGACAGTTACCCCTTCTGCAGGCTACTTCTTATTTGTTTGCTAATATTTGTTCAGGTTATTTTAATTTAGGTATATTTAGGTTAAGATCAATTTATTAGGTATTAGGTAAATTTTTGATACTCGCATATGCGATAAAGATACAGTTAGAGATAAATTATTATGTTATCGAAACCTAATCGTGCATAAAGATGTACCTACAGTAAATCAGTGGCATAACTAGAACTTCTAATATCCGTGGCAAAATATTGTATAAAGAACGATAAGAAAGAAAAAAAAAGCCTTAACTTGTCCAATAATGGCTTGGGCTCTGATTTGGGGCCTTTAAATGTCATGGGCCCGTGGCTTATTGCTCGTCATGTCACCCTATGGTCCTCCGCACACGAGGCGATTCACACGCGACGCGATTTTTGCCACGCGCGATATCCTAGCAAAGTGAACGGGGATCCACTAACGATACAATTTGATAACGACGTGATTGCGGCACGAGCGACGGACACGTGCGACCTGCAGTGCTGATCGCTTAGCAGTCGATCATCCGTCGCACGGATCGTGCGTAATTACATTTTTATTTTCGCTACATTATATTATTTATTTATACATAATTTTAACTATGGAGGCATTCAATATTAAATTTGTTGGTGAAATTGGAAAACATCCTGAACTCTATAATTTTTCTAAAATTTCCTTCGAAGATTCTTTTCTTGCTTTTTTCCACAAACCAACGTTTTGTACAAATAGTACGTATCAATCGCTTCTTCGTCACTAGACGAACTTGACATTTAAAAAAAAGGTAACCAAAGAACTGCACAAACGTCAGTAAACGACTGATAATAACCGAATAATACATAAACAACGATAATAATAATCGTACGACAATCGCATCGTGTGCGCCTCCGTAATCGCATAGATCGCTCGTATCGCATATATCGCATAAATCGCGCAAGAATCGTGTCGCGTTGCAATCGCCTCGTGTGATGAGGGCTTATCAGTACGCCAATGTAGTAAATATTAGAATGGTACGGTTTTGTTAATTACTAATCGTTTAATTTTTTTTTTTATGTAATCGCCTATGATTATTATGATATTATACCGCGCGATTTACAGTGATTTTTGTGTGATCTTATACTACGCGTGTAACATAATCTCGGTATTCGCGTGGTTAATGTTTTCAATGAGATATTTTTATAATTTATATAAGGAAACATCCGTAATATTTTGTGTTTTCGACCATTTCAGAATGAAAAACGGCTAAGGTTGTTGGGTTGAGGTTCGGATATTCAGGTCAGTCAGTGATGTAATTTATCAGCCGAGCGGGCTCTAAGGTAATAGTCATTACACTGTGATATCAAAAAGTACGAAAACTATAACCAATGCACAGTTATTTGAGGTCGTTTTATTGTCATGTCTTTATCGTGTAATAATATCAAAATATTATAATATTATATCGTCGGTTTATTTCGGTCTAATTTAATTCATTATTATTATTTTTTTGTATGCAGTGAATTTCGCTTTAACAACTACAAGTTTAATTATTACTGTAATAGGTATATCAGAGTGTGCGTGAAAGTGTGTGTATAGAATATAATATTACGAAATTTTTTAAGTTTTTTAAAATTATTGATTTAGATTTTGAGCGTAGCGATGATGAATGTATAAGGTTTTACCATGATATGTGATATTTGTTTTATTTTTTCTGTCAGTGAACAACTTTCTATCAACAATTTTGCTCCAATAAAAAAAAATTGACAAAGAACTTTTTGCAGAATATCGAATTTAGCTGGTAAATTGAGATAATTTTTAGATTTTCCTTATAGTTTTCTTAATAATGGGAAATAACCGAAAAAATGTATGGGTTTTTTTTTAGTTTTATTAGCTTTTAAGTGGAAACCATTTTGTTGACTGTTCATAAGTTCACAAATTTGATTTGAGTTTCATTATACATTTTTCTTATAGTACTATACAAATATCGAAATCCGTAGTCTTGATTTTTTTTTATTTATTTGTGTTGAAAGTACTTTGACGAAAATCATAAAAATTGCAACATTTCAAAACATATTTAACTGAATTTTGTTCAGAATCGTTTTTCGTTAGTAATGATTTATCGCCACATACAGATATAATTAATAAAATCAGTCTAAATATATCCTAATATTCGTATCCATGCCTATACCTTTAGTTATCGCTATGGGACATTTTTAGTAGTATTAGATTTTTTATATTTTTATAAATTCTAATATTATACGTATAATTATATCTAGGTGTACAGTATATAATATAGATATTTATGTTTTATTGTTATTAATATTTTTTTAAACGTGTAAATCAAATTTTCTTCCGGTTCATGGGCCGTATGGCCACTATAAAGTAGGCGCTCCTACACGCACACGTTTAATATTCAATTAAATATTTAGTTCAAAATCAATAGTTCCTCTTGGTAATAAATATTTTCATTAATTATATGTGTAAGTATCTAACTTATAGCCTATAGTAAGTTTTCATTCTAAAAACGTTGGTAAAAGTAAGGTTTGCTGATTATGATGTGTATAATTTTTTTTTAGATTCTGAGTGTAGTGAAGAATGTGTCGGTTTTACTAAGATATTCTAAGAAATTCTATTTAGTTAGAGAATTGAAAAAATAATTTTTTGATTTTTCAAAGAGATTTCGTAAAAATTGTGAAAAACCAGAAAAAATTATCAGAAAAACACCAAATATGTATAGAGTGCAACGAGATTTGATTTCATTCTTTTCAATTTTTGGGGTTTATGATTGCTACCACAAATCTTGCTTCATTCGAAAAATTATAAGGTTTATTTTTTGTTGCGTTTTTAATCTAATTTGTAATTAATTAATTCGTTTTTTATTTTCAGAGTACTTTTTATAATAATTAAGCAAAACTGAAAAAAAAACTTAGAAAAAATGGAAAATTTCTATTTTGTTTTTTTGTTATGATTTAGTTAAAAATATTCGTAGATCCTCAACATTTTTATAAAAATATATATTTTACTTTTATAGACTTGGTAACATTTTAAAATCATTTTGTAGATTTTTGAGCTATTTATAGGTATTTTGTATTTTCTAGTATTTTTTTTACGTTGTTTTTGTCTGGTAGGTACTATATGGATATAATTGTTTGATCAAACAGAAACATTTTACAATTTTACAGGAGGTTTATTGTAAATTGTACTTAGTTTTTTAACAATAAAAAATAAAATTTAGAGAGTTACGTAGTAATTGTTTTTTATAAAAATTGTTTTAAGATCATATTTTGATGAAAATCGTAAATATTACGGCCTTTCAAGCCTTTCTATATACGAACTTCACTCAGGATAGTTTTTCGTTAGCAATTGTTTGTTGTCGCTTGCAGATATAAACTAAATAACCTTATGTGTGCTATCTTCTCAACTTCCCACCTACAACAGTGGCCCACCCATCAGCAGTACTTATCGGCACTTTTTTTTGTGGAATTTGGAGACAAATCATTATATTATACTTAGGTAATGACAAGCCACTCAATTTAGTCTTCGAGTGCTGTGCATATATAGATTAAGCAGACTTGCATGCAATATTATATTAGATATATATTTTTTACAATTTTATAGCACCTTTTGTAATATATTGTTGTGCAATCGTCCGTTCGTAAAATTGGAAAATGGTCGTATAATTTACGAATTGGGTCGACTATTCACGTTCAACGGTAGTATAATAAAATATATATTATGTATTTATACACTTTATAATATACATAATACGTGTGATATATTATTATGGGCTATAAAATACGCTTCGAAATTATTACGAGTACCTTACGATTATTTGTGATTTGTGAATTTAATAATATTTTTGACTAAAAATATTGGTTGTTTTTTAAAAATCAATAATAGGTATGTTTTTATGGGATACTGAAAATCTTCGTAGATAATCTTAGTTCGTGAATAACAATTCATTCTGAACACATTAGCTATGTAGTACCACTGTGTATCTTGTGGACCACAGGGTACACACGCTGTGTTAACTTTTTTGTCAATGCATTTAATAAGGTTTATTAAAAAATCTTGATAAGTTCTATTTTTTTAAATTTATTTATTTAAGTATATTGATGAGACTTTTTTTTTACATATCTTATATAAAGTACTAAATATGGTCTCTATTATTCACGATTTATAAAATAGAAATGTTAACAAAACATGGGTAATATACTGACTATCTATTTTAAATATACATTATTTTGGAAGTATACTGTATTTCGAATAGATGTATTCGTGATAGTGTTTTATTTCTGAAAAAAAAAATGGGTTATTATCACTGTTTTTATAGTGTTTTGTACATAACCTACACTTTTTTTTTTCAAATTATAGTTTATATTCCTAAAATATTTTGAAAGTACCTTTGCTGTAAAGTATTCGAATACATACTCGGAATATCTACTATTATTTTTTTAGATTTGGAGCGTAGCCTGGTTTTACAATGATGTTTTTTTGTTTACTTATGAATAACATTTCTACCAAAATTCTTGTTTTAATTTTCAAGTATATTACCTTTTCTATAAGGAAATTTTATCTGGGTGGTACCTAATTGAATAATAATAATTGGAAAAATCGGGAAAAACGTAGGGACAAACGGATAGATATTTACGGCGTAATTATTTCATAATTTTACATTTTTAAACTTACGTTTTGTCCTCGAAATCTTGCATCAATCAAAAAAAGACAAGATAAATACTTTATTGTTGTATTTTAGATCTAGTTTCTCAGAAAGAAAGTCGTTTTTTGATTTTCCAAGCAGTTTTCATAATAGTTGGGAAAATCTGGAAAAAAACGTAGGGAAATTTACGTACATATATAAAAGAAACTTTGCTCCGAATCGTTTTTCATTAGCAATAGTTTATCGTTGCGTATTGAATTAAATTCTCCTCTATATCCTACCTTCCTAAATTCTCAGTTTAGGCAGGGGGTTGTGGAAACTATGCGTTTGTGTGGTGGCACGGCACGGCGTGCGGTGTTTGAATAGTGTTCCACTACTCTTCTCCTACCAAAACTAAAAAGTAGAATATCTCAATAACAGATTGACGGAATTCAAAAATGTCAACACTATAATTTATTTAAGTTGACACTCCATCTATTTGTGGAATTTTGAATATTGGTTATTACTTTAATTTCAGAAGTTGACCTCAAAAGGGCGTCTAAAATTTCAAAAACATATAATTTCATATTACACTATTTAATAAAAATGTTTCATTACATATTATTCTATACTTTGTATATATTTAGAAGAAAATTGCTTGAACATAAATTTATTTACACTCTGTCTACGAATAATATTTCCTCTTCTATTTTTCATATTAATATCGCACTTTTCTTGCCTAATAAATCGTATTTGTCATCCAGGTTATGATTATATAATATGATGCATTTTTCTTTTAGGAGCGGAAGAAAAGCGTTAATGGAGTTCTCGTTGCATGCGAAATTGTTAGAAAAATATATGAACACGGAGAAAAAAACCAAGGATGTCATATGAGTAAAAAATAAAAAGTAATACAATTATTCTGAGTCGACGAGTTTTTCTTCGGCATCTGGGTTATTCGTCGTTTATTGTCATTTGAAAATTATACGTATTTTGTTAAAGTGACTCTCCAGATTTTTTTTACGGCCTTTATAAACATGTAAATAAACTTGTTTTTATACTAAATTGCTACGTAAAGCACTTTTCTTCATGTTCGTTTTCAGATATTCCTCCCAAATTAACATAATAGGTAAGTGTTGAACCGTTTATCTACGAGGTCTGACTATTAAATAACGAGACTGCTTATGAAAAATGGTTTTATTTTAAAAATTATTCCACAAGCAAATGTTCCCCTTCAATGTACTCTCCTCCCCTCTTCACATACTGTTTCATTCGTTTTTTCCATTGCTCGAGGCAGTGCTGGAAGTCTGTTTTCGTAAGACCATTCAGGAGTTCTGCCGATTTTTGTTTCACCTCNATCGACTCAAACCGGATTCCTTTTAAGGCAGACTTTATCTTCGGAAACAAGTAAAAGTCGCAGGGTGCCAAGTCGGGTGAGTAAGACGCGTGTTCGAGTACTGGAGTGCCTTAAGCGGTCAAATAACGCTTCACAGACAGCACGTTATGAGCAGGTGCGTTATCCTGGTGCAAGATCCACGACTTGTTTTTCCACAATATCGACCGTTTCTATCGAAATCATTCGCGCAATGTTGCCAAAACTGTCAAATAGTAATGTTGGTTCACAGTTTGACCCTCTGGAACCCATTCAGTCATCACGATGCCGTTGATATCGAAGAAAACGGTTTTGAATTTGGATTACGACTGAATTGGATTCCGGTGCACTCTCGACCTTTAGAAAATAATTTATGCCACTCAAAAACACGCGCCCAAAATAGGAAATCCTCACTATAGGCCTCTTTTAACAACTTAAAGCACTCAGTTGGAGTTTTATTAGTGACGAAAACGTGTTTTGGTACGTGCATAGAAAAGATATCTAGATACCAAACGCATTACTCGTTTTTTTCACTATCCATCTAGGGCGCCCTCTAGGCGATCAGTCTCGTTATTTAATAGCCACACCTCGTAGTTAGTAAATTATATAATTAATGTTAATATATATATATATACCTATGATACATAGGTACAGTGACAGTGTTACAGGAGAGAGTTTTAGGGATACTGACCCTTCTAGAATTTGAGTTTGAACTACGAAAAGCGGATTTTTTATTATAATTTTTAAATTAAACTTAAACTTTGTTGTTGAATAAAATATAAGTAGGTGCATTCATGTGGATAAATAAAAAGAAAAGAAATAGGTGTATGTAAGGTATATAATATAAATTAATAAATATTTAACAAACATACACATGTCAAATATATTGTAAGTTAATATTAAAGGACCCTTCCTAGATAAAAGTTCAAAAACCGACATTGCCCAGGTACAGATGAGATACTCGTTATAAATATTAAATTTGAAGTCTTGTCTGTCAACAAAGGAGACGTAGCAGGACGTATAATATGTGTATTATATTATGATATACTGTACAACGTTGTAACTTTTTTCGGAATGAATTAAGCTCAGATAATCAGTGACGTAGTTATGAGGAAGGGGAGGAGCAATGTGAATAGATCCTCCCCCAAAGCCTATTTTATGTAATAAACTTATATGTAAAGGTACACTATTTTTCAAAAAAATTAAGTACCACTAGGTGAAATATTCATATCTTAAGGCACCATATAAAACAACGAATATTTCACTTACAAAAAAAGTATAAACTAAATAACTGTATCTATCTTACATTTCCAACTTCTTTCCAACAACAATGTCTATAAACAATTTTATACCAGAAATTTTACCCTGATACGTAGAGTGTAGTACCTATTTTGAAAGATTCTCTTAAGTTATTCTAGCTGGTGCACTAAAAGGTTATTTTATTGATTTTCCAAGAGATTGTCAAAATAATTGGGGAACACCGGAATAAAAATTATAAGTTAAAAGGCCAATATTTACGGTGCGCCGCGGCGTTACTAATTTCATTGTTTTTAGATTGTGAGCGGTTTCATTGATTTTACTATGATATATTTTTTTTTCTGTAGATAAATTTTCTACTAGCAATTTCGCTCTAATTTTCAATAATAGTTCTTTTTCTGAAAATAAATCTGACTAGAATCGTATTTTAAAGAGGTAATTTTTTGATTTTCACCAATAAACGGGAAAAAACAGAGAAAATCATGAGAAAAACGAGAAAATGTGTACAATACAAAAAAAATATTATTAAAGAAAATATATAATGCATATGTATTACATATATATAATAATTTTACCATAATATGGTATATATATTGTTGACAAAGTAACACTATTAACCGAACTTCACTCAGAATCGTTTTTTGTTAATAATGCTTAATCGTTGCGTACAGATAAACATAAAGTTACCGCTCCACCTTTACAACTTCTCATCTACAGGCTACAAGAGTGACCCATCCACCTGTGAAGTATGTTCGTCCTTTTATTTTTATAATCATGTTTTCCATCAGAAATATTGCTTAAATCAAAAAATACCCATAACCGTACAAATCACCTGCGACTTCACTATCTTAATTTCGATTAAAACTAAACTAAACTTTCACTCTGGTTTTTTTTTTTGTCTTCTTCTTCTTTCTGGACGTTCAATATATGTATTTTATTTTAGAAGAGAGTTTTATTTGAAGAAGCAGATTTTACAATTTTTTTCCAATTATGTTAAATTTAAAAATCAACATTTACTATTTTATGATTATTGATGACTTTAATGACACGAATTTAAAGAGAAGATGTATAGCTGTTTTTATGGATGAATACGACGTTTAACAATAATTTATTTTAATAGTTAAATTATGTATCTATTTGTTACAAATTCTTGGTTTCTTAGGAAGGGGATTTTTGATTTAAAATTTAGTGTTCTTAAAATTCGGTGTAATTTGATATTTTCAGAAAATTTTTAAAAATAATATTATAACTATGGAGCCCTTCAAAATCGACTATTGAAAATCGATTTTCTAAGAAACATAGACAAACATATAAAATTTAGCCGTGCTGCACTTTACATAGTATGTGACCATAGCCATTTTCAGGAACGCAATTTACCGACTCTGCTGGTCGCTGTAAATTGCGTTACATTTTAAATTTTGTGTGTAAATTACGATCTAGGTATATTTTATACATACCTGAGTTACGGCCGGGTATATTTTGTAATATTTATTAATGTAGGTAAGAGAGAGTAGTGAAGTATCGTTTGTGTAGCAACTCGGCGTGCGGCCTTTTATTAGTGCACCGCTATAATTCTCCCTCGATCTAAACTTAAAAGTGGAATATCTCGTTAACTGGTGGACGGAAATCAAAAATATTGACACCAAAATGTATTTAATGTAGTACTCCGTCTATTTATGAAATTTTTAATATAGGTTTTCATTTGAAAAACCAAAGTTGGTATCGCCACAGGATACTACTCAAGCGTTGTGAAAAATCTAAGTATTCGGCTTTAACTACACTTAGAAATTCCAAAAATTAGAATTTGAATATATTATACAAAATTTAACTAAAAACATGAGGTGAGCATGTTTAGTGAATTATCCCGTTAGCGACAAAGCTTTGCAGCTGTACACGGGTGTTTTTTATTTTTTTTTTCATAATTGTCTGTTATAATATTTGATGTCGCATCCGCCCAACGTAGCGTCTTCCCGACGTCACGTAAACGACGAAGGGTAAACTGCAGGTGGTTTTTACACACATTGTTATAATCCCGGGTTTCGACCAATCGAAGATCAAAACGTGTTTTTTTCTCATGAGATATTAATATAATTGTATACATGTGTATTGTTTCTTTGTGTACGCACGTTAATTTTCTCTCATTATTATTTCGACTCCGACCTTTTTGATTTATACACAGTCAGCTACAGGGTGTATGCGCATATTGGTATACTCGTATGTAATAAAACAGTTCATACAGTGCACGGCGTTTTAAGCGTAGCCGCTTAAATTGACGATTCGATGTTTCAACGTAAATGTCTAAACTCGCCTGCATTCCGCATATGTTCCTAGAACACAATACCCCTTATCATACTCGGGAAAATGTTCTATTAATTACTGTACTATCAGACTAATAACAGTTAGGTTTTTTAAGAACTAAAATTCTGATAATATATACCCAGTAATTTTATTGTAATTTATTACTTGTAAAAAAAAAAGAACAAAATAATTATAACATGTAAAGTATATAAGTACGTATTATATTTATTAAGTGAAGTTTATATTAAATTAATTTATATTTACTTACATAACAAATGGTTATCGGATTTAGATACGGATGACATATAATAGGTACTAATATATAATAGATAACTAATAGACGACTGATCAGTAGATTAGATTGTATTTTTTAAATTATTTAGTGACATGAGTAATATGCTTTAAAAATAAATAAATAAAATTAGTATTCAATAGTTAAAAACTGTATAATAATATACAAATTCACTAAATAAATATAATATAGACTCTCAGAGTTTACATATTATAATTCTTTTGTTCTTTTTTTTATACAAGTAATAAATTACAATAAAATTACTAGGCTTATAATAATATTCGCGCCCGGTGTTGACCGTGCCAATTTTATTATTATTATTTTACACATCATATTCATTTTTGGTTTTAGTCATGTCAGAATTGAATGAAAACTTATAAGTGGAAAGTGGGTGATCCAACTTCGGCGGACTAAATGTGCTCTATTGTAAAGTTTGAATAATGTAAGTAATAGTAATAATAATAATAATAATGACAGTTTTCTTTTCCGTGGTAACCTTTGAATAAACAAAAATAAATAAATAAGCAATTAGATATTCGTACCAAATATATCTAAAAACCCCTATTTTACTCCGTTAAGAGTTGAATTTTCAAAATTATTTTCTTAGCAGATGCCTACATCATAATAGCTATCTGTATGCCAAATTTCAGTCCGATCCATTCAGTGGTTTGGGCTAGACGATGATGAATCAGTCAGTCAGAACATGTTATTTTATATATATAGATTGTAATCCTTAAAAGGCCAAACTGCTATTAAACTGTGTACAATAAGTCTGAAAAACAACCGGCTGTTTGGAAAAATAATAAGTTGTTCGCAAATGGGCTACTCCATCGCAAATGGTTTAGACTTTTTGAAAAAAGACTAATTTTCCATATGGCCTACGACAAATATGTATATACATATATACAGAGCGATCAACATAACGTAAAATACTCGTTATCTCGGAAAATATGAACTTTTTTCTGAATTAGCTCTTTAGAACATTTAAAAAATTAATAGCTGTATAATATTAGCCTTATTTTAGATGGCAAAAACCATAAATACGGCCTTGCTCATAACTACGATTCACATCACTGCCCTCAAAATTTTTTTCCTATTTACGTTTCCGGGTTATTTGTATTTAAATTTTGTATGCGAAATTTTAAAAGGGTTCCGCTAAATACCTCCTACCCAAATATAAAAGTGGAATATATCGTAAACGGGTTGATGAAAATCAAAAATGTCAACACCGCCACATTTATTTAAACTAATACTCTATTTGTGGAATTTGTCCGAATTTTGCCGTTCGGAAAACAAAATATAGGCAGTGGTTTCGTCCATAAAAATAATGGTCATAAGAAATAATATAAACGTACAACATTAAAACCGTTGGTTTTTTAAGTT